CTTCGAAAGAAGATCAAAACCTCATTCCCGCAATTCGAAAGAGCGAGGGTTCGAATCCCTCAGCCTTCATTCATTTTTTCGCATTTCTTTTGCCTCCAAAAATGTCCAATTACATTGGGAAATGGTCGAGATATGAACAGATGAAAGTTTTGATAATTGAATTTGGTGGGGTTGGGAAAACAAACAAAGAAGCGAGCCGAAAGGGGGTTCGTGCTTTTGCTGCTTTTAGCGTTCTAGAAATCAGAACCCCCCTCCCCTCCACCCCAAAAAATGATGAAAGGCTGAGGGATTCTCCCCCTCGCTCTTTCGAATTGCGGGAATGAGGTTTTGATCTTCTTTCGAAGCACCTAAACACAACGCCTGAATTTTTCGTAAGGGCTTCGCCCTCAAGAATAATTAACATCTCACTCAAGTCAAGCTTAATATGCATCTAGTTCATTCCAAAGCGCCTTCAAGATTCACTCAAGAATATATATATAGTCCAGTCACTTGGTCGTTTCAGTCAATTCATATCTTGAACTTCTTCACTACTCTCTATTAAGAGTCCCAGCCCCGTTGTTATATCTAATCTTGTATCTATGACTTGAAGAGTTCATTCAGCGTTTACTATAATGCTCTATAGACTAGTGATGTCCTAGTAATCCAAGTAGAGACTCATCATCATCTCGAAAGCATAAAATATGAAGTGCTAGTTCTTCTACTCATAGTTAGATTGTTTAAAGTTTGTATGTATATAGTAAAGCATTTCTCAATACGAACGTGAATGTACAACATGAATCGAGAGACTGATATGAATTGAAATATTGATGCAAACTAGAATGATTATATCAATTAGAATACTCATGTTGACTGGGATAATTACATCAACTGGAATAATCATAGTAATCAGGATGTGCATATATACTAAACTATAGTTCTACTTGAAATAATAATTGTATTGTTTGAAATATTTGAATTAACTGAGACAAGTATATGAACTGAGAGAATTATATTAATTCAAACATTCATATCAACTAGAACGTTCAATTCAATTAGAACAATCGTATGAATTAAGAAAATTACAGAGTCGATACAAGAGCTCTAAAACGATTCGTACAATAACATGCGCTTAAGGTGATGAGCATGTATAGTAGTTTTGTAAAAGCTTTCCTTCCTCATTATTGAAACTATATTATTTAAGATACGAGATTATTACGTATGTTGAATACATGTATATAGTATAGCTTTCTCATAGTCTATATGTTATATAAGATTAGATTCTCTAATAGTTCATTCAGACTATAGTTTATTTTTTAAGATACTCTATCTACAGCTACTCTTTAGATTCTAATAATAACTATCGATTTGAAAAGTTCAGAATGTCAAATCTATTTGATCATCAAAGTCGTCTCAGTCTTTAAGACAATTTGAATATACAAAAAGGATTAAATAATTCAAAGTTCTCAATCATTAGTCTATAGGTCGAGCTATTGGATACTTCATCTAGCGCTATCCGTTTTCAAAGCGAGTCCGAAATAACCAAAGGAAAGCTTGTTCCGAGTTAAGTTATCAGGCTATGATAATTAGAGCTAGACATCAGAGGATTAGATTTATAGATTAATATTAGAATACGTTCGAAATCGAGCTCGAGACTACAACTCAAGAAGAATAGAGTTCTAAATGAATACTACAAACATAATTCAAACGAGTAGTATGTCTAACAGAAACCGAAATTAAAAATGACTAAAATAATAATAAATGAACTAAGTTTGATTAATAAATATCCCTTAGTGTGAGTTTATGATTAAGATTGAGATAGGATTCCGTCTAGAGAGATATAGATATTTGAAAGTTCAAGCTGAGTATAGTGTTCATCTTGATTATGATGTTGAAGCTAAGAATACTCTAGATGAATACAAAAAAATGAGGGAATAGATATGAATAATGATTTTAAGCATACAACAAGAATTTAGAAGTCAGAAGGAGTTTAGAAAGGATAATATAAAAAGCAGAGATTTCCCATTTTCGCTATGATATACTATTTCCAAATGATCTCTACTAATACATACAACAAACACAACCAAACTATCCCAGAGAACTTTTACCTTCCTCACCACTCCACTCATACTCCACCAAACTTTCGTCTCCCTTTGCAAAGATCCCTCCCAACCACCCCGCCACCCCCGTCCAAGACACAAAACCCAGAGCTCGATACAGAATCGCAATCCCCCATTCCGTCTGCGGATTCAATAACCCAGGAGCCCCAGGAGGAAGTTTCTGTACCCCTTCCACAAACGGTCTCATCTTCTCTTCATATTTTCGCAATCCTTCTTCCCAATTTCCCTTACAAGCTCCTAGTTCTCCTGCAAGATAATACGCACCTAGAATAGCCGAACTGGTGCCCATTCCTGAGATGGGCGAGGGACAATATCCTGCATCTCCCACGAGGGCAACTCTCCCTTTGTAAAACTGAGGAGGATTTACTTGGGCGATTTCTTGCATATAGTAATCGGGTGCTTGATTCATTCCATCCAAAATTCTCTCAATCTCCCATCCCATATCAGACATTTCTTCTCTCCACGCACGTTTTTGTTCTTCGGGTGACATTTCGAGATATTTGACTAACTTGCATGTTTTGTTGGGATCGGTAATACTGAGATATACTCGTGTAGTAGAACTCTCATGTATATTATCCGGCCGTAGCAATATCATACGCCCACGAGAAGAATTATACCACTTACCCCATGCATCATCGTGAGATTGTTTGGGAATGGTAAAATATGACGAGTATTGATACAATGATTTCAAACCATCATTTGGAAGGGGAATGACAAGACGTCTAGTCTTCGAACGCATTCCATCTGCTCCCACAACCAAATCGAAAATTCTCTGTTTACCTTTTGCGAAAGTAACAAGGACTCCCTCATTCACCTCTTCAAGTTTCGTAACATGATCATCCCAAATATACTCACACGTCTCTTTTGTACTATTATAAAAAATCTCGGCCAAATCTCCCCGAACGATCTCAATATCACTCGTGAAGGAATTTCCATTTGCATCCACGGGAAAAGTAGCTTTGGGAGTACCGTTTTTGTCAACAAATTGAAGACCAACTTCATGGGTTACTTTGGAGCGAATAGTGGATTCGAGCCCCATGCGTGATATGACTGTACGAGCGGGGCCCCGAATATCAATTCCTTGACCGGCGGAACGAAGAGAGGGAGATCGTTCGATAATGGTGGTTGCTATGGAGGCGCGGTTGAGCCAGTAGGCGAGAACTGGACCGGCGATGCTGGCGCCCGAAATAAGGATGTGGGGTTTCCGGGTCGAGGTGCTGAGTTCGGTGGACATTTTCGGAGAGGGTGGAGAAGGGAGTGTTGATATATATTATAAGTGGGTAGTGCGGGACTGAGTCTGGGCCTGAGGAATCTTAAAGTTGAATGTACACTGACTGTACTGTAAGATGATGTAGTAGGTACGTAGTCGTTACGTGCTATTCAGAGTCTAGAACAATGACTGATATATAGTCATTCCCCCCAAGCTCTTAAATGTGCGATCAATAGCAAATACACGACGACGTGGTATCAAGATATGAATATAATAAGCCGTATTACACCTATAAGTAGTGATGTCATAGAGCCATTCCAGAATCCGATAAATCAATTGAAAAGACAAAATTGAAGTATTTGAAAAGTTGATAATGGTATGTGAATTGGAAGTAAGTGAGCTCCAATAAGTAGTATGGATGACATGTTATATACGTAAAACAATCCTACACCACAAAACAAGTCCGCGACGGAGCTTTCTAATCCCCGCCATAGCAAAATCAGCGGCTATAAATACCGATACCTCCATATCCGCGATCAATCAACAGCAAATCGCTTCTCAATACTCATGCGGTCAGACAATATGCAACTCCTTCCTGTCTTGATAGGGATTAAGCTGTTGTGGGGAAGCACTCTAGAACTTGAAAGAGGCACATACCAGCAATATTTATACTGAAAGCAATAAGATTTCAATATAAATGAACCATTCAATTGATGATTTGTTTTAAATCCTCATTCAATATGATGGAATCGAGGGAAGCAATGGTTTCTATTGGTCCCTTAAGTCCGATATAGCGTAGGTACTTGACGCCGGAGTTACATAGCAAACCCTCGCTATAAGGATAACCTCTTTATAAGAATATCGTTATATTTCTTGGTCCCTAAGTTAAATATATCCTTATTAGACTAACAAAATCGTTAGGATTAGCGATCACATAATAGATATATATACTCGTAAATTTAGAGAGCTTTAATCGAAATTCAAAAAATATTACGGAATAGCCTGATTGGGATTAAGCCGAACCTCTATATAAGAATATCTATAATTACATATTCTTAAAAAAAAACTCCAAAACCGATATCCTTATATATAACAAGATTTTACTGCCCTTTCTAATCATACAAATACAAAGACAAGTATTAGAAGTCAGCAAATCTATAATATTACGATATCTCATTAATCTGTCTATTAAACATTTCTCACTGGATATGCTACGCTACATTCCCGCAAAGACACGACCAGAAACCTTTACGCACAATGAAAACTCTAGTAATTTTCAAGATGCATTTGTGAATAAGCTACTACTACTATGTAGAAGAGCACACCAGTGAAGCGTGTGTATGAACTAACAGGATATTGCAAAGATAGATGTAGAAATTTCTGTTTTTTTTGTTTTGTTTTTTTTGGGGTATTACAATTTGTATATCTTAGGAAGTGTTGTAAGATTCATTATACATAGATTGAACAATGAAAAGATAGTTTCTGATGTTAAGCAATGGATTATATTATGAAAGAATGAATATGTGAAGAGAAATAGACTTTGTTGGATTTGATTCATGGCGCAAGGTAGGCAGGCGACCTTGATATCTTTCGCGCACGGGGGAGGGGGGAAGGATAGGGGTAAGAATGGATATATTCACGAGGCGAGACATATTACGAAGCCAAAGGGGAGAGTATCAGTACCTATCTATCAAGCTCAGAATATACAGCACGAACATTATAATCTCACATCACGTTGATAGGCAACCCGACGCCCAATCTTGCACATATTATATTATACTGCACGTGTCCCAGATACCCTATCTCAATGTTAAAGCAAATATTCCCATATACTACAATCCTTCCGCCCAAAAAACCCAATAACGAAAAAAATACCATACCGCTGCACTTTCCAACAGAGGATCATTGTCAATCTTTCAATAAATGAGCCTGTGCAGCTATACCAGTACCCCCTTACACCTGTTGACCTGAGCTAGATGCAAGCATGAAGGAAATGAACTCCACTACAGCGCCAACGCGATGAAAACAATACCCATAAGCTCTCCTACTCGTGATCGTACATCGTTAATCTACTTCTCCACTTTCTGCCTTGGGCAAAATACCTTCTATGCCCGCCATCAAGTAGCACTAAACCTCTTGGTTTTGACGTCTCCACTGGGTCGCTTCTTCAATGCAATAAATGTCTTGACCCTTCTCAATCTCGTCATTAAATCCTTATCCTTTGCATCCCTAATACTCTTTGCATCCTCTTCATCTGCGAAATCAGGTGCCAAATCATTACCATTTTCATCGATACTCTCGCTCGTTGCTGGTGCAATATAACTTTTCCTTGAACCCTTTTCATTCTTTTCTCTGCCAACTCTCAATCCATGCTCACTCTTCAACACTCGGAGCACAACTTCCCATCCCGCAAGCGCTCTTAGTTTTTGATTCTGCGTAGCGGCAAGTCCATTTTGTGATACTGGGTTGCGCCAAGGACAATATTCGCGATGTTGGGCGATAGGATCGAGACCAGGGACAATAGCTGGCTCGGTTTCTACACCTGTAGCAGAAATAGATCTACTTTTGAACATCCAGAGACCAAGAATTCGGTAACATGTTTGACATGAGACAGATTCGAGTTGTTGACCTAGACGATCATGCTTGTGACCTTGCCAGCCACAAAGAGACATCATTAAAGCCACTTTATTGATATTGTCCGGAGAACTTATTTGCCCTGATCCAGAAGACGATTGGAGAAATTCTTGGGGGAGATAGCTTGTAACGCGATCAATATCAAGACCTTCAGGAGGTGACATATTAGATAGGTATGGTAGGTGGTCGATTCTTTGTTGGAGTTCATCGTAACGTTCGCGAAGGCTTTGTATGGTAACTGCAGGTTTATTGAGGGGTAGCTTAAATATGACATCTAGAGCAGAATTAGCACTGAGCGCGTGAAAAGAGGCCATTTAACATACCATCGCACCCTCTCTGTCTCCATGGACAACTCTCGTCATGAGACGCGACAATAAGTTCAACATATTTATCGACCAGCGCATTTTCTACTGAGTTAGTTAGCGCTAGATCACCGAGAATCTGCGACGGAAAGAGAAATCCCCTACCAATGTTTTCCGCGATATAAACTTCCTTCTCCTTCCCGTCTTCTTCTTTCTTGTTTAGCTTAACCAGAATCTCTACATTGCAGAAACAACATCGAACTCTCTCCTTCTTCTGGCAAACCCATCCTCTCTTGGCCCATTCCACTTCATTAACTTTTGCTGGTTTTGGCGTCCAATCCGTTAAATTCGAGAAAGACTTTAATCTTTTGAGAAATTCCCCGCGATCATATGGGGTCCATTTGGGAGGCTCTGCGGGCGAGACGGGAGTGGCAGAGAGTTTATGAACGGGTGCCAATCTCTGACGGGCGCTATCAAATTCGGATGGGGCGACAGATGATGCGCGAGTTAAAGAAGATAATCGAGTCGCGTTTGAAGAAGAATAAGAAATTCGTGGTTTCTTCATATTGGAATCTGTATCATTTTGAGGTTTCTCGGGAATTTTGTTGACTTCGTGTGCTGATAAGGAGGAATCCGACTTTTTGCTTCCCAAGCCATTAAGGAGGGCGTTGAATTTTCTTTTGGTTGTATTCATTTTCGGCTGAGATAGTGACACTGATGAGTGACACTCTCGTGGTGCCGTAATTTCAGATTGATGTTGATGAGAAAAGTGATGGATGTGATGGATGTGATGAATGATAATCTGAAGGTTTTCCTTTTTTATGTATTTACGGGCGGTTATTTGGTTGCTGTTTACTCGTACTTGGTACTAATAAGTAGGTACTTTGTACAAAAAGTAATAAATGACTAGATGAGCTGTGAAGCAACCTATACAACCTCCCCCCTGCAATAATGAATCAAGTTTATGGTTTATGATAGGAAGACCCAAAGGCCCGTGCCGCCCGCAGTAGCTTCAGGTTTTCTGCTTGATGGCTTGCCTCGAGCTTGCGTAGTACCTGGTATGGTACATCGTACGTGCCGGTACGTACTCTACTTAATAAACTACCCAGTCTTTGGAAACCCCCACCAAGAAAATTGGGACGACAACAAAGAGTTTGAAATACCCCTCGATTCGCTCCAGATCTCTTTTTACATGTTACAAATCTACCTACAATAAATTCATGTCAAAGATTTCAATCAAAAATAATCTCTCTTCCAATTACTGCTCACCAAAAAGAATCCTATTCACATCTCTCCTGATTGTCATACTGGCTTTCATTACAAATAGATTTTGGTCCCGGGTTACTCTTATATCTCATCACTTCTCTCCTACACACATCAAACCGCTTTCTACAGCTTCGACTTCCAAAATGTCTAACTACAGCAAAGAATTAGAGGTGGCTCAATTGGCCGTTCAAAGAGCAGCTATCTTGACCAAGCAGGTCTTTCATGAAAAATCCAAAGGAACATTATCCAAGGACGACAAATCACCTGTGACAATTGGAGATTTTGGAGCCCAAGCTTTAATTATCCAAGCTATCAAGAAGAACTTCCCTGATGACGAGGTCGTGGGAGAAGAGGAAGCCAGTGATTTGAGAGAGAATTCTAATTTGAGAGATCAAATTTGGGAATTGGTCGAAGCTTCGAAGCTTTCAGACTCTGAGGCTGAGAAGGTTTTAGGTGGTCCCGTGGAAAGTGTGGATGCCATGTTGGATGCTATCGATGCTGGAAACAGTGCTGGTGGAGCGAAAGGAAGAATCTGGGCGTTGGATCCTATTGATGGAACAAAGGGATTTTTGAGAGGTGGTCAATATGCCGTTTGCTTAGCATTGATGGTTGACGGAGATGTCAAGGTCGGTGTTCTTGGATGTCCTAACCTTCCAGTCGATGACTCCGCTCCATTATCAGCTGATGCTGGTAAGGATGCATCAGATGACGAGGGGAAAGGTGTTTTATTCTCAGCCGTATTGGGCCAAGGTGCTACCAGTCGACCATTGGGTACTGGAGCATTAGCAAAAGGCCAATCTATTCAGATGAAGCCAGTTACGGACTTAACTCAAGCTACTTTCTGTGAGAGTGTTGAAGCCGGTCACTCTTCTCACGGCGATCAACATGCTATTGCTACTAAATTGGGTGTCACCAAAGCCAGTGTTCGTATGGATTCTCAAGCTAAATATGGTTCAATTGCTAGAGGTGCTGGAGATATCTACCTCAGACTTCCAGTTAGCGCAACTTACCAAGAAAAGATCTGGGATCATGCTGCTGGAGACCTAATCGTGAGAGAGGCAGGTGGACAAGTTACTGATTCCGTTGGACGTAGATTGGATTTCAGTAGAGGAAGAACTTTGGCTGAAAACAAGGGTGTTGTTGCCGCTCCAGCGGCCATCCACGACCATGTTCTAGAAGTAGTTAAGGAAGTTTTGGGGGCCAAGAAATAAATTTTACATATTTTTTATTTATATTCGTCATGAATGACAGCGATGATACTTTCTACACGCTTGTACATCATTGTCACAAATACATCTATGAGATCTAGAAGTGATATTATCTCCTTACTAACGTTCTTGATATTCAACCCCTACTTGATCTTCTTATTCTTCAACTTGATCTCTTCCCCATTAACAAAGATGCCCTTTCCTTTATATGGTTCTGGAACTCTCCACTTTCTGATTTGCGCCGCAAAGAGCAATACAACTTCCTTCTCTGGTCCTTCTAGCAATATACGTGTAGGCTGTGGTGTACTCGCTTTCACGAATCTTGGAACGGGTAATTCGATGGGATGAGAATATCCTACTTTCAGGACGACAAATTTTTGCCCTTCGAATTCGGGAGTTTTGGTGGTAACATTAGAGGCGGGCTCGACCGTGGCACGGTATCCAACACCAACAAGGCGGAGAATAGCATTGTGGCCTTCAGAGACACCGAGTATATGATTTTGGAGGTAGGCGCGGGTGGTTCCTACAGGGACTGGTTAGCAAACTGCGACACAGAACATAGATTGGACACAGAGGGGAAATGCTTACCCCACATCGCTCTTTGGTTTTTAACTTCTCTATCCTCCACTCTGACAATCGCTTTCCGTGTATTCTCATCATGTTCGATTTTAATAAATGGCTCGATTGACATGGACATTTTTCCCAATGGCCCCTCAATTTTGACAAGCGGTCTTCCGGCGACCGCAGAGCCTCTCGCCGGCGGAGGCGGTGGTATAACTTTAAAGGTTACTTCTGGAGGAATAGATAATACTGCGCTTCCAATGTGAGAGTTTCGACATGTTGATGCGGAAAAGGATCGCGAGGCGATTGGGAATGCGGGGAGGAGAAATGAAGGGATTGATACGGAGGGAGTGGATGTGAGGACCTGACTTAGGCCTTTAGATCGAGCGGTGGACAACATGGTGGGTGGGTTGCTGCTGTCTTGTTGCTAGGGTCGCCGTCGATAGAATTTGAGGTCGGATTAAATGTGGTTAGCGGGTATTTCATCTGACACGTGATCTCGCGGACTTGGGTGATATTCTCCAGGCTCAGACGCCAGATGAAAACGCGTAGAAATTGGAGTGATGAAAATTGGTCCAAATTTCCAGATTCGAATTCGATTGAATATAATGGATAGGCTTCTCCTCAAAGTTATGACTATTGATTCTTGTACAAAAAATTATCTTTGATATCCAAAGGTGAAAAGTATCGAGGTAATCGAACGTCTTCAAATGCATCACAATTACATGTCACTTTAGGAAGGAAGAAAAATCCCCTCCTTAATTCACCCTCTTTTTAATTTCATACAATTCACTCCCTCTAGATCTGTCTATGTCTTGTTTCTGTCTCGACCAAGAAGATAGCGTCTTCTAATTCAGTTTTCTTGATCTCTTCTGTCCTCGCCCTTTCTCTTCAATTCTTCAACTTTTCTATCTTCAAATCTTTAGCAATAACAACCCTTTTCAACGCCAGTGACTTCTTTCTTCCTTAAGACTTCAACCTATTCTACATCTATTATCTCTTCCTTATTGATTATCTGCAGCTTTCTCAAGCTACAAAGTGCAAACCCTGGAACCTTGAGAAAGTTCTCCAATCCATCGTCTTCTGATCTTTACCTTGCTTCTGAGACTCGACTCAAATTTACTGCTCGCCTTCAACTTTGAAAACCCAAAGACTGCCAAAGCACGACCAAAGTTTCAAGATGCTACTTTTCAAGCCCCTTTTCCTTGGAATATGGTTAGTATCAGTATCTGCTTTCGGATGGAAGTCCAAAATTATCGACGATTCCACTCCTGGCCAGCGACAAATTGGAAAAAATCAGCACCAGGATACTAGGTCGGAGCTGGTAAACGCACGATCTCGCAACAACGAACTGTACTCTAGTGCGATGCTTGAGTTGAAGAGGCTGGAGGAAGAACCGATTTGCCATCGAGTAGCTGCACACCTTTTAATGAGCAATTGTGAAGGTTTGGAAGACATCAATCAAAAAGAATACGATTTATATAGTGGGCGTGTTCAGAGGCACTACGTGGAGAGCCTTGCTGCAAGTCTCGCTATTTGTGATATGGAACGTAGTAGTATGGTCGTTCCTGACGCTTGCGAGCCTTTCCGACTTCCATCTTTGTTACGTGCTTCGCAAGAAGCAGAAGGGAAATTACAAGTATCACAAAATGAAGTTGGAGCGTGCTTGAAGGGACTCGGTAAAGATCCTTCCCATTGGTTGAGTTGGACTAGTTATCGGGACAATTGTCTTTTAATTTGTCAAGCTGCTCGATCTGACATTGACAAAGGTATGTCGCCGGTCAGTCCACAAGAGCCTGCCTAATTATCTCCAGATCAATCTATTCTTCTACAAAAAAAGCTTGTGGCGATCATGAGTCAATTTGCGGCAGACCTTGAGAATGACCTTCATGATCTCAAGCAAAATATGGCCAATCATGCAAGAGCAGCAGATTCTCACTTTGAAGGAGTCATGACGCAGGCTGAAGCACTCAAGACCAAGGTTGAAGGAGCATTTGAGGTCATCTCATCAGAGGCGTTGGTAAGTTCACCACTCATCTGTATTATATGCTACAAAATTGACTCATGTATGTAGGATGTTGCAAGTGCGCTTCGATCAATACTTGGTAGCACTGGCGATATTCAACGAGTGATGAAGAATGTCGTCGATACTGTTCTACAAAGCAATGCCGAGATGGCCGCTGCACAAGAACAGGCTCTTGTGGCCACGTCTGGAACTGCAAAATCAAAATTGGAAAACATCAACGCATTGGCAGAAAACGCAGAATCATCATTCGAGAGACTGACTTACGCGATTGTAAGTCACAAGGATCATTCAGATGACATGACTGATTATATGTAGGATCTCTTGATTCCTGTTATCACATCCATGAGTGATAGACAAGACAATTTGGACCAGGTAAGGGTTCTCACCCCATGACACACAAGACAGAATTGACTTCTACAGAGGTTCGAGACACTGAGCAATGTCGTCGTGAATATGACCACCTTGATCCAGGATCACTCGGAAAGCCTTGAACAAGCCAGCTTTACAGCAACTGGTATTCGAGAAAGTCTTGGGAAAGCGGTTGAGGCCGCGAATTCATGGAACAGTATTATGAGTATGGGTGAGCCATTTGTTAATAATGCTCTTCGGATACTCTTGCCCCCGATTACTCTCTTCTTTGGTAGTCATGGTCTTCCGCCATCTTTGATTCGTAACCTGGGTCTCTTCGTCGGGGGTTTGTTTTTACCTTCCAACTTTATACAAAATGATACTGATAGGAATAGGTTGGGCAATAGCAGAAACCACGATACAGTTACGCCAAATCGAAAACTGGATTCCACGGATTCAAAGACCAAGAGCGTTAACACAACTGGCACGAGACAAAGTACTACAAGAGGAAGCACAAATAATCTTCAAGGCTTCTACTACATTGCACAATGATATCAATTCAAGTAATGGAATCCACTTGAGCGAGATGAAGTAGAGTCGGAAGGTTTGTGTGACTTCTCGACATCTTTACCGACTAACTCAAACGAACCTCCAGTCATCCCTTAACGACAAAATTATCAATTCTCATCGGAGGGTCATCATGACCTTTCAATTCACAACTTTACGACTATTATGTGGCCAGCTAACACATGGAAGAAATGGGTAACAAATATCGTTATTTATCAAACAGTAACTATTTTTGAAGGGGCTTTGCATTTGATGGAGCTTGCAAGACGTGGAGCTACAATGGAACAAATGGATGGGATACATATTGGCATATATATTTTTAGGTGCGAAAGGCTAGTATGACTTCGATGTCCGAAGGAGTTCTCTGGTACCGAACAACGACATATAGGAAAAGGGGAACTTATCTGTAAATACAAATTATTATTTTGCTCAATCTCTCAGGGGTTCCAAGCACTCTGCCAATAATATGCAAACTGATGTCGGTGAAGATAAAAAAAAGCTTTGATGTGAGGCTTTCCAAGACACCCCCTATCTACTGAGTATTTATTCCATCTGGATATTTCCTTTTTGCGGTGACATAAAAGAGATAATGCAGATGACTCGAGGGCAGTAATGTTTCACGACATGATCTCAAACGGTTGGCGTTGATCTGGTTCTTTAGCAACAAGCGATACGGTTATCAAACCTAACACATGTCAAAAATGTACTTATATGTCTCTGATTTCCTTTTCCTTTATAATGATGATCGAATGAATTCTCATATCTTCTCAGTGAATTCCAATAAGTTATTAAGTACATTTTTTCTTCTTTTCATAACGTTGTCTGTCCAATACGGGTTAATTTCGTTAGATACGTGATTAAATATGGTGGGTCCATGTAAATCGGCCGCAGGGGCAAGTCCCCTCTAAAATTTAACTGCGCTCTTCTAGAAGTCAACAAGCTCAATGCCTTCAATCTCCCTCGCTGGTCCCTGAATTCTCACCAACTTGCATTGATCAGTTCTTATTTTAGCATTGCACATCATTTTCTGATACTTACTTTCCTTTACTCAAACTTCATAAATCAATCTGTTAAGTGTTTGAGATACCCAAGAGCAATTGGGAGAGAGAGAGAGAGATAGGGAACGATAAAGATCCAGGTCAGTTATTTTTGATAACCAATCCAATCCCGAATAGAAGCCCAACTCGCACATTCACCCATTGGAGCATTGGATTTTGCGCAATTGGAGAACACCATTGTAAGATAGGTGTGCTTCGTATTGCGCTGCGATTGAACACGTCGTAAGTCTCGAGTCACATTGAGGGTTTTGGTGTATCAATCTGTTTGGCAGATTCAATCTTTTGCGCTACCCAGTGAGATTTGGGTCTTTCCATTGATCAATGATATGTTACATGTCGCGCTGTTTGGTGGAGTACATATGCACATGTGAGGCTAGGAAAATTGAGTTGGGGAAATGGTCATTGATGAATCATAAATGAATATCGCTGACTGATTTTGATTTTCACAACCATAGTCGCAATTATTAGTCCTTCGTTATACAATCTCCTTCCTCCTCGATCATTGTCAATATGGCAGACGTTGAGAGCCCAGTTATCCCCCAAGAGACTTTCAAGCCAGAAGAATCATCTCTGGATACATTAGATGATACTCCTGTCACTCCTATCACCCCTGTTGAAGCTCCCCTTGAGGGCACCGCAGATGCTGTACCAGAGGAAACTGCAGGAGCAGGATCAGAAGTAGATACTGAGACAGAGAAGGAATCTGTCAAGAGCAACGATGCAGGCAAGACCGCAACAGGAGCTGTAAGTGGTGTGAAGAAGGAAAATGTACTTCCCAAAAGAGCTGGCTCATCTGCGGCACCAAGACGTCCAATTTCAGGAAGCGCAACAAGACCCACGGCCTCTTCTGGGATCAAACCCACATCTTCATCCGCAATCAAAACTACAGGAGGTTTGAGCAAACCTCCAACGCGCCCAGTAACTGGATCTATTGTGCGAAAGCCTACAGGCAGTGCAACAGGAACTACATCCTCCAGTGCCAGTCATAGAGCTCCATCTGCTGCTGGAACTCATGCAGACGAGAAAAAACCTGCCACTACCTCTGCACGACGAGTTTCTCTTGCACCAAGCCATACCAATACTTCGAAGACGCCTGGTACAGCGGCTGAAGCCCGGGCCAGACCTGTCTCTATGCACGCTACTACTACTACTACAACCACAGCAGCACCAACCGCAAGAAAGCCTGTTGCATCGGCGACAGCAGCTGGTCAAACCAGTCCAAAGGCCGTGAAGACTGCTAGTACAACTGCCCCAAAGCCAACGAGTGCTTCTACGTAAGTCCTCTTATAGTTTGATCTTGTGAATATGGTTGTGTCCATTACTGATAACTAAATAGCACTACCACCACTCGCCCAACACACTCTTCCAAGCCTTCGATTAGCGCTCTTAGCAGCGGCGGTGCAGTTTCGGAAGCTAGAAAGCGCCTCAATGCTCTTCAAAGTGGTACATCGGCCCACCCAGCACCAAAGCCATCAGTATTGTCATCCTCTCGCTCCGTCAGTGGAACAACATCTGCGACTGCGACCGCGGCCGCATCCACAAAAGAAGTCGAAGAGTTGAAGACAAAATTGGCGGAGAGCGAGACCAAGGTCGAAGAATTGAAGAAGGAAATCACCACATCACAAGAAAGACTTCTTGATCTTGGCAAAGCAGCTGAAGAAGAGTCGAAACGTATTTCGGATGCCGAGGAAACCATCCGCGCAACTCACAACGAACTTGTCGAGAAGCTTAATGCCGATCACAAAGCGATCTTAGAGAGTTTGCAGGCCCAATTGGTGGAAGCCGAGAATGCCAAGGCAGCAGCTCAGGAAGCTTCTTTAGCGGCTATTGAGGAGGCAAAAGAAGCTGCGTCTTCTAGAGGCGCCACTGAGCATGTGGAAGCTTTAGAAAAGTTAAAGTCTGAACATAGTGCTGCCTTGGAGGCATTGAACGCTGAGTTAGCGGCTGCCAAAGAAACACATGTTAGCGAGCACGCAAATGCTTTAGATGCAGTCAATGCCGAATTAGCTGCCGCTAGAGAAGCAAATGCCGGTGCTATCGCTGCAGCTGCCGAGAAGGAGGCTGAAATCACAGATTTGAAAGTTCAGCTCGAGCAGGCTATTGCAGAATGTGCAGCCGCAACTGAATCATTGAAAGCTTTACAGGCCGAGCATGGTGAGAAAGTCAAAGCCTTAGAACTAGACTTCGAGTCCAAGTCCAGTAAGCATGCAGACTCTCTGGAAGAGTTGAAGAGAACCTTGGCAGAGGAGCACAATGCTGCCATAGAGGCATTGAAGTCTGCCCATTCGGAAGAACTTTCACGAGGAAATAACGATGCCTCCTCAACTTATGAAACACAAATTTCTGAGTTAACCAACAAACATGAAGAGAATCTATCCGCCATCCAAAAGCAGCTTGAATCCCAAGCTGGCGAACATGCAAGCGCTTTGGAAGAATTGAAGAAGACTTTGACCGAAGAGCACACTATTGCTCTTGATGCATTGAAGTCCGCTCATTCGGAGGAGCTTGCGAAGGGCAATACTGATGCTTCCTCTACTTATGAAAACCAGATTGCCGAATTGACTACGAAACACGAGGAAAGCTTAGCTGCTGTTCAAAAACAACTTGATGAAGTTCTCGAGGCTCAAAGATCTTTGGAATCAGCTCATGCCGAGAAGGTCCTAAGTCTGGAAAGTGAGGTCACAAGTCTCAAAGAAAGTCTCGAAAAGAGCTCCGTAGCATTGGCACTATCAGAAAAGGAAATTTCGGAAGCTAAGGCTGAGGCTGAGGCTGCTAGAAAGGACCTTGCTTCTGCACAAGAGCAAGTTATCGAGTTGACTGCGAAACTCAATGGATTGCAATCTACTGGATCCGAGTCCGAATCCGCGCTCACCGCAGCTAAAGAAGAATTAGAAAAGTCCAAGCAGGAAGTCATTGCACTCCAAAACACCTTGGAACAATTTGGTTCCGACGAAAAGAGCAAGGATGAATTACACATGAAGATCAAGGACGAGCTTGCAACAACAGGTCAGTCATTAGATGAGAAAACCAAGGAGATTTCCGAACTTTTGGAGAAGCATGCATTGGAAACTTCGACGCTCAATGAGAAGCACTTGAAAGAACTGGAAACCATTTCAAATGATTATCAAAAGGAGATTGATGCATTATCAGGAGACTCTGGCATCAGAGACGAATTTAATGCGTTGAAGACCAAACATGAGGAACTCACCAAGGCTCATGCGGAGATTTTGGAGGCTCATCAAACCGAGCTCGAGAAGGCAAAACAAAATCACGCTGCAGCCATTGTTGAACTCGATATCAATGAGAAGGCCCATCAACGTGCGTTGGAAGAGTTGAAGACAAACCATGCCAAGGCATTGGATGAGGCACATGACAGAGCTATATCTGCTAGTCATTCTTCTCACTCCTCAGAATTGCAACAGCTCGAGCATAGTCATGTCGTTGCTATTGCCGAATTGAAATCTGAGTTTGAGAAGACTCATGCAAAGGCATTGGACGATGCACACAGCCAAGCAACTTCTGCTGCTCAAGCCGCACATCAGCAAGAATTGGAGAAATTGACTTATAACCACGCTGAAGATATCGCCGCCTTGAAGGCTCAACATGCTTCAGTTCAATCAACTCATGAAGAAGCTATTGCAGCCTTGAAGGCAGAACACGAAGCCAATATTGCTACCGCCTCGTCCGACGTCGAGAGTCAAAAGATCGCACAAAAGGCCCACGATGAAGAGCTGGGAAAGTTGATGGAGAACCATGCTGCAGATATCGCTGCATTGAAAGCTCAGCATGCAAATGCTCAGTCAACTCATGATGAAGAAGTCGCTGCCTTGAGAGCCGAGCATGAAGCCAAATTGGCTGCTGCGTCGTCAAATATCGAAAGCCAAATGGGTGCTCAGCAAGCTCATGAACAGGAGTTGGAGAGATTGCTTCAAAGTCATGCGGAGGACATTGCTACTTTGAAAGCCCAGCATGCTAATGCCCAATCGACGCATGATGAGCAAATCGCTGCCTTGAAAGCTGAGCATGAAACCAACTTGGCTAATGCTTCCTCAGATCTTGAAACCCAAAAAGGCGCTCAACAAGCTCACGAACAGGAGTTGGAGAGATTGCTTCAAAGCCATGCTGAGGATATGGCCGCTCTGAAAGCCCAGCACGCTAATGCTCAAGCGACCCACGATGAAGTAATTGCCGCTTTGAAAGAACAGCATGAAACTAGCCACGCTACTGCCTCCTCGGACTTTGAGAAACATAAGGCTATTGAGGCCGAATTGCAAGATGAGATCGCCAAGTCTAAACAATCTTTGTATACAGCACAAGATGAGTTGGAAGCCCTCAAGCAAGCTTTGGCTGCCGAAAAGATTGCTAAGGCCAATGCTGAGGCTGATTTGGAGGCTGCAAGAAACGTGAAGTTGGATACTTCCGAGCTTGATGCCTTACGTCAAGAACTACAAACTCTCAAGAACCAACATGAGACTGCTCTGGCATCAGCCCGACAAGAAGCAGCAATGGCCACCCAAGAGCTTACAGCTAGCAAATCACAGTTGGAGACAGCCAAAGCAGAACTCGAGAAAGAGAAAGCTGCTCTTGAACAAAAGGTTAAGACTAGCAAGGATGACTACAAGACAATGCATGAATCTATGACGGAGCTCCTCGAAGAGACTAGCAAAGATTGTGAAACTCTTGATGCTCGTTTGAAAGAAGCAGAAGCTCAACTTAAAGTCAAGGATGCTGAACTTGCAGAGGCAAAGGTATGAATTTAATTTTCCTTCTGATTATGTAGTTATAATAGTACTAGGTACTTGAGCTAATTCAATATGGTGAAACAATAAAGACCAAGCTCTCAACTACATCCCCACCAAAAACACCAACATTCGGAGGACTTTTTTCTAGGGGATTCGCCGATACCGATGGTAAGGATTCCGAGGGAACGGGTGAAAGCACAGATGCAGTGGTTACACCTGAAAGTGAGCATGATAATTCATCAGCCGCGTTAGCTTCGGTTGGCGAACCTTTTTTCTAGTGCTTCTGTTGCCCAGTTCTATTCTCCTTTTCCTTGGTTCTATTTGCACATACCTCGCCCCCAACTCCTTCCTTACTCGTACACAGACATTTAGTCTTTCCCTTTTCATACCAGCCTGATTCAGATACTCATACACACAAAAAAGGCAACATTCACTAACGTATTACTCAAATTAATAGTTAGCAAAAGCTAGAGTTACTGTTGAACAGTTGGAAAAGATGAATGATGATTTGAAAAAGGATAATATGAGGTAGTTATTTTTTGTTCTTTTCCAACCCTTCCACTTCACACAACCCCTTTTTTCTGCATTCAATGGAATTGGATCCCATTTTCCTGCCATTCAAAGCACATCCCCTTTATTCCTTCCGCTCTTCCACCGGATTTGCTGCTTGCTTTTTAATTGCTATTACATTGGTATTGAAATTTGCGAAGTGTGAAATCTCGGCTGATTATAGATTGTTTTGCTCACGCTAGGTCATTAGAATCAATTTCAGACGTCTCTGGGCCAGCTCGTAATGAATAGCTCTTGACATAATATTATCCTCCTTTCATTTCAGAATCTTTCAACGTATTCCAGAATTTCAGCCTTTTTCGCACTTCTTGCGCATCATGTCTCAGCTCAACTTATGTCAACTTCTTAATCAGCAAACTGTTTCTTCAGTGCCTTCTATTCATTTTATGTCGCCGATATTTTTCATCATGTTTCGACTGTTTAATTCGACTTTTTTATGCATCGCCTACAAACGTTCTTAGTTCATGGTGGTTTCTTGTCTTGACTTGACTTTGTTTCAAAGTCTAATAAATCGTCATACTTTGCCCGATACCCGAAATATAAAACCTTTCTATACCCAACTTTATTCTTTGCTTTTTTTGCATTTATTTGCTAGCTTCGATTCTTGTATCTTGCCAGTGTTCGCAAAGATATAAGCAGAAACTGAAGGCTGGATGGATGCATCTGGTATCATCTTTCTTCTTCTTGGGTGCGCTTTTTAATAGGGATGGACGAATGGATGTATGGGTGGATAGATGGATGGTATGGTATGGAATGGTGGGTTGGAAAGGGAGATGGATTAGATGGGAATTTGTATGTGAGGTGAAGTGAAGTGAACACGGATGGTGAAGAGTACATGCTTGTTAAGAATGTATGCATGGACTTTTGAGTAATGAGAATGAAGATTCGTGGTTTTATCGAGTTGTTTGCTGTTTGATATTTAATTCTTAAGTAATGAGGTGGTAATGATGTGAAGTGTATGTCTGGGTTCTCAATAGTTCAGATCGCAGTGTGATAATTGAGAGTTTCATAAATCTAATGGATTAATTTGAATGGTTTGGAACGCTGAGCGCACTTGTGATTTTGTACTGCTTTTGAATATTGAGAGCTTATTGGATTGAGTCTGGATTCCAAAATGTTGAGTACCCTGATTATTCATCCTCTGGCTCTCGAGTGAAATGGTCATGTAAGGTTTATACTTGAGTAATTGCTACAGATGGTGCAAATAGAATGTGCGTGATCTTGATTGCTCCAGATCTCTCAAGAGTTGGCTCTCCATCTGGAATTTGCAGGATGAGATCTCTTTTTAAACTAACCTGGTATACGAAATACGGGAAATACTATTGCCCACACTGTCCCTCACTATCTATCCTCTACCAACCCATGCTCAACTCACATTCACACTCCCTTTTCAACTCCAAAACAAATAAACAAACAAATACAAAAAGCACACTCTCCAAACCCTCTCAACCCCAAAAAGCTACAACTCCCATTCACACACTTACTTACATACACACAAACGCCCCTCATCCCTTCATCCCATACATAACCTCCCTCCCAAAAAACCAATCCAAAAATATTGCGTTCGCCGGGAATCGAACCCGGGGCCCATCGAAGTTGTTCAATTCTTACAAGTAAGAAATTGATGGCAACGATGGATTTTACCACTAAACCACAAACGCTGATTTTATTTGTTGTTGTGGTGGGCTCGCGTTGTTTCAGTATCTATTTTTACATGCCTAAGGCGGTGAAAGAATGATTGCTCGCAGAGTGGGGATTATGGAAAGGATTAATTGGATTGATTGAGTGTAAGCGAAAAGCAATGGAAGAATGAGGAAATTATCTACGAGTGTGTTAATGATTCTCAATATAATAATACTCAATATAAATTTACTCTTTATCAAATATAATTCGTCTTTTTTGTTTATCAATGAATGAAGTTTCCGCGCGTTAATATCCTTTCCTGAGAATTTCGATCACGTTCATACTGAAATTGGAAAGAAAGCTGGACTGTGGGGTAGCTGGCTCTACTTTGTATAGGTGGATACCTAGTGGTGGGTGAGTGGAATAGATCTCTAGGAAAGAGTAGTTTATTAGATAGGTAAATTTTCCTATTCAAGCATTCAATCATTTCATCAATCGATAGAATTATAAAAATTATAAAAATTCATGCGCGCAGATAAACAAACGTATAGCAAAGTAAAGCAAGTATATCAAACAAAAGCATCGCTTCCATCCCATCCTATATCTTCTTTCCATTTCCATCTTTCTTCCTTTTCTCTAGATCCCAAGTTCATCAGTTCGTAAATTCGTAATAAAATACAGTGCTGTTTCATCCATTCAAGTTCAAGTAACAAATCCACGCTCGCTGGTAACCTTCCAATCGCGTCTCTAAAATCGCTTATGAGTCGTATCCTTCGTTCATATCATGAGCATCATCAAGCCCCAGTTCAATAATGTCTATCGTCAACTCCCTCATAACCTCTTCCATCACTCCTTCTAGGCTTCTCCTCATGAGCCATATATCTTTCCCGACTATCATCTCTATCCCTATCCCTTCGACTCCTAACCGAATCCCTCCTTTCCCTTCCACTTCTTCCTCCATCCCTGTCCTCCCTTTCTTCATTCCCATCGATCTTCCCATCCGGATATTTTTTATCCCATTTCTTCTGTTTCTCCTTTGCCTCTTCCTTTCCATCCTGCCACTTATCAACCACAGCATTAGCCAACAATCCTCCCGCCGCAGCTCCAAATAACGTAAGGAGCTTTGCCCGATCTCCCATATCCTTTCTATCCTTCCCTGTCCGTGATTCCTGATACTTTTCCACCGCCCATCCTCCTGCAAGTGCTCCAAATGCTCCTCCGACTATTCCTTTTGGTGAATCTGTGAATAATCCTTTTACTTCATCTTTAACTCCATAGCGTTCGGCACGATCCTTCATACTACCCGTATGTGAATCTTTAGATTCACTATGATCGGATCGAGGTCTGCGACTGGTGTTACGAGTAGAAAGCCTTTGGTCTGTATTTGAGGAATAAGATTTGCGTTGACTGTGGATATCATCGTAGGAACTGCTTCTTTGAATAGGTTTTGGTCTGCGTGTTCTCTCTTTTTCGTATCGTTCATCTGAATCATAGTTTCCTCTCCTTTCGTCTCTGTCAAATGGGTCTGGGAATGGTGCTATAGGTGGAGGAGGAAAATAGTAAGGATTTGGACTAGCGGGATCTAATGGTCGAGGAGCACTATACTTTGGAAGATATTCAGGACGAAGACGTGGTGGTTGTTGACTGTATATCTGCGATGGTGGAGAATTGGATCGATTTGATTCTTCATAAGGATATCCATATCCATAACCTGTACTTGTACCCGCGCCACTATGTCTTGGAATATCTCTCAAATCTCTCTCTCTCTCTCCTTTCGATTCCCAATTCCTATCCCTCATATTTTTTTCGCGTTGTCTAGATGTATAATCGGGTTCGGAATCGTAACCTGCTTCTTCGATTTCTGGATTGCTATATGGTTCCTCTTGTCTCTTTTGTGTTCCTCTTTCCCAATCGTCTCGCTCTCGCTCATCCCTTGAATCTCTTCGTCGCTCTGGATCTTCTCCTTGATCTCGAGAATTTCTCCGTTCTTCTCTTTCCCTACGCTTCCTCCTACTCAATCTGGAAGGAATATGCGGTTTGTAAGTTTCTTTCCTAAATGCTTTATCGGGAATTTTATGAAAATGTTTGTTGACGAGAACATCAGTAGCTTGGAGACCTATGGGAAGGTAATCCATTTTTGATAGATTGGGGTTGGCCCGTAGTATAGCGTGGTCTAAAGTATGGTTCGTAGTGTAATGATGAAAGTTAAGGTTCGTTCCTTGATTGAACTTTGATGCAAGGTTGGATTGGTGATTTGTATTGGACGGAATAAAGTAAATGAAGAGCTTGGAGGGGTTGAATTGAGTTTAGAGGGGTGACCCTTAAGACGGGAGAGTCGTAATTGGTTTCTTGGTTACTTGGTAGTAATAATGTATACCTTGTCCCGCAGTATAGATAGATTAATGCTTGAGAGTAATAAATAATTCGATCGTAAAATTCAAAAGCTTCGGATTTCCTACAAAATGTATGAATATACCTCGTAACGTCGAACCTCGAAAGAAAAGTAACGAGAATGAAGGGGTAAACCTTCTCCAATATATCGGAAATTCTTCTTAGCTTTATCGTCTTACAAATTGAGGGTCATGAGGCTATTTTCCTTTTTTCCCCTTTTTTCCCCTTCCCTTTGCAATTTTTGTATGCGTGGCACTCAATTAAAGGAATCCCGATGTTTGCGTGGGGGGAGTGAGGCCGGAGTGAAGATTGCAGTGATAAATTGTATCATCGTGCATAATGAGTGCATGAAGTGAGATTTATAATGGAAGCAACAAGCAAACAAGCAGAAATCAGGGGGGAAGATAAGGGGAATTACGTCATTTGTACACCACGTGACTCAAATGCTGGAGGCCGGCGACCACAACTACCTAGGTATATTATGTACACAACGTGACAACCAACGCAGCGATTACCATTGGATGTCTCCACCCGAAAAGTCGGAAGACCAACCAGCCATTTACCAACCAACATTTACCAGATCCAATGGCCCAGCCAATGGCCCAATGACCAAAGGTTGATCACACAAGGTTAAGGCATAAACGATCTACCAACCCAATGGCTATCAGTTGGCAGACTCCGACTCTCTGAGCCTCAAAGTCTCACGGTGAGACAGATGTACTGCATGCATATCCACCGGTACTTGCTCGGGAGCAAATCATCTACGTAGTACAACCATACATACTTTACCTTGAAAGGGCGGTATGATCGCGGGGAGACACGACACTACTCTGTTCATCATCATACACATCCAAAGTAGTTTACTTACTGTAGGCACGAGTATGGAACAGTCGAATCAGTGTTCCTGATATTCAATAAACTTGTATGAGCATCGAGAATGTGTACTATGCATCAATACCCCGGGTAGTCCCTCTTGACGTCTATGTATGGGGTAGATGCTGAATCTAGACCTGTCTAGATACCTAGGTAGGTAGTGTTGTTGAAGAAGCGTTTAGCATCTACAACAGAAAGCGAAATTTTGATTGCCACTTACTCTAGTAGAGGTAGGAGGGGAACTTCTGATTAAGAGAATACATAGATGATAGAAGTTTAGGAGCAGAACGAATGATTGCGAGAAGATTTCGTACACACACATATATATACTTCGTAGAATCGAAGGCAAGCTCACATGTCACGTGCAAGGTGTGCGTCTTTATCAAGAAACTATTCAAGTTTTATCCATCTAAATCGTTTTGATGCATGCATGGTCTGACGGGAGACTTCTCTACTTTTAAAGTTGTCATAAGTTGATTCCTCACATGTATGATATATTACAAATTACAAGTCATTTTCTCGTTGCTCAATATTTAATGAATCATTTATAAGAATTCTCAAGATATCGGAACTGGTTTTGCAAGAGATGTTGTCAAATCAGTTTGTGCAATGTCCCGTCAGTTCATGCATCCACCAGTGGATTCAATGATTGAATCTCGTATCAAAGCAAAGTAGTTCTTTCTGAAATTTAGATCAGATCGCAAAAATTCGCAGTTTGAAGAGTATCTTTAGATACATAGGCACCTAGTTATTTGATACTATTTCATGCCGCTAAAAGCGTAAGTTAGCAGTCACACACACACTCACATTGAAGAGCTTGGTATCCAAGATCTTTATCTTTACATTCACTTGAATGCTTGTGCTCATTTGAGCATTTTAAGTATCACGTAGTGTTGAGGCGACTGATACAATACTACTCTTTTGGAACATATACTTCCTACTTCCTTCTATTTACCTCCTTCTATATTTTCTTTCGATTTTCTCTGGCTCTTCATCCTATTCAGAATACAAAACTACTCTGACATCAGTCATAATCTTATCCAAGCGATTCGCCCGTTCCATGTCAGATGACGTCCGTCTTGAACCAATTGCCCCCCTAATCATCCGCGCTTCTGTTTTCACTTCCTTATGCCTTTTCTTAAACTCCTCCTTGGGTAATTCTTCCCAATATCTCTCTTCCTTCAGCTTCCTAATAGCCTCTAAAACCCACTTAGTCCTGGGTTCTGGCCCATGCACTCTCCTCTCCTCCTCCCACTCTTTCTCTGTCATTTTCTCCGGCTTTTTCGCATACGGCAAATAGTTCTTGAACCGCGAATACAATTCTTCTTTCCCCAGTTCCCTTTTCACCCACCCAATCTTACACATAAACATCCTCTGCGCCACCATCACTCCTCTCAAGTTTCCCCCATTTACATCGTAAAGCGGATCCGCATGCTCGGTCGCAGGCGAGAAATCAATCGTCTTCATACCCTGATAATCATTAAACATCGTGCGAAACGATAACGTCGCGATGAAGTTTCCAGGCGCCATGTTATCGAATTGATGGAAAATAAGATATACATGTATGGAATAATGATGTTCAGTAGAAACATTGACGCCGAGAGCGTGGCTCACGGGAGGCTGGTATCCTCGCTCGTTATATTGTCTGGCGGGAGGACGAGCTTGCTTTTTGCGTTTGTGGTCGTCGTTGCCGTCTTCGCCGCGCCAGAACTTTTTATGGTCAAACATGTTGTGTATAGGGTTGGCTTGGGGTGGAGTGCGCATTTATAGGGTTGTGTGTGCTAGGGGTGGGCGAGGTTTGGGTTGAGGGTCTTTCAATAGAAGTGGTCGCTAGGGCCGAAGAGCTGGTCGAAAAGCCACACTTTTGTCTAAGCCTCCTGGCTAGAACCAAGTTTGACAAATTTTTTGTGTCAAAAATCTATTCTCAACTTCATCTTGTTAATTCCACATCAAGATTTAAAGCCGAAGAATTGAGAGTAATTTCGTAAGTTATGTAACCGAAAGGCTAATAACTATTTAGGCATTTAGAGTCATTAATACGATTGATTCACATCTAGGTTTCAGATGAACAAACTTATGTAAACTCATAAATGTTGAAATCATTGTAAATTCGCTTTTAACCAGGACTAAAAGGAATCAGACGATAGTAAGATGATTACAAAAGTTAAAATACTCTATATAATGTTTAATAACTCACCTGCTGATGAAATAATCAAATGATGTAATCAATGAGAAGAACCGCAGTCCCCTTAGAGCTTTCTATTTTGCAAATTCCACATTTGATTACACTCAAATAATTAGACACAATACAATACAAAACGCCCGTATTCTACATCCAGAAAAATCAAACATTCACAAGCGAACTAACACTTTTTAAATTTTTTACATTAACAAGTCATATGAACTACCTTCTTCGCTCCATCGTATGAATGTGTTATATGCAAAGTGCCGTACAAATAACTCTTTAATCCAATAAAATGATCTATTGGTGTACGTTCTATATTTGGGATTCCAGATTGCCGAGAACTCAAACCTGAGATGAACCGTATCTACTCCTCGGTTCTGTATGACTATAGCGAGGTTCATGTACTTATTAAAAATTTCTGAATAGATAGAGAGATTTGTATACTTGCATAAACAACTCTTCTATAAGACAGCTTTGTACACAAATAATCTATTCCATCTACAAAAAGTTGGATAACACAGCATCATCAAGTGTTTTCAAAGCAGCTTGATATCAACCCTTTACCATACTTCAATATACAAAATTCAACCAGACATTCACAAATCCCAAAGCCCGATAAACAGACAATTCATAATGTCTCTTCCAAGTCGCGATTCCCCAACCATCAAAGCTCTAATCGAAAAGCAGAAGTAAGTCTATCTATCCTTCATATTATAGAACTTCCATACACTGCATGATATCAATTTTTTTTTGGAAACAGCATCTAACCACTCTCAGAGAAAAAGAACGCAATACCATTCAAGTGAGAGTAGGCAAACATAAAAACTTATATACACTCGAAAAGAATATTCTGTACCGACACGCCCCATTCCTTAAAGAGGCTTGCGAACACTATTCGCAAGGACTTGATCACAGCGCTATCAACTTTCCACAAACAAATGATGTGGTGTTCAAGTTGTTCAAGGCCTGGCTTTATAAGCTGGATTTGGGCGATGCTGATGAGGAGATTGCGCAATGGAGAGCTAGGAAGGTGAAAACTGGCTCGAAAGAGCAAAAAGTTGATGAAGGACCGCTTATAGATCTGGACACCTCAAAGGGAAGGGGAAACGCGATGAAGATTGGCGATTCCCAAAGAGATAAGAATCTAGAGACGACAAGCAGTGATCTGAACACCAGCAGCAACGTGGCGCTAACAAACTTTTGTTATCCACACATGGCCAATCTTCTCGATTTGTACCTATTTGCCGACATGGCCAAGCTGCCACTTCTCAAGAACCAGTGCATCGCTAAGTATTATAAATATACCAAAGCCACGGGGTACATCATGACGCCATGGCTTTCCTACATGTGGAAATACACAACCAAGGGTATGCTAATACGCAAATTCCTTCTCGATTTACTGACGTGGGAAATGCCGCCTTTGTTATTCGAAACAAATTCGAAGGATTTTCCGGAAGAGTTGAGATTGGAGCTGCTGGTGAATATGGGATATGTGATTCAGGTGGCGAGGTATGGTACGTCGGCTATAGAGAATAGCAACCCGTTGAATGATCTTAATAACTACTATGAGAAGGTTGAAAAATTGGATGCTTGAGTGAGGGGATGAAGAAGGATCAGGGGCTTGATGATGGAGGGGCACTATGTAGCTTTTCATATTTTCGATGATGATACATATAATTTCAAATCGATTATCAAGAGTCATCAGGTTTCTTCTGAAGCATCTAGATACATAATCGAGACATATAATGATCTACCAGGTATATGTCTAACAGGGGACAAACAAACCACAGCAAAGAAGTAACTTGACAATATTTCATTACAACTACAACATAGAGGAAATATCACTGATATACCCCGTCCATAACCAAAAATCAAATACAAGTTCAATAACTCAATAATTATGATAACAGACTCTGAAATATAACAAAGTTTCATAGGTCAACAGGCTCGTTTATGCACTGGCATAGTGATGTCCATTAGTCTGGACTACGATCCAACAATAAACATTATCAAATCCTCAAATCGATTAGAGAATGTTCAAATTATTTAAGAGATTGAATTTTTGTTAGAACGTTGAACTATTTTCAAATTCCTAATTACTTTCAGATATTCAAAACATTCCAAGGTTGTATTATGGAACTACAATCTGGACTGTTGGATACCCTAGAACTCTGACCTTTGTCATTACCATATCGTCACCATCACACAAGTCAAACTGCAACAATCTCAGACTCCATCGCCGCTCAAACAACTTCTCATGGATGCCAGAACGATAAACAGTACACAAGCCCATTCAACCATCCTCACTCTATCCAACAAATACAAATTTGATCCTCACAGCGACTTGAGAACCTAGAACATAGATAACCTATAAATTCTCCTCCTCGAAAGACTTCCACAAAGCAAGCGCAGAAACTCCGCATCGATTTCGACAACTGGACTTCCAGCAACCATACCCCATACGAGGTAATCTCACAAGTTCCCAAAGAGAACGTGAATATTAGCCGCAGTCAAACTTTTAACGAACGATTCGCAAGCAGAGTGTGAAATGCTCTTAGCAAATCCAGATCTGTCAATACTAAACATAGAAAGTGATTCCTTGGATGAAGATATAAGTTTCTCAATTTTGCGAGAGAGAATGCAATACTACTAGACATGCATACACTCCATCACAATCCATCATCACACCTCCAAAAACCAGAAGCATCCTACCCACCTACCTTCAATCTACCTGGCATTCATTCAATCATAATCCCAAGCCCAGACTCAAACGAAACGCTAACAAAACCAAAACCCTCCAGCTTCAATAATCCAGTCCATTCCTGTCCATTCCAATCCAATATCCCATTTCAATTCCCTTCCGATCATGAAAAGTACAGCAATATTTATCTATCTATATATCTAACTACCACAAACTATCATGCAAAGATTCATTTATTCCCACGCATTAATTGACTCTTATAACTGTATCCATGGTTGAATGATATATCCCATCATAAAATTTATAAGGGTCATCAATTTTGAGTCTAGATACCCTCAGCGACCTCACTATCCTCACCCCACCCTCCAATCCTCCCACACACCCCACCAAAACACCCAGTCCGCGCGCAAACGATAAACTTATACATCCATATCACCATCCCATCGCAACCCATCCCATCCCACCACAACCTCACCCCTCAACTTCTTCACCCCAACCCAACCCAATCCAATACAAACACATCCTCTCCCCTTTCCATCCAAACCAAAAATGTCCTCCTCAACCAGTCGTTTCCCCCGCTCCTCCACTCCCCCCGAAAAATCATATTTCGAACAGCAGCGCGAGATTTTACTGGGGGAAATAGCTATTGTATGTTCTCTCCCCTCCTCTCTTCCCTCTTTCCTTACCCCTCCCCCCAATCAGTCCCCAAACCAATCCAAAGAATCCATAATATCCAAACTGTAAAATACATACATACATACACAAACCCCATCAAAAACAAAACAAAACTAAAAAAAACTCACTAACCCTCCCTTCCCCATTCAGTCATTCGAACACGTTCTCTCCAGTATTAATAAACTGAATCGGTCTCTAGAGGGTGTAATTGCTGTATGTCTACCCCCGCCCCCCCTCTCCTCTCCTTTTCTCCTTCATCTCCCTCCCCCCATCCTCCCCAAACCCCACTAACCCCCTCTCCCCAAAACAGGTCGGCAACGAATTCTCCTCCGTCGAAGCCCTCTGGTCGCAATTCGAAAACGTCATGGCCAAAGATCCCTCCACCGAATCCCCACCCGAAGAAGATATACAACATCAACAACACAGCAGCAGTAAACGCGAAGAGCACGAGGGAGAGGAAACGATTGTGGATGACGATACGCGGGTTTAAGTTGACGTATTGAGAGGAAGGGAAGGGAAGGTTTGGATGTGCTGAATTGGGTCGGGCCAATGGACCGCATATATCATGATAGAGATGACATGGCGAGGAGTTCTGGACTGGAGTATGATTGATACCCCTTTGTTACGTTTCATTCTTCTAGATTTCTCACGATTTTCACATATTTCACCAAAACGATGGAATTCGCAACATCTACCATAAAATAAGCTCGAAAATCAATAAATTATGTATACGTTAAGAGTATGATATGCATTGTCTACCCACAAAGTTTCGTTGTACATAAGAAAGAGTCGATACGATACGCTCGCCCATAGTCAGTTTGTTGTGTTCACAGTTCCCTCAATTCCCTAACTGATTCACAAGAAAGTCAAAAAAAACCCACGCAAATCAAAGAAGCCTAAAATAAGAAGATTACCGGAGAAAGTCCAGTCCAGTCCAGCTCCAGCGGTATGAGAGTGCGATGAAAAAAAGAAGTAGGAAAAGAATAAAAAGGCTAATGACCATGTCGCAATGCTATTTGATGCAATGCTCAATTTCCCAAAAATCTGCCCAATAGTTGCAGATTTTCACAATTATACACTCCTCGTTATGTTATGCAGTTCGTATGTCGTTTCAAAATATCATGCTCATGTCGTACTTTGTTGGGATGCGTAATGGTGATGATTTGGGGAAGGATGGATTATTACAAGAATCGACAACTGCGCTTCTTTTTTTTCGGGACGATTACACCTTGCGAACCTGATGTACCGGGTGGAGTAGACGATGTTGTGTTTTGTTGATTGCTTCGATCGTTGACAACAACTGTGTTGATGGCTTCGGTAAAAATTTCTTCCACACCAGTCATTTCTTTACTACTGCACTCCATATAACGCGCTCCCATCTTTCTTGCAACTGCCATTCCTTGTTCTGTGGTGACGGGTGTGAGACCTTGAGTTTTGAGGAGATCAATACAAGAACGTTTCGTTCTCAAGTCGGATTTCAGACCGACGAGGATAAGAGGTGTGTATGGGCAAAAGTGTAATACTTCGGGATACCACTATCGAGTCAATTAGTATGATGGATGGATCAACATGCACTTCTTCTCATCTTACCTTATCCATAACATTCTCAAGGGAATTTGGGCAGTCGATCGCGAAACAAACAAACAACAAATCTGTCTCCGGGTATGATAATGGACGGAGACGATCATATTCCTCTTGTCCTGCAGTATCCCACAACGCCAATTCGAGTGTCTTGCCGGTCTGCCGATGTGTTGGGTATGTGATATAATTCTCGAATACAGTTGGAACATATTTCTGAGAAAGGATTATTAGCCATATACCTACGAAGGTTGAGCTTCAAGCACAACATACTTCTGGGAAATATCCTTGACTGTAACTTATCAAAAGACAAGTCTTCCCGCATCCACCATCACCAACCACCACAATTTTTTTCGAATATGAAGGACCTTCTGTCATATGTGTAGCTGCCGATTCCCTTCCCGTTGAAGCATTGCTCATCATTGTGCTAACCGTTCCGTCACTGGATCTTTGACTTTGTTCGCGACGTTGGGTGATTTTCTTTCTTGGACTCGCGTCGTATTTTTCGGTTACACTTTCACGCCTTGAATATTGATTTGGTTGATATTGCGTAGCCATGCTTTTGTGGACGTTTTGGTCTGGAGAATTGAGGCGTCGCTTTGTGACGATGGTGTACGAGTGAAGTAAGTGAATGCGAGTCGAGACAATGATTGACTTTCTTTCCAATGACGAGAACGTTTCTTTCCAAGACACCCTAATCCTAATAGCTAGGTATGACTACTATTAAGTATTACCTAGGTATTGTGCTCCGGGAATTGAAATAATTGATGAAGGAATAAAGTTTGGATGAATGGTAATGGGGTTGTGGCTTGAGTGTATGTATGGAGTGAATAGTGTGAAATAATATGAAATTCCAAAATGGAGGAAAGTCTTGAAAATGATCCCTTTAAGGCTGGTGTTGATAAGTTAGCAAGTTTGGGATTAGGAACGGGTACGGGTGGATTTTTGTTTTTGGATAGGAAGTTAGTTACTCGAATGCAAGAGTTATTTACATTTGCATGGATCATTGGTTACTCTGGCAACTTCCAAGCTTCATCCACTCCACCCTAAAATAAATGTGGCAGGTATTGTGGCAGGTATGATGACATAAACTTTGAATGTTGGAAATTATGATGGGCGAAATAGGTGGAGGTCTGTGCATTTAGGCACGTGTTTGCGATTAGGTAAGAGAGTATGTGGCTGACGGATATATGGTTGACGGTTGACGGATATATCCATGGCTGAACGATACCTAGGTAGGTAGCTGGAGGTTCTAGGTACCTCCAGGGCTAGGTATGTGGTCTCGAGGTGCCCAGGTGCCCAGGTGCTTAACGTTAATGTGGCCGAGGTCGTCAAAGCAGGGAGAGAGGTGTGGCTCACCAGCTTGTGGCTCGTGAATTCCCATATTGAGAAAGGCTGAAGGTCCCGAGGTCTCAGGTTGAAAACCTGGGAAGGCTTTGACGATGCGATGCATATTGATGAATCCATATCATCATATCATGGTAAGCTCGAGCTGGATAATATCCACCAAAGTTTCAAGGCGTCGAAGGAAGCTGGAGATCAATCAATCAATCGATCAATCAAATCAAGTCAAATCATATCCATCCATATCATATCATATCAAATCAACCAAGCAATTCTTAAATCCTTGATGGTGTATCAAATCCCACTCAACCCCAAGATTTCATGGAAATGATAAGGACAATCTTATTAACCTTTTAACGCTTTTTTCCACCAGGGAAAGAAAGGTGTTTACTATTTTCTAAAGTAGTAGACTTCACCTAAAACAATCCTCTTCTCATCTTACTCGTTCATACCTAGACACTGCTAGGTATTATTGCGTGAGAACACATTTTTCTGTCGCTCATTTTTCTTCTTTTCCTTTTCCCTTTCCTTTTCCTTTATCTTTTTTACTTTCCTGGATTAGGAATTTCCCCCTCTCTTCCATTCCTTCATCTGACCAATTACTTCAATCTCTTACTTCTCTGTAAGACAAGACTTTTTACATCTCACGCGGGCACAATATATAGATGCTGCTCCAACGAATGCATCCATGTGTCCGACTCCAAATGGCGACGGCCTAGAGCTTGAGAAATCGAATAACAATCATACTCAACCTCCATCATTTTCACTTACGGTACCTCCCACAGAGATCATTGATGCGGGCTTGAAAAGTTTAAATCACTGTGAGTATAGTGATGATGGAATTACTTCTGCGCGCATTGCCCCCTTCACTACATCCCGTTATCTGGCTATTGAGACAATTATTGCGCAATCCAATATCTTTCGCAATACCAGGTTGACTCAAAACTATATCCACATATCTTCTCATTTCTCCCAGAGTCGTTGAGGATGTTTCATACATTTGCATCACAATTGATCACTGAAGGCATACTGATAACGACCCCGCAGACAAGCGCAAACTTCCACCATGGCGATATAATATGCGACAGGCTTTATTGCCTTTGGTTCGATGGGAGACTCCATACTTAGCATGGATGCAGGATAAGATGCGATGTCCAGCACTCGATACTTATTTTGCTGTCACTGCAAATCTTGGAACGCATACTTTCTTCATGATTGTACTGCCAATTCTGTTCTGGTGTGGACATACATCTTTGGGAAGAGGGTAATAAGTTTTTTGACGGGTACTCGCAGACATTCGCTGATTGAAATTCAGGATGGTTCATATATTGGCAACGGGAGTCTTTATAACGGGGTTCATCAAAGATATGTTCTCACTACCTCGACCACTGTCCCCGCCTCTCCATCGCATTACTATGTCGGGTTCTGCGGCACTCGAATATGGATTTCCTTCGACACATTCCGCCAATGCTGTCTCGGTGGCTGTGTATGCTCTTTTTACTCTTCATTCTCCAGAATGTCAACTGCTCCCTACAACGAAACTGGCCTTAGAGATTGTGAGCTATTCTTATGCCTTCTCTATCGTACTTGGACGACTTTATTGCGGCATGCATGGATTTGTGGATGTAATTGTTGGGAGCGTTATAGGAGCACTCATTTCTGTCGTCGAGTGCGTATACGGATCAACGATTGACAACTATCTCCACAGCAGTACCTGGAAGGCCCCTGTGACGATCGCCATAGTCATTATTCTTTTGATAAGAGTTCATCCAGAACCAGCTGATGATTGCCCATGTTTTGATGATAGTGTCGCATTCGCGGCGGTCATGATAGGAGTTGAACTTGGAGGTTGGCATTATGCTTCTGGTGGTTGGGCCTGGGATGTTCCAGTTCCAGCGACAGTACCATTCGATCTACATCATATGGGCTGGGTAATTGTGATATTACGAGTTCTCATTGGTGTATTGGTCATCTTTGCTTGGAGAGAAGTCATGAAACCAACATTGTTGAAATTACTGCCACATATTTTCCGAGCCTTTGAGAACACGGGGTTGATCTTACCTCGAAAATTCTTTATGCCTGCTTCGGAATATAACAATATTCCATCAAGACTCAAGGTGGATAATGTTATGCCGTCCGTATCCGACTTGCCAAGTTTGATCTCATCTATACGACATGCTGGACGGGGCCGCGCTGTATCTGTTGGACCTCAATCGGCTGCAGATGCATACGAAACTCTTGCTTATCGAGAGAAAAGACGGAGAGATAGTCTCACTGACGTTTTTGAAGGGATGACTCCTCGTCAAACCACTACGAAAGAAGCGAAAGATTATTTTGGCTCTAGACAACCGACAGCGGATGGTGCTATATCATCTGGGATGTCATCAATTCATGGAAGTATGAATTTGCCAACTCCAGCACAATCCAGAGTTGGCTCTTACGAACAGATGATGGGGGCAGGTCATGTTATGTATACTCCAGGGGTATCCAGTCCAGGTCTAGAGGGTGATGATGCAGCAGATGATGAGATTACCGTTGGGCAGGAAAACGAGCTTGATGAAACAGAAATGTTTTCTAGGCTAGAAAAACCACGTGTGAGATATGATGTCGAGGTAGTCACGAAACTCGTGGTTTATAGTGGTGAGTTTGTATGAGAATAGGGCCATTGAAATACCAACTGACAAATTTTAAGGTATCGCTTGGCTAGCAGTCGAAGGAAATCCGATAATTTTCGAGGTTATCGGTTTGGGTATGGGCGTATGAAAGTATTACGATGAATATTATAGGCTCTTATCTTATGGTCTTGAGCTCGGGATGTCACTTTCACTCGTGTAATTCAGACAGTGAACTGAATGATATTACCTAAGTACTCCAGGAGTTTGGTGGTACGTAGATTTTATGATGTGTACTAGGTATGCCATGAGGCGTTTCGGTAGTCGAATAGCATTTTAATTGCAAGCTTGCTTGATAACAATCATGTGGTAGTTATATGTCGGCGAATATTGCACATCTATTCTCTGGGTGTGAATTATGGATTTATAGTGGTGATATATTCTTTAATATATGTATTACCCGAATCTCAACTTACGATTTTCATAAGAATGCAACCCACCAAGGTATCTGGAACATTTAATATCGATAAATTTATTGATTCTAGATTCGACCATTCATTATCGCCATCTCAATTATAACAGTCTATTTGGGTATCTCCATCTCAGTCATTCCTGTCTACCTGGTAGTTTTTCTTTCAGCTCCTTGGCCCCCAATCATTGTTACACGCAGAGTGCAGTGCATGGTGTCGAGCGATCAGATGCTACTGTAACCGCATCAGTCGCTTCTGGCCCCCAAATCTCGAGTTACTTGGCGGAGCCTCTATCAGCACTAGATCTCTGTGTGACGCTGACCTGACCTGATCTGATCTGACACATGGTTTGTCCTTCTGTTTGGTCTAGTCTAGACTCCCAAGCTAGTCTTCCACGTTTTTGTTTCGTGATGGGATGTGCATGATTCGTTTGTGTATATGTGTGTGTAACGCAACGAACCGAAAGGAAATGCACGTATCTATTTTCCGCGGGTTGTTCGAGACCGATTACTTCGCTTCGTTATTTGCTGGAGTGGTTTCGCTACTCCATCTATCCATCCATTTTCCCATCTTAACTTTTTTTTTCCTTCCCAGCTCAGCTCATATGATATCATATCATACTTTCCTCCCATACCTCCATTTACTATCTCAAACCTAAATCCAAACCAATCCAAACCAAATCCTATAATCTCACCCCGCCAACGGATTAGCATGCACCGTCACGCTCTCAATCACCACCTTCTCCTTGGGTCTATTCTTCCTATCCACCTCTAACCCCTCCATCTCCCCCAAAACTCTAAAACTCTCCTCCCCAATCACATGTCCAAACACGGTATTCTGACCATCGAGATGCGGCGCGGGGGCAAAGAGGATGAAGAATTGCGAGCCGTTCGTTTCAGGACCTTTGTTGGCCATAGAGACGATACCGCGAGCGTGGTGGCGAAGAGAAGGTCGGATTTCGTCGGCGAAGGGAGCGTCCCAGATGGAGGTGCCGCCTTTTGGGGGGGGAGGAGAGGGGAGAAGCGGGTTGGATGGGGAGGGCGCGCCGGTTTGGATCATGAAGGTGGGGATTAGACGGTGGAAGGGGGAGGAGTCGTAGTAGTGCGAGGCGCAGAGGGCGAGGAAGTTCTGGGGAGGGGAGAGTTAGTGTGGTGTAGTGTAGTGTAGTGTAGAGTAGAGAAGAGGAGGGATAGAAAAAGATGATTCGTAGAGCGCAGCGAAAAAGCCACCACGGCAGTGGCCTAGCGGAGCGTCTTTTATTCAATTCAATCAAATTGGATGGGATTGAATGAAAGCTTCTAATATGATATAATGAGATGAGAGAGAAAGAATAAGCCAATTTACCTTTGCAGTTTTGGGTACGCTATCGCAAAATACTTCGATTTTGATATTGCCTAGGCTGGTGTGTAGAGTTACTGACATCTTTTTTCTTGTGTATGTGTTGGTGTATGGTTATTGGTGATAATGACGATGATGTATATGTGTTTGATATTTATTTCTGAAATGCTGGTGAGAATCAATGCAGTGGGAATTGATAGTTGTAGATGGGTATATAATTGATTATTTGGAAGATTGGTTGGTATGTAGAAAAAAGAAGGCTGAGAGAAGAGAAGGTTATTGATTTATTTTTTGCATGAGGTCAGACGCGTAAGGGTGTGGATTACTAGGTAGGTAGACAAGGCTGGAAGGGGAGAGAAGGCTAACAAAGAAAAGAAGGATAAAGATAAAGAAGGAATAAAATTTATGGTTATTGGGAAGGGAAGGGAATGGAAGTGGAATTATTATTATTATTATTAGTCAGGAAGGGATAGGAAAGGAAAGGAAAGGAAAGGAAAGGATGAAAGTAACATTGGATTTATTTGCTTGTGAGAGGGCGGGATTGGCGGGGTGGGATGGGATGGGATGGGATGGGATGGGATGGGATGGGATGGGATGGGATGGGATGGGATATGAGATATGGAACATGAAATGGGATATGATATGGGATATGATATGGAATATAATATGGGATATGATATGGGATATATGATATGGTAGGGCCATTGTTTTGTGGATCGGATCTCCAGAAGCTTATTGTTGTTTAATTTGAGTTGAGATTTAAGGATTGGGATTTTATGTGAGGGTTATTGACTTGTTTATTATATTACTTTATACGAGTAGATGTATATAAACCGATCGAGATTATACGAGATTTATAGATATATATCTAAATATATAAATACACAAAATACCCCTCAGTAACAACAAATACTACCTCCCTAGCAAGATCCCTTCTTATATACACCTCCCCAGTGAATAATAGACTTAATCACTAGAATAGTATAGATTGAAACTCTTTATATGCTTTGATCATATGTATGATACGCCGATATCGTAATGGATTTTATACTTTGCATCTAGATAGGCTTTGTTGCTAGATTTCATCATATGTTTCGCATTTACTTTGATACGTGGGGACGTATTTCTCTTTCTCTTTCTCTTTCTCTTTCTCTTGATATGATTGATTGATAACATTGGACTGTAGAGAAGTCTGGACTAGACGAAAGCATCAATCCATCCATCCATCTTACTCTTTTGAACTCTTCTTTACTCTTCCTCTTTCCTCTTACTCTCGCTCTCACTCTCGCTCTCACCCTCACCCTCATCCTCACCCTCACCCTCACCCTCACCCTCACCCTCACTGTCTCACTCTTCCTTATCCATCCTCTCTATCCAAGTTAACCCTTACAATATACATCAAAGTCAATCCAGCTACTGTTCAATTGTTCAGCTACCTACTCATCTCGCCAGCTACCCAGCTACCCAGCTACCCAGCTACCCAGCTACCCAGCTACCCAGCTACCCATCTACCATCTACCATCTACCCATCTACCCATCTCCCCATCTCCCCAGCTATCCTTCCTCCATAACATATGACAATCTCAATTACATCCACATCTATCCATGAAAGAATAACCGCTTGCAATTCTAATAACTGCATCTCAATTTTAATTAACAAAACAAAACACCCAACTACCTAGTATTCCTTTCAAAACTTATCATCGATCTTATTCTCACACCATTTCTCCCTTCACCCACTCACTCATTCATTTCATCATTCATCAAAGGAAACTTTCTCGTCACACAACACAATCAATCTCTCAAATCTACCAGGTATCTCTGGATATTTCTCCCAACTTCCATTCAAAGAAATATAAATTACATAAACAGTTCTACTTTCCACCAACAAACTGAGGGGATCCCGAGACTCTCTTCCTCTATTTCATACATACGAATCGATCTTCACAATCAATTTTCACATACTGAGTAATCTTAATCTTACCTACGAAGAAAATAACCAAACAAAAACAAGAGCTGAGCCTTGCTTATATGGTGACGACGAAAGCTATATCACCGACACGCAACCCCACAATTCGCGCAAACAAACTTACCGCATACATACATACATATCATACCTACATATGAGACTCGAGCTTTCAACACAACCCACACTGCTCAACAACATTGTTTTCCATTTGGCGCAAACCTGCGCGGTGGCGCCAGTGATCTTTGGGTGTGCACGATATGTCTGCCTTTGTCCGTGTCTCCGGACCACCAAACAGTAATTTTCTGGTTGGTTATCCGGGTATTTCTGCGACGCTTGTAGGTGATCTCTTTTTCTTTGCTTGAGAGTTTGGTTTTGCAATTGTGATTTCTTGGAGGGTATGGTATTAATTCGGGGATTTCTAGCCTAGGATAGAGGGTAAAGTAGAGATTCGACCCCTCACTGGAATTTCTGCGCCGATAGCGATATCGTTGGTACGAATATGTCTACAGCGAAGAGAAACGGTTCATCCTTCTGCCGAATCGATAGCTAAGAAACATTTGGGGACACCTCGAAGAGAAACGACAGATGTGGTTGGGAAGGAGCTATTATTGTTTCGATGTACGGCTGGAAAGGAGAGCGAAAGCGTGGTTCTGATGGATCTACCTTTCGTACTATTCATACCATTTGGAAGGGGGGGAGAGGAATCGAATCGAAGGATCCCACCGGCGAGTTTACAATTGCCAAGTCGCACGGCGGAAACTTATTATGAGTTGGTGGTTACGGTTCAACAAGGGCAAGATCAAAAGAAATTCGCGTTTCCAGTCCCGATGCAGAGATATGATACTCTTTCAACTTTTGGCATGTATAATCGACCAGAATCTGCAGAGAAGAATACGGATCATCTGGTTACTATGAGAATTACAATACCTCGATGGTCATTTGGCCCTTCGGATCCAGTTAGCGTCTATATCCATCTATTTCCAAACTCCCTTTACATGAAGAAAGCTACAAAAGTCGTCATACAAAAGATTACAATTGGCATAGAAGAGGAAATCACATATAATCCAGAAGGAGATGAACCAACGAAGAAAATCAATCGCATAGCTAAGCAGACGGCGACGGTGGGAGCAAAGTTGCCAGAGGCTGGGTACTTCACAACTCTAGGGCTTATATATCCATCGAAGGATTTGAGAGATTCGGAGGGAATCATCAGGAGAGGAAAAGCTGCATTTCCAATGCATTTTGTCAATTCGTTTACGACTACGGGAACCTTGTACAAGATTGAGTTTTTTCTCGTTATCAAGGTATATACATGTTTTCTTCTCTCATTCACATATTTGACTAGTCCAATTATCTCGAATTCCTCATGCAAATTGTCTAAACTAACTATTACAATTTGCAGGTTCACCTCTCCGGTGCTCGAGATATTACTCATCGTCAACCAATTACTGTATGCCCATTGAATGAACAAGAGTGTAAAGAGGAAATGGATGCAATTGAACAAGCAGCAAAAGATGCATCACATGTGGATCCGACGAATCCAATGTTACCCGCCTGCACAATTATTCGAGCGAAAGATCCAAGTGCTTTGAGGGCATTAGGCTGGACGATGGTAGGAGGTTTCAGAAAGATGGTTATCGAATGACAGGATGAAGGTATGAATGAAGCTTTGAATTCGTAATGAGGAGATTTTTGGTAGTGATTTGGAAGCAAGAGGCCTTGGATTCGAAAGTGATTATCGAGGAATCGCTGGGCCCGAGAATTATCGAGGGGGCGAATGTATACGATAACTCGCGGCATCGATAGATGTATGCGCAATCAGCAGAACGTTCATACCAAGGCGATAAGCTCTATAAGGAGCATCACACCAGATCACGATGCCCAAGGTTGAATAAGAACGAGTATGATTTGGTGGGGAAGTGTAGTGGGGGGTATATGATTTTTTACCTTGAATATTAGGTTTTGGTCATGGCAATTGATCAAGACGTATTGGAGGACCAATTCACCTAGGCGAACAGATTAAATATCCGTCGATGGGAATGAAAGGGGAGGGTAATAATGGAGCCGGCTGAGCTGGATTAGATTTGAATGGTTTTGAACGTATAACGATATTTTGCATTTTCCGGTAGTTAGGTTGGGGTTGGAATTTTGTTGTGTGGAGGAGTTGGAGGATTGGTTTGGATGCGGAGTTGGATATATATATTGGTTGGCTGATTTGGATTGATTTTGGAGCAGATGGTTGGATGGATGTATATGGTTCATGATAGTGGTCATGAGTAGGATAGGATATGGAATGGAATGAAATGAAATAAAGTCATATGAGAGGATAGTTAGCTGGCGAGATGAAATCGAAAGATCTAGATGTGAGATTGAGTATCTATCTAGGTATTAGGTGGTTGATTTATATGAGGGGTTGTTGGATGAGGTGGTGAGATGAGATGGTATATCTGGATCTTGATCTTAGGATGGGGTGAGTTGAGATGAGACGAGATGATATGAAGGAAGTGAGTGGATGAAAAATAATCAATACAAATGAATAAACTCTGACAATAAGGATTTCTTCTTGTGCTTGTTTGTATGTGGAATTTGTGGGATTGTGGGATTGTGGATTTGTGTATTTATATATATACTTTGTAATATGTGATTTCTCGTTGTGTGGATTTCAAAACCGATTTCGAAAGTAATTTGAATTTGAATTTGATCTTGAATTTGATTCTGAGAAAAGAGAATGAGGAAGGGGAAGGGGAAGTAAGTAGCGAGAAGCGAGAAAAAGGGGAAGGGGAAGGGGAAGGGGAAGGGAATATAAGTATATATGTTTTAGTAAGAGTATGTGTTCATAAGAGAGTGAGAGTGATTCGAATGACTTTGAATATTGATATAGATGTGTAGATGTAGATGTAAATATAAATTGAATGGTGGGTTAGATGGATGGGTTGAATAGGTGATGGAGGGGTGAGTAGGTGGTTGAAGGGGTGAGTATGTATGTATGTTTGAATAATACTTTTCGGATTTTGAGAGTTGAGAATTGGGTTTGTGTGTTTTGGGAATTGAGGGATTGAAATTTTTTATAGTAAAATGGGGTTGAGGGGTTGGAGGTTGGGAAGGGGGTGAGAGGAAGGGGGTAGCGAGAGTGTAGTAAGAGAGCTGTATAAGGAAAGAAGAGGGGAAAGAGAGGAAATAGGTTAATTTTCCAGGAAGAGAAGTCTTGTTTGAGAGATGAGGATGAGATGTGTGTATTTATTTGTGTGGATTTAGTTGTTGGGGTTTGTGTTGGCTTGGTTGACTTGGTTGGATGAAATGAAAAATTAGGATGGAAAATGGAAAATAGGGGGTGTGTTTGTGTTTGTGTTTGTGTTGGATTGGGATGTTGGGGTGGAGGTGATGGGTGAAGAGGAGGGTTTTGGGATATTAGCTTGTTAGGTGGTTGTGCGAGGGAAGGAAGGGGGGGAACGGGGGGAAGAGAAGGAAGGAGAAAACGATGAAGAGGGGTAGAAAGGGAGAGGGATAGGAATAAGGAGAAAGGAGAAAAATAGAGAGAGGATAGAAAAGGAGGGCAGAGTGAGAAGAGAGGGAAGAGAGACATATATACTATAAAGAAAAGTATATATAAATCAACCACAAACACTATATCAATACGCAGCAATTATTTTTCTTTGCTTTCATTCTTTCATTCCCAAGTGTTTCGTATATATATTTTCATTTATATAAATCCCATGCCACTCATTCGTTACATAAGACCCCTTCAATCGTCTTTCCAATTTGGGATTCGTGATATATTCATTCGTATGCACATAAATACATTCCCATTTCCATTTCCATCCCCATCTGCCTTTTTTTTCATCATTGTTCCATATTGAAATGCCCATCCGTCCATAAATCCGTGAAATCATGAATAAAAAACTCCTCTCTCGATTCGAAAATTCCCGGAGAATGGGATATTGTGGAGTGGAAACAAGAAAAGTAAGGGAATGCTGAGTTGAGTTGAGTTGAAATACTCGTCAAAAGCTACCGAACCATAACAAATAACCGACCGACCGACCAATTGGTTGAGAACCCGCTAAAAGAAGAAAAGGAAATGAAGAGGAAAGAAAGAAGTGAGGTTCAATTTGTAAGGATTGTTGAGTGTGTTCGATTTCAGGTGTGTAGGTGGGATGAGCTATGCATCGAAGGAAATGTCCTCAGAACAGGAAAACTTGGATCAAGTCGTAAACAAACTCAAGCGTGAGCCGAAACCTCAAAGCTCAAGTAAAAGCGGATGATGACCCATTTTCTTGCTCTCCTTTTCCTTTCCCTTGAAACTCGTGCTTTTCTCCGTCTTGCTTCTGAAAATACTCAAAGGCGTCTTCTTCTTCTTCTCCTTGGGTTCTTTCTCTTCTTTCTCTATACGTTCCGTGCGCTCATCATCATCTTTCTTTGAGCGACTGGATCTGTGACTCTTCGAGGTCTTTGTAGATTTCGAAGTCTTACTCGTGCGAGAAGTACGGATGGATTCAATATCGTCATCTTTAGACTTGACGGAAGGTTCGTATTCTGAAGGACTACCTCTAATAGGAAGAGTTTTGGAACGACGAGATTTACTGGTCAAGCGACTCATGATACTTCTCTTTTCTTCTTCTTCTTCTTCTTCACTCTCATCAATCCGTTCTTCAGCGGCACGTTGACGGATTCGCTCTGCGTGGCGACTTTCCTTATGTCGTGCTGCGGTGGGGGTAATGTATTCACCATCTACACTTGTGTCTACACTTTCTATCTCTGCGTCGGCGATACCACGACGCCAGATATCGATGCTGCTTAGTTCTTCCTCGTAAGCTTCGTAGGGCATCGCTTCTTCGTATTCATGGTTCATGTCTTTGGGTTCCATGAATCCAGGTGTGTCAGGATAGTTGGGGGTAGCGGGGAGGGCTTGCATGGCCATGGGAGCTTCTAGTGTCTTTTCGGGAGTGGCTTGTAGTTTCTTGATGATTTTGAAACCGTTGAACATGACGACTGTGACGCCTAGAGCGACACCTCCAGCGATGAGAAATTGAGGAGATGCGAGGAGGGCGAAGATGGCGGGAGAGCTGGCTTTGAGCATGGGCAGAATGGAAGGTGACATTTTAGTGAGGAGGGAGGAAAGCTCGGCAAGGGTGAGAGCTACGGCGGCCATGGCTTCGGGGTTGGCTTGGAGATTTGACATGATGGCTGTGGCGGTGTGGTGAAGACATTGGGCTTCGATGAGGAGAGTATCGAGTTTACTCATTGTTTCGTCGAGTTCTGCTGGGAGTTGTTGTGGGGCGATTGGCTCTTCGTATTCTGGTTCGGGATCGGATTCAAAATGATGGGCATCTCCATACGCCAAATCCATATCGATTGAGTCATCATGAAGATCAGGCACGGAAGTTGCACGTGGGACTAATTGTCCGCTGGTATACGCCGCAGGAGCTGTTTCTCTTCTTACGAGATGCCCTGGCATGGGAGGAGCAGCTTCCATCTCTGTATGTCTCCTCGCGAGACTCAATTCCGTTTCGGCAAATGGTTGGCGATACATGGCTAGAGGGGGGTCATCATAAAACCCCTCTTCGGGATCTTCGTAATGAGTTTCCGTAGGCTCATATTGAGTAGGAGCTTTAGAACCATGAACTGAACGACTTCGTTTCGATCGATGAGATCGATGCGAACGTTTGCTTGCTAGACTTTGCATATCTTCTTCCTCGTCCAAATCATCGAAATTGAATTCCTGGCGAGTTCTCGTGTGGGAACGATGAGAGCGATGGGAGCGGCCACTGGCCAAACTTTGCGTATCTGGGAATTCCTCATAGTTATTGATGGTAAGAGGAGGACGAGACGAATCTCTTGGTTCCTGACGAGAGGAATGAGAACGATGTGAACGATGAGATCTATGAGATCTTCTCGAAGCTATCGATTGTGCATCATCTCCTCCCCCTCCTCGTGCCTCTTCAATCTCATATCGAGCTTCGTTGAGACGTCTCTGTGCCCGATATGATCGTGCTTCTTCCCGAAGATAATGTTCTTCTCTCAATTGTGCTTTCTTTTCTTGATATGCGGCTTTAGCATCTTTGAAAATGTTTACGAGTTGTTTTCCCTATTTTTCCCAAACAAATGTGCTGGTTAGTCACCGTATGATTTTGTATGTGTGTAACATCGGATGAGGGGAATCCCAGGGAAAACCTCGGGAAAATGGTAGAGATACTTACAGTGCTGACTACTTTCCCCGATTTATTGATAATGGTAACGGTTTCTGTGATAGGAGGAGCCATTTTTGAACGTATGATATGGGTATATTTTTTGAGAGAAAAAGAGAAGACCGGCTTCTTATTTTTCGGAATGTGGTATCGTAAAGAAGATTTGGAAAAGAAGTGAATGAAATTTTTGGCTTGTGAAAAGAATAAGAAGTAGATTCCCTGGACGAGCAAGCAAGCAAGCAAAGCTACTTCTTTACCGCCCAAAAAGTGCGGTGAAGAGCTGATGGCGGGGGAAATTTAAGTGGGAATTTTTTGGGAACGAGAAATGTAGGACGTGAGAGAGTTCCGTTCCGTCAAGCAGGTAGGTAGGTGCAAAGAAAGAAAAAGGAGGTAAGTATTGCAGATCAACTGAGGAATTCGTGGGACAGCAAAGAGTGAGGGATTTGAGAGGATTATTTGTATGGATGGGTTTGTGAATGATGTTAGGATGGAGATGACTACCTGTGGAGAACTGGGTCACGACTTCATTTAAGCATGTAGGTATACCTGGGTTTGTAGGTATATGTATTAGTTATATGTATAGAAGGATACAAGTCCACGATGGTAGATGGGATGATCGGATTTCAAGCAGCCTTTTGGAAGGTTTGGAGGGGACATATCGGAGAATCAAACCGATTTCACATAATTTATGTGGAGTGATAGTTATTTTGCAAGGGGGAGTTTTAGTCTTTCCTTGAGAAATGTTGTGGATTCTCTTTGGGGGTGAATGAATCGTGATGGTAATGGCATCCTGGATTCTTGGTTCATAAATAGTAAAAATACTTATGGAGATGAGAATCTCCTATCGATCAATAAGGCGAGAGCTTCTTCTTTCTAGGTCTGGAACTTACCCCTTCATTGGATCATCATCTTTACCTCCTCCACTAATATCTAAAATCACTTCGAAATCATTGGATTCAAAAATCACCAAATTGAAATTATCCTTTACTAAGAAGACAAACGGGACCAGTATATACGGAAGAGAATCCTTCTCGTCCAATAGGATATCCCTTCCCAAAGCATCTTCATGCATGAAAGTGGAAATGTGAATCTCCATCGTGCATCGTGTCGTCGAACTTTTGGTCCAACAGCAAGATTTGTTAGGCTTACATGCATCCAAGTCACCTCTTCCTTGGAAAGAAAAAAAATAACTGCTTACTCCCGAGAAGGTTTAATCTGTGCTATTGAATCATATACAAATCTTTTATGGACTCCGAAGCATGCGAGGATGAAATTCAACGTCCTGTCGCTTACCGCTATGGAGCCATTCAGCGCCGGTGGTCTCCCGCTCGCTTCTGTACGTGGTGTACGCTTGCACGCAGGTCTTTTGATGGAGACGAGCGTGGAAAAGAAGGAATTCATGCAGGAGAGAGGAGTGCAGTAACATATGTAGAGTCCAATGATTTACATTACGGGAGGGAAGACGTACTCCATAGATACATATGCACTCTATGAATCACGACGAAATGGATATGAAAACCCGTGAAGTTGGTAAGATAAGATGGGACCGATAGAACCGACAGGACCGACAGGACCGATAAGAAACTTTCAAGACTTGATTTCTCCACGTTTCTTTGAAACAATAATGTCGTGGCACCAGCTGCTTATTTGTGGCTGTGTTAGTTCTTTACGAAAGCATGTGACTGAACAATTAGCAGCACAACTGATTAGTTTCTTGTTTTTTCTTTGGTTTGGACATTAGGTTTTTGTTTGTTTTTGCCTAAATTCATGAGCATGAGATTTAGTAATCTTTGTCGTTTTGCACTTTTTTCATCATATTGGTGGCTTGCGGTTCGGACAACTGCTTTGTTGTCGGTACGGTACATTTGTGATTAGGCTGCATATGAGGCCGGGTAGAAATTTCCAGTCTGATCCTCCGTCGTTGAGAGAGATGATCCGAGTGAATCATTTACAATTGACAACATCGTTCCATGATATGTCTAAGTATGTTATTTTCGTAGAACAGTTGCTCGTCAAACGGGTATATATGCGGTAGTTTCGTATCAGAGTACCGAAGATACCTTTTCGCAATCTATTGTCCCCCCCCCTTTTGCTAGATGGTGAGAGTTGGTTGAAAAAAAAGAGCGGCGTGCTTAATTGTGATTCTTTATTTTTCTTTCCATTCATCGAGAATTGAAGCAAATCTTCTAGGCAGAACTGAATAATCGGAGAGCTCTTAGAAAATATGCATGATTCCGGTACATGGATGTTGGGTGAAAGTCGTATGGACGAGGGGAAAGCGACTGCATAGTCCGATAGGCAGACGCTGAAAAGCGTTTGCTTTTCTACCTAGATAGTTCTACCTAGATAGTATGATTGATATCTTCCATCTATTTATCAACCAAACGAACTTCTCCATCGGTTCTGAATATACTCACTTGGTCTACCCTCTCACATCCATCACCTACACTCAAAAATGTCCAAAAAGTGCACCCTCACCAGGACCCAACGTCCACACAGAAACCATTTCAGATTCTGGGAACAAGAGCTCTTCGCTCAAATGCGTCGTAATACCAAAAGTCCAAACCCACATCTCTATGCCCTACCCTTGTCACACGATTATCAGAAACTCAGTTCCATGGGAGAGTTTGATGGATTAGACTTAGAAGATGCCAAGAAATTACAAGAGGCGGCCGATGCAATAGTTGCGCAAACTCGAGAGGATTTCGTAAAGAACTTCAGTAATGAGGAACGCGCGAATGGGAGATTGATGTTTAAAAGGGTTAGAGAGCTTTCTGAGGATGCGGATTATGCGGAGGTTAGTGACTCATCTCTCATCTTCTGCCGTTTCAGTTGTTTTTCAATACGTATACTGATATAAGAGATTTGAGAATAGGCTTACAGACGCGCGAAGATCAATGAAAAGGAGCGCCATTCATGTGGTGTTCTTAGGGATGCAGTTTTGTTCTTATGCTACCTTGACATGACGGATAGTTACCCTGATATGGCGAGTAGCTCTGACAGCTTGATTTGTTATTCTCTTCTGTACTTCTCCGTTGGAATATTTTCTATGGGTCTCTGGCAGGCGTTGGGGTTTTTGGTAGGGTTTGAAAAGCTTGTGTACTTGAAATCGCTTTTGCAGTACTGACCGTCACAATCGATATGGTATTAGATAACTTATCCAGATCGGATATCCCAAGAAGTCCTTAAGACATCACATTCAATGACCAGTATGCATTTGAACTATCAAATACGACATTGTGGAAGACGCTTCCCCATTACCCCCCCATCCTAACTTCTTCACTGCAAGTCTCTGTTGATTGATCCAATACTTATCTCGTAGTGTTTGGTGAAAGAAATTTCAACCCATTCACAGTGACATCAACCCATCAAATCTATCACTTCATTTTCCAAAAAGCACCTGGAGTATACAAGCCCAAGTCACATAGTGGAACGCATGTTTGGAAATTGTAATGTATTATCTAGAACCTAATAATGAGTTCCTTGCCAGCTAATCATCTGAGATGATTAAGCTCCAAGTAGATGGGATAGAGCACACCCAAGTCGTTTGTGTCCTAGATACCTAGGGCAACAATTGAAAAGTCTCAGGTGTAGTTCTTCTCATGTGTCTTCCTCCCCATTAATCTAACGTTCTCTCCTTCGTTTCTTCCTTCCCCTCTCCACCAACCAGAGTTAGCAAAAACAACACCGCGCATTGATCCGCGGAGCCTGGATGATATTCTTCGGGGCCGGACTTTTGCAGAAGCCACTTCTTCCGGATGGCGTAGATCGGCCACCGCAATGTATTGGAACCACTGAGTAGGCATGACCACATACGCTAGAATAGTAAACGTACCAACCGCAAAAACAGTTGTGGGGATTGCTAGCGCTGTTGACGCGGTGGTTGCCGACATCCATTCTATTTGATCAGGCTAAATAGGTTGTTGTACTGCTGCCATTGCTGCGATTGATAGGTGTGTAATAGTTTTGAAAGCTTTGGGTTGATGGTATGGGAGTTGATCTAGGAAATTCCTGCCATTCTTGCGATACTTATGATGATAATAGCCAAATTTTCCAATACGTATTCACATTTTGCCTTCTATCTGCATAGTCTCGTCGCTGAATGTGTAGCATCTTGTGAATCATCTTGCGCTTACCTTCGAAAGAAGATGGAGTGGATGAAGTAGATGATTGATACCCTACCAATGATAACAAGATTAAAGACGCCATTAACTCCACGTTGATATTCACAATCTCCCCATACCATTCGACTTACCTTGAATTATTCACCTTTCAGCCTATAATATCGATAGGTTTAGACCCCGTTCTTTGACAAGATGAGGTTCGACTCGCTTTTAGTTTGTGAATAGGACTGCCTAATTCTTTTTTATTGGTATACCAGGTGGATGTTGCCGTGAGGAGAAATCGTTGATCCAGTCCTCGAACCAATCCGTGCCGGTCATGTGCAAGTCACGAGTGAATTGATTTTCGAGCGCATTTAGATTACCTAATCCTATAAGAGTGCCTAAACGCCGTACAAAATCGACAAGTTTTCTCTACTTGTATATCTTTTCCATTCATCTTCTATTACTTATCAATAACTCTGAGGTCAATTTTCAACATGAGCCCACTTGAAGATAGATTTTGGTCTGAGGGCCAGAATCACCTTGGCGATGGTATAAATGCTTACTGCAATGTCTGGGATTGGGACCAATTGCGCATGATAGAAACAAAAGGCACACCGAAGGTATTTTCGATTGATGAGGATAAAGAGGTCGCTATTCTGGCGCAATTTGCCGATTATATATCTCCGGACGTTCGCGCAGTTGAGGTTGATAATGATGGGTTAATCTGTGGGATCTCAACCGACCCAGAAGAAGATGAGACAGTCTTCATTGCTTATCCTCCATATTCAACTATTGAATCGCTAGCTGGATGTCGCACAATCAAGCATTCCCAGCTGCAAGAGCTCGATCGACTTGCACCATTTGTCGACCTTTCATCATACAAAGACGAGAATCAGAATACCCGAATGGTTGCCTTCAAGTTCAATGTTTTGGAAAAACCACTAAGAGTACGAATGGCTTGGAACGAGATTAACCTTCTCAAAAGTCTACCACCGCATCCCAATATAGTACCATTTGACAGCGTCGTTCTCGAAGACGTGGAATCTCGTGTGATCGGATTCACAACGAAATACGTCCCAGGTGGTAGTCTCAACAACCCAAAGATACCTTTTCGATTTGAGTGGTTACAACAACTTACTCAGGTTGTCGATTTCCTGAACCTAAACCTGGGAATCATGCATCAAGATATTGCACCACGGAATTTAATGATCGATTCCGACACACAAAAGCTTCTTTTATTCGACTTTGATAGGGCCGCATGTGGAAATGTATGGTTAATGGACAATCGCGATGACGTTAGCGGTGTCGTGTATGCTGTACATGAGCTTATAACAAATGACTCACACTTCACTGGGATACCCCATTGGGAACGACATATGGACATGGTTCAGAATATCCCAGAATGGGTCTGCAATCGTGAATTGGATGCCGATGTCTCTGTCTTCCGCGAGTTTCTGGATAAATGGGTACAGAAACGACAATCTGGAGGCATCATGGAACAATATCTCAAAGCGCCCAACCGACCTACATGGCCGGAGCCACTTTTTGTGTCTGACTATGATGTTCCTTGGCAGTTTGGGGAAACGATGGATGGAGAGCCGATGTACAGAACAGGAGTACGATTAAGACGCATTGCAATGGAACTTGGGCAATATTGCTTTCGATGGGAGAGACCACCGCAGAGCATACTTTCAAAAAGGTCTCGCGAGGAGGACGCAAATGGAGTTGACCAGAATGCGCACAACGAGGAATACGAGGAAGCTACAGGTAAGACGGCTATCATCCGGCTGCTGGGCAGCTTTTAAGTGTTTACTAATTTGACATTTGCATCCACTGAGGCCGATAACAGCATTGCCTATTCGGCTGAGAGCCTCGAGAATTGAACGTAATGGGATTTCTAAAATGGGGTTCTATAAAGAAAGGAGTTTACAAGACGTTGGGGGATATGTGGTCTAGAATTGCTATTTGGTCTGACGTTATGGAAGGAGTACAAATTGGCTATGAGAGTAGCTATCCGGGTGATTTTCGGAGAAATAGCAGATTGGCAGGGTGGGGTACAACGATTTTTCTCCTCTTCTCAGTATTTGCCCCAGCTCGAGCCTAGATACTCAATACCATTAGACTTTCTACCATAAACTGAATCTCACAGTCTATCGGCTGATTGAGGTGTACTGTTATCTTCGGCATCTTAAACGTTATGTTTTGATAGAACCGTTATCGTTGGAAGTGGGGTGAATGCTTGTCTGCGGGGATACATAGATTTACACGGATTGCCGTACGGAGTAAAGATATCCACGCCAAAGATATCCAGGCCAAAGACATATCAAGCTTTGGATTCCTCATTCGCATGCCAAAACATACTTCGGTCTGAGCCGTTACTATTTTCCACCAGCTCAGGTTACGCTTCATCTGTTCAAAGAAGAAGTCTTCGACGATGGCAGTGTCACGTGTGAGGGAGTATATCTCCCATCCCTATGAGCATCCAGGAGAGAGAAAGCTGGTACAGAAACTAGGTGAGTACTGGAATCTATCAAGCATGGCTTGTGCAATCAACTCTTCATTGGCCAAAATATCTAACACAGACAGACTTTTTTATTTTAACATTTTGCTGTTTGTCTTATTTCACGAATTATTTAGATCGATCGAACTTGGCGAATGCGTATGTTAGTGGAATGAAGGAAGAGTTGGGGTTCGTGGGTAATCAATATAATCTTATTAATACCGTTTTTACTGTTGGGTATGTATAAGGTTTTTGTTTGAGTTCTATATGGGCTATGACCGAAGTGTTTCTAATTGATATCTGAATTCTCATCTCAATCCACAAAAAACTGGTTGTGATTTCAAGGACTCTTTGAATTTGGCCATCGATTATGTGTTCAATTATACTAACGCCGTTCCAGATACATCATTGGACAAATTCCTAGTAATCTGGCACTCTATTACATCAAACCTCGCATCTTCTTCCCATCAATGATGGTTCTATGGGGCTGCCTCACTATGATCACTGCGTCTGTTCATCATCCTCGCGATATCATGGCTATTCGTTTCTTCCAAGGTCTTGCCGAAAGCAGCACATTCGTCGGTACACATTACATTCTCGGATCATGGTATACTCCTCGAGAGCTCGGAAAGCGCAGTGGCATCTTTACTTCATCTGGTCTTGCTGGTACTATGTTTGGAGGCTTCATCCAGACTGGCATTCATTCATCCTTGAATGGCGCAAAAGGAATGAGTGGCTGGCGCTGGCTGTTCATTATTGACGGACTTATCACTCTCCCGATTGCCCTTTATGGCTTTCTTCTTTTCCCAGATACTCCGAGCACAACATCTGCATTTTATCTCACCCCAATCGAGCGTGATCTCGCTAAAACCCGTGTTCCAGAAGTACCCGAACATCGTCTCTGGAATTTTGCATTCCTCAAAACTGTCGTCACTTCATGGTACTGGTATGGATTCGTTATTCTGTGGATTATCGCTGGAGAAAGCGAATCTTTCTCTTCAAATTCATTACTTTCATTATACATGAAATCCACAAGCAAATATACGATTTCTCAACTCAACAACTATCCTACTGGTGTCCCCGCTGTTGGTATCATATTTACCCTCTTCTGGGCAACTCTTACAGATTTTCTCAACGGCAAACGATACCTTGTCGCTTATTTCATTGCCATTACCGGAATCGTAACTTCCGCTATGATACTCACAACTTCTAATGTAGCAACAATATTTGCAGCATACTATTGGGCAGGTTCTGTCTACGCATGTCAAGCGACCTTCTTCGCATGGGCTAATGAAGCTATGAGATTTGAAAACGACGCATTGAGAGCGATAGTGATAGCGAGTATGAATTGTGGCAGTAATGCTGTGAATGCATGGTGGAGTTTACTATTTTACGGTGCAGTGGAAGCGCCTAGATTCACAAAGGGAATGTGGGCGATGATTGGAACGTGTATTGCTCTTGCAATTTGGACCACGGTTTTGTTATGGGGTCTAAAGCGGATAGACAGGAAAAGAGAGGCTACTGCTATGGTGGGAAGAACTCGGACAGAAAGCGATGATTTAGAGGTGGCTGATATTGGCGAAAGGCATTTGGATAGTAAGATATTTTAAGATCATTGGGGCTGTGATTTATTGTGGCTTGATAATGTTTTAATTTCTGCGAACATAATGGGATCGCGATTGTATATTTCAAATTTAAACAGGAGGAACATCATTGAAACATTAGGTGGAAGTACAAATAGCTCATTGAATCCTTTGATCAGGAGCGACTTTTTGAAACAAATTCGACGAAATGACTCGGCCATCGCTCTACCATTAATGAGATACATAATAGGTGTAAAATAAGAATTCACATCAATCATAAATATGTCCGCTTGACAATGTCCTCCTCCCTCGCAAGAAATTGCTTGAATGTCGTCAACGGAACGAGCCTAGATAGTTCTTCCACATCAACATATTTCGACATGTATCTCATGGCAATTTGCGAATTAATAAAGACATTCGACTCTTTCTGCTTCGAAATCTCCTCTTCTGTCATAAATACTGCTTCAAGAGGCCGTTTAATGACTTCTCCAAGCCGATTAAGTATCTCCGGGATAGTCAAAAATTCACTAGCCAGCCCGATTGCGCGACCGTGAAACTTTTCCGGGTCTTGAAATGCTGCCGTAGCAACTTGAGCAATATCGACGTGATCAATCAATGCCAACTTTCCCTCGGCGGTCATGGCTGTTGTCCACGTACCCCTATCTCGTAAGTCGGGATATCTATATACTTTCGGCTCTAGAAAATTCGCCATGAAAAGGGCAGGACGGAGAAACGTCCAATGTTCAAAATTCGCATCAATAACCACCTGCTCCACTCCCTTCTTTCCCGCGAGATGCTTGGCCATGAAGGAGTTGGGTGCAATGTGTATCCCAGTGCCAAGAATACTCACTCCGAGACTCGTAGATGCAACGACCTGCTTGATACCTACCTCCTTTGCGACTCTGATGATTTTCTCGGCTTTTCGAAGCTCATAATCTAAATCGTCGAGTTTGGGATGCAGATACAGGAAGAGTTTCTCGCAGCCGCTCATGGAATTACGGAGGGCATCCATATCTTTCCAATCACTTTGTGTAAACTGAACACCACGATTTCTCAATGTGCGTGCTTCAGGTGATCAATAACATGGAGCTCGTAAGAACTGATGCGGATGATTGGACCTTTGTGAATCGTTAGCTTTCATGTACTGATGTGAGAGGTATGATATGTTTGTGAGTTGATACCGTATTTCTTATGCATTTCAGCAATCTTGAATGTGTATTGAACATTTTGTACGATGTCATAATAGGCTTCATAATACCTTGTGATGGAGGCTAGTTCTGGCCCTGGAAATTGTGCAAGAGAGTGTAGAAATAGGCGGTAGAAGTAAGACTACCGAAGTAAACGACGATAGTTGCAGCAAGGTTCTGCAACGATAGTAAGGTAGTTAAACTCTTAGTATAATATATTTTTGCTTTCTGCATCTCGAATCCACAATCATAGGAAAGGAAGGTTTAGTGAATGGTATGATTGAATGGAAGGTTGTGGATGGTAAGCAAACAGTTGGCAACCTACGGTTGTTTTTTAAACAAAATCTCTAAGAGCAATCCAACATCTTGCTGGAGATCATTCACTTTTTTCACTGCCGTTAGAACGAACGAAGTCCTCAATCCATCACATCAGCAATTTGACATATTGTATGACTAGTCCATTTTTCTAATGGCTAAGAATACAGATCAGAGACTAGAAACTTCAAATAACTCAAATCACTTTGCATATTACAACAGTCCACTGGTGGTCTGAAAAGTTGATATCCCAGCTGTACTTGAAATGAGATTGCGGGAACATCTGGTCTGTAAAGCATTGATTAGGGGTGTTCTAGCAATTCATCACTTATCTTTGTTGCGGGAGAAGGGGGATGACTCGAATTAGAGAACTTCGATATGACGAGACAAGATCTATAGGATCTTGAATCAACTCTCTATGCATCAAGATTTAAGACATTTGTATTTGTATTGCTAGGTACTGATATTGACAGGTAATTAAATCGAGTATCAATCAATTTATCGAACTTCGAATCTGAGAAGGAGATCTGGTGAATGGTGATTGCAAATCAGATAGTAATCAATGATTGACCATTATATATCTACAGAATATATTAGTTAGTTAGGCAGGAGTCGCATTGGGTTATACAGACACCTATAAATCAATCTGCAAATCCAAATAAGCTTGGTATGAAAACCAAATGAGAGTAAAAATCATGCTGACCTCATTGTTCGACTATCTACTAATTAATACATACAAAAAATAAAGATATCTTCCCCGCCATGAAACTCCTCACCGTTTCATCCGTTTCACCGCGGAAGCAATTGTCTTTCTCTGTTCCTCCTCCGCAGCATACACAAAATCTTCTACAGTCCATGCAACCAACCCCAATTCCCGCAACAAATCCAACGATACGAACAGCCTCGGCTTATCCCAATAGCTCAGTTCCCTAACAAATTCCTCATACCTTCTCAAACGCACCTGCGAACCAATCAAAGTCTGCATATCGCTCATCATCTCAGACCTTTCTAGTAGATTGGCAATCTTCTGCCATGCGTATCCTCTAGGGCCCTTCCCACAAGCGGTAATTCTGTTCAGACAGCTGGGTTTGCGGCAACTGTACCATTGTAGATAGAAAGCGATCATTGCTTCTAGGAGAGCGCTTACATCGTCTCCGGGGCTGCTCTTGGTAGAGGAAGTACCCTTAGAAGGAATGATTATGTTGGGTGACTTAGTATGATCGATCTCGGGGGTGGAACTGTGAAAGATTCTAGTTGCAGCAGCGAAAATGCCTGATGACGAGGCCGCTTTGAAAGGGAGGAAAAATCCTGCTGTGATACTTGAGTTATTTTCAGTTTTTCGAACGACTCTTGTATCTTGCGGAAGAGTGTTTTTAAAAAAATAGGCGTTGAATGTTGAGAATATTAGATCCAAAGATTTGAGGGATAGTCTTTCAGGATCATTGTCGTCCATTTTTCTCAAGAAAGTCTGATCTGTATGATTTTTGATACTGTATAGAATGTCTTCCCGTAAAGATTTGAATTCATCTCCAGATGGATTGAGGCTGTCTTCGAGGGCTTGAACTAAATCCGAAGTATCGTATTTGTATGGACTGGCAAATACAAATATTCCCGATAATCTCGTGGCGGTATATTTTTGATGTTTGCAAGGCATGTTTACTTTACCAAAGTGTTCGTGTGATATGGGTTTTCTTTGTGGAAATTGCTATGTCGTAATCTGCTTGATTCTGTTTGTTATGGCTGAAGGTGTTGCAGCGTGATATGCAGAACAAATGTTGTTTGGAGTTAAGAAAGAAACAATATGATATTAACTGAATGACAGTGTGAGTAATTGTAGATCAAGTAATTGCTGGGTGTGAAGAACCATTCATTTCTCGCCAAGCTCATTTGTTATGAATCATGGGCTAATGACTGTAAAGTGAATGTCAATAGAAAATTGACAGGAGTCATACTCGATATATAAATTGTACTGAATAATAATGTGATATATCCAACTCAACACATGTAAGTATCACGAATAAGTGAAGTAAAGTGTAAAGTCACGCTAGCTTTATTGCTTAAGTAATGATACAGTCAAGATGCAAAGAAATATTGAAAGCCGTCATTGCCCTCTTGTTCTTCTGAACAGACCTCGAAGTCCCAACCTTTTAGAACGAGATCCATCCTCCCTAGAACGAAATGCATCCTCCCTAGAGCGAGATTCTGAACCTCCATATTGAGACACTCCCAGTTCAGTACGATTTTCTGGTCTTCTGGAGCGAAATGGCGCTGCCCTAGCGCGGGTTTCTCCTTCTTCCGATATTCCTTCAAGACCGTATCCTCCCGCTCTAAATCGAGATCCTCTCTCATCGAAAAGATACTGTGGCCCTCCAGAACGAGATTCTCTACCTTCAAGACGATGTCCTCTGGCTCCAGAATCAGAACGAGAATTGAAAGACTCGCGCAAAGCCCGTATTTCTAAATTTCTAGCCATAGCCTGCCTTATTTCTCGATCTCTAGCTATAGCCCGCATTTATTCATCTATAATAGCCTGGTTTTGTTTCAACTCTCGAACAGCTCTTACACATGACAGTTGACTGTCCGGTGCCCAGCCCCACGTCTCAATCCTGCGGCGACGGCGTCACTTACGCTCAAGACTGTCAAGCCCTCCTATGCTCCAATAATTCAAATCCCACTCATAATCTTCCCTTCTCAAATTTATAGGGCTTCCCAGTGCCTCTTGGGTGTGTTTCATTGTTATAGATGTTTCGAAACGGTATGCGACAATTTGCCACGCTTCTCCTCTGTGCTTTTTACCATGAGTGTATTTATTATTCCAGCATCCATCCTGTCTACAACTGTAGTACTGTATAAAGAGATCGATCATTGACCCCAAGAGACTACCAACTTGATCCTCCCAAGGAACCACGTGTTCGGTATGCGAAAAATCAATGTGGCTAGAAGGAACGTTGATCGTGGGAGGTAGAAACTTATGATCGTCCCTCCTCTCAAACCCCGCATGAACATTGTCGACAAAAGCGGAAGGAGAGGAGCCAGCAAATATTGCATTTTCTCTTTCGGGGAGAATAACCCTACGTTCAAGATTGAAGGTTAAACTGTCTTGCCGAATGACTTCGGTATTGGTTGGAAGTGCATTCATGAAAAAAATGGTGTTGAAGATTGCAAAGAGCCATTCGAGATCAACTTCTGTGGCGTGATCATGATTACTCAACGGGGAATAAGGCTGAGGGCGCCCGTAATGAGCCGAGAAAGTGTAGTTGTCCGGAAAAGGGGAACGATCACGTAACAAATCAAGTGCTGTACGCTTACGACCAAGTGCACTATCAATAATCCTACTAGACGCATTGATGGTTCTTTCAAGAAGCTTCGTTAAATCGAGTACATCGTGGCACTGCGGCTCTGGCGGTTTTGGATGCTTTAGATATTCTCGCGAGTTTCTGACTACTTTCTTTTTCAAAAATTCGTTGACATCGAGAAGTTGATGTCTGTGATCCTCCCTCATTTGGTGCATACTGTAGGAACCGGTATTTCGATGAGCCATGTTAAGATATGGAAGTTTGGAAGCCTTTCTTGATTTAGTCTTGCGTTCTCAAATGTGCCTTATGGTACTGTGTGTAGTTCGGTTTGTTGGGATATGATGTGTAGAACGAATAATGAAAGATGTTTGATTATTTGAGAACTCAGAAAAGTTTGAGAAGAGCTGCGAGCTATAAGCACTTTGACAGTATTAAAGTCACTGGAGCAATGACTCGGGTTTCCTACTTCGAATCATCTGAATTTGATCAAGGAATGTAGTCATACCTATGCACAACATGACTGTGAGCTGAAGCATTTGCTCAAACGATTGCTGAATAGTGACCGTTCTTCTGGCAGCCTATCTTCCCTCTCTTTGGTTTTGAATAATGATAAATATGATATTTGAGTTCGAAGTTGCCTATCATCATCGGGCCTTTGGCATCTCTATGGAGCCCTCTATCTTTTTTTCGATATAATCGTCGGAGGCGTGCGGTGCTTTTACTCAGTAAAGCTACCAGTTAAAAAAGAGTGGTCTTAGAAACTTTTCAATGCCGCGTATGACTTTTACGTAAGCATATCTTAGAAATGGACTACAGTATGCAGAAACAATACTGGATACCACTCAGTCAGTCATAAAGAGGCAACCTTTCCTTCATCTTGTCGTATTTCATCAACCCCTAAAGTTATCAATATGAACGACCTTACTATTCAACACCAAGAAATTCCATACCTTTTTACTACTACCATTTTCATCAGACACTATGGAAGGGCCATTTACCCACCAGTAAGATGATCTTTTAGAAGCCGACGATAGGCTGACCTGTTCATTATCATCACCCTTGAATACTATCATAAAGGAAATGGAGCGTTTTTCATATCAGGCCGGCGAAATAATCTGGAAAGACCCTGCCACATACTTGATTCTTGATTTCATAGTTCCATACCCATACCTCGTAGTAAACTTTCACTTCTAACCCTCCAGCCATCAACTTTTACCAGGCAACGAGATATGTGTATAAGAGCCGGATTCAAAAATTCTCTTTTCGGCTTTGCCAATAACTTTTCCATATTCCGGATCAGTTGCTTTGACCCAACGCTGTTTGGTTCTGGACTTTGAGGAAGCGACGAAACGTACAGTACCTTCTTTGATTGACTATATTCGAGCTCCCGAATTCCCATCGATACAAGAATAGGAAGCGTACGATACGCACTGGAGGAGGAATCGTAGGAAGTGAGTCGTGCGAACACAACCTTTTAACGTTCAGATTCGGCAATTATTTTGCTGATTTGGATAGTCATTGTAGGAAAAGATGCTAGGTGGTGTAAATCATGGATAGATAAGTACTCAAGGTAAAGAGTGATCTTGTTCAAGAATGAGGATACTGTTGATAGGCTTTGAGGAGACGGTCAAAACCTGATTGATTTGCGGTCTCACGATATTGAAGGAAGGCTTTTGATCAGATTTAAACCATCCACACCTGTTCCGACAATTGAGAACTTACTCGTGTCTGCCAAGTTTGATGTTAGCTGCATAAGAAGTGCTGCTGGATGACTCATCATCAAATGATATCTTTCAGCATGGAATCAGAGCTCCAAAAGCACCTTAAAACACTTGTCATCTGGATGACTTTTGAAGAATTCACTCGAGTAAAGCAAACGGAAGTTCCGAATATTGCGAATGGTGAGTAAGTATCTTTGCTGCGTCCTTCGCTCAAAATGTATAAATAGGCAATTCGATTGGCGTTAATACTATGCTCTATATTATATGTACGTGCCGTTTGGATGAGCTCAAACAAAGATGCTATTCCAGATCGTAACCTTGAATGTCGAGAAAAAGAAACGAACATTAGTTGTTTACTAGTACTGGTGACTATTCCCTTTATAAGAATCGGCCGAACCTTAGCACCTACCGAGCTACCCAAAACCTAAAAGGGGTAGGTAGGTGTAGACAGAGTGCTAGAATGCGGGGTAAAACACGATATATTCCTTCTCTACGATTCGAAATAATAGAATGATGAAGATTCGCCCTTCCTTACCACCTTCCTACCTGTAACAAAATGATTGTAGATTTTATCTGCAAAGGCATTTATTGCTATGGTCGATTGGATAGCGTGTCTATTTTTGAACCTCATGTTTGTTTGTTTGCTTTCTTTTTCCTCAGCACCGGCTGAAGCTGAATCATAACCACCACCTATTCGAGCTCAATTGGCGTCAATAATAAACTTAACTTTATAGCTCGTTTTCATGGCATGATATTCTTCATCGATGCTTAGATTAACAACTGGACTGTGAATGTTAAACTTTGGCGGATGCATTATTCACAACAGTCAGGCGAACAGTCAGGCGAACAGTCAGGTGGATGGGCCTTATTGCTGATGGCGATTGTCGATAGGAAAATTCCCACGCCTGGTGGATAGAACTAAGAACTAATAGGAAAGGTTGACAGGAGCTTAGTACGGAGTAGTCTGAATATATTAGTCGCGCAACTACGAAGCATCGAACAAGCCACGCCACGCCACCCCTAATCCCTAATCCCTAATGCTAGTGTGACGACTTCTGAGTGAGCCTCTGATAAAATAGGGGTTCAACAGTCAGATTGACGCTGCAGAGCAGGATCACAATGCCATGAATGGTGTGAGAATCAACAGATCAACAGCCTCCAACCCGGATTTAATCTACGAATCCACCATTGAACATGCGAAAATCAATTGTGTAAGCGGCGAATCCTGTGCTCCATACGGAAGTTACGGAAAATTAGCCAACGATGTACCGGTAAGACGGTTTTCCATTCCTTCTCATCTGAAAAAGGGTTTTCACAAGTGGATCTTCATGACCCTGTGGATCTCAACGATGGCCCCCGGCCAATTTAATATAAATCCCCATGAGAAGGGAGTGAAATGGGAGTGGGCTGAGCTCCAAGCTCTGACATCCGTATTGAATACGTGCTCTTTCAACTCCAGCCAGCTATTCTATATGGCACGTCGAGTGGATATTCAACGATAGTAAATTATCAGATTGCAGTTACATGTGGTTAGTATCGACGGCTGGACAGGATGAGCTGACCTAACCTACTACATGTTTACCGGCACAAGTAAACCTACTTTGACGTAAGTAGAAACTGACACTGACTGATAGGTCGAATTCCGTGAAACCCGAGAGTGGAATTCTTACTCCACGTTAAAAGTTCATGCCAGCGAGGTGCAGGAAAAAAAAACAATGGGTCATCAGAAGAAAACAGTAATTGGGCTGTGTTGGCGAACCAAAGGGGATATCATGTGTATGATTGAATGGTACTTAATATTCTTAGATAATATTCGGTATCATTGTACTACTGCTTTATAAACCTGCGCCTTCCCATTTCGACTCTCATTTTCTGTTTTCTGATTTGATTTTCCTAATCGTCTATGTTTGTGCTTATGCACGTGATTCCCCTTTGTTGTAACAGGGCTCTTGAGTGTATTTTTGTATTCATTCCTCATCTAGCTCTAGCATAGCAATTTCACAACGCTCTTCATTCATTCATTCATTCATTCATTCATTCATAAGCGTGTACCTACTTAATTCGTGGTCCATAACCGTACCTATACGCCAAGTCATTCACTGTTGGCGTATATCTAAGATTGGGTCGTGTCGATTTTTTATTTAATCTCCGCTAATCGCTAACCTTACTGTACCGCATTAAAACACATTTTATTTAAGCTCTGTCGCACGAGAAAAATAAAACTGGCGAATTTGACACTTTGGTCAAAGCAACTATTATGGATTCGTCGTCTGAAGTTAGGAGTAAGAAGGTGTGGCCGTTGAAGGAGATCAGAGAGTTGGTGGAGCAAGGTCACGCGATTGTCATATCAGAGGGATATGTGTTAAAATTGGACGCATGGCTTAACCGTCATCCCGGTGGTGCAAAAGTTATTCTACATGTTGTGGGACGAGATGCTACCGTTGAATTGGCTGCGTGAGTTGTCGATATAAGCAGGACTGAGAATGAATTATAGTAGCTGACTCTTTCTAGATTTCATAGCAAGGAGGTCAAGGCCCAAATGGCCCGTTATCGAATCGGTAAATTGGAAGAGCCATGGGTGAACATTATACCCCCAATTCAAAGACAATCACTTCGGATGCCAGAAAATGAGGTCGAAAAAGAACCTTCAACACCTATCACCGAAATCCCTTTGGTTGATGTCAGCGTCACCGAAAACCTTTTAGCTGTACCGCGTCAAGCAAATCCGGACAGCGATGCGAGCTCCATTGCCTCTTCCGTATTTGACGAAGAGGGTTTACGACTTCGGAATCGAACGGAGGGAAGTTCGATTGATTCCGAAGAGATTCCCGATCTGGAAACCAAGATGATGGATGCCACAGAACTGGAGACTAGATTCCAAGCTCTAATTGCGAGATTAGAAAATGAAGGTTTATACGACAGTAAACTATCGGCGTATGTAACGGAAATTCTACGATGTACGATTTTGTTTTCTCTCTCGATGATTTTTCTTCGTATGGAATGGTATGCTACCAGTGCAGCATTCCTCGGTATGTTTTGGCATCAAATCGTCGCCACGGCACATGACGCAGGCCATTTGGCGGTAACCCACGATTATAACATCGATTTCTTAATCGGTGGTGTGGTTTTGAATTTTTGCGGTGGACTTTCGATAGGCTGGTGGAAACGCAATCACAACATCCATCACATTGTTACGAACTCACCGACCCATGATCAAGATCTTCAAATCCTACCTTTCATCGCCATCTCGCCGGTATTTTTCGATTCTTTGTACTCAACAGCTTCCGAATGCATCATGCACTATAATTGGTTTGCCAAATTTATGGTACCAAAGCAAGCATGGACATACTATTTCCTCCTCTCAGTCGCGCGTTTCAATCTCTACTACCTTGCCTGGGACTTTATCCTCCGCGATCTTGGCACCAAACTCCACCGCAAACAACGAATCTTCGAACTCGTCGGTCAAATCTTCTTCTGGACTTGGTTTGGATATTTCCTCGTCTACCGCAGTATCCCTACCATCTCCCAACGCATCATTTTCTGTCTCATCTGTCACATGATCACCCTCCCACTACATCTCCAATTAACCGTCTCCCACTTCTCCATGTCGACCGAAGAATCAGAACCAAGCGAACACTGGATCCAACGCATGTTCCGCACAACCATGGATGTAGATTGTCCTACGTGGATGGATTGGTTCCATGGCGGTCTTCAATTCCAAGTCACCCATCATTTATTCCCACGCATGCCGAGACATAATCTACGTAAAGCGAGTGGATACGTGAAGGAATTCTGTGCGGAAACTGGGTTAAAATATGAAGTCTATGGGTTTGGAGAGAGTAATGGGAGGATGCTGGATAGACTTGCGGATGTGGCCAGACAGGCGAGATATTTGAAGGATTGTCAGGATAGTATTGTGAGTAAGGGAGAGTATTTGCATGGGCATTGGGATTGAGTGTGTTTTTGCTTGTTTGTTTCTGTGAATGTGAGCATGGCATGGCATGGCATTGCATTTTATGGATGGATGCTTCTTGACGGTATCTTTGATGCGAAAATGGGGATTGTGCATATGTATGTTTTGGGCGTTGGTAGATTGTCATAGATTATGGTAGTATATAAGCATATAATGCATAATGTTCATACATCATTCTATGCTATCTCAATCAATATCAATCAAGATCTTTACCAAGTAAGTCATGAGAAAAAGAAATACCCTGATACTCAAAATCATAAACACCGTGTTTCATTCCTCACCTCTATATCTTCCAGAAAAGATCTCAAAATCCGTATCCCTAATTCGCCACATAATCATCCACCTCAACAACCCCCCACCTTCCCACTCCCTCCAACGCCCAAAACCACAACATCCCAAATCCAAATCCAAACCCAGCTAACTCCTGCTTCCCCGCCCCGCTCTTTCTCTACCTCATCGTCCCATCACCTCATCCCGGTTCCTGCGCGTATACTTATCTCCGACATCCTAGTATCCCCGCATCCTACTTTCATTCCGCTCATTCTGTTTTTCATTCTTGTTTTTCTGGTTGTATTTTTGTATTTACTTGTTTTGTTTTTGTTCTGTTACGTTTGGTTTGGTTTTGTTTTATGGTGTACACTTGACTAATCATTGTGGTTTGTGTTAGCGCGTTCGTTGTGAGTTCGTTTTGTGGTTGTCTATTAGGAATTAATGTGTCTGGAAGGGTCGGTGATATGTATGTACTTGGCTGTGCTATGAATTGAAAGGAGACTTAAAGTTAGCTCTCTTTTTCTCGTGGATATAGAAAAGATAGATGGGTTGATGAGTGTCGAGATATGGAGAGTATATCGCTCTTGTTACTATTGAAAGTTGAAGGAATGAGAAAAGAGGATTGATGGTTTGGGAGAGTGGAATAGGTTGGGGATGGGATGTTGAAATGCTGGGGTTTTATTGATGGAGTGTTATTTTTGTAGGATTTTGAGGAGATTGGGAAGAAATTGTGATGAAGTGGGATCATTTGACTTAAGAAGCAGGAAGAGATGGGAAGGTATGAGATAGGCTGGGATTGTGGATATATACCTAGGTAGATTTTCGATATCCAATGGAACGGAGTGTTTGAGGACTGTAAATTTTCGGCGTCAATTCTAGGTAAAAGCGGCATTTTATTGGTCATAGTCATTGCCAGTCGAATAGATGAGTCGTCTATGAAACATCTAGTACAGAGGGTTACATACTTGTGGTAGTTGATGCACCACGGCGTAGAGTATCCTTAGGGTTGGAAACTGCAGAGGATGATATTGGCTAAAGATTCATCATGAAGGTTCTGCTTATTAAAGGTATTCAAGTGAAGGAGTACAAATTATTGCGAGTGCCCGCAGGAAAGTCATAAATGGTGTCGTCTAAACAGAGATGTCATGAAGTTTATCTGGGGAACCCTATTTTATTAGCAAGTTCGCGTGCTGAAAATTTAAACCGATGTGGAGAACTAGGTAAAGGTTTACATTGCAGAAAGAAAGAGTCTCATTTGACTTCGTGTTAAGTAACTTTACCAAAGCCTATTGACATTACCATATCGGCTTTGCTATTTCCAGGGTTTGTGTATTTTGGCTTGGCAACATGACATTGTGAGATGAATATCTCTTGCCAGAGTATATTTCGAGTAATGCCTACATATCCCGATTGTATGAGTCTAGATGCCATGCCTCATCAAATCTTTAACTTTCCAAGCTACATGAGCTCTCGCGAGGTCCAGCCAGTAACTGTTTGGTGGCTGCCCCAATAGTATGCCTACTTTGATAGTTTCAACTTGACTGGAGGTAGAGTTCTCAACATCATGTCCTCTCTTCTCCGTGGAAATTTTCTTGTTGGGGTGGTTTGTTTCGTTTCGACATCAGATGTAATGTAATGCAAATACGTCTTTCATGATTTATATCAAGCTGATAGCTTCAAAATGATGAATATCTTGAGACTTTCAATGAGAATAATACTTAATCTTGTAAGTACCCAAGATTGTCTCAAAGCGATAAACTTTGAGATACGCTAGTGCCCTACCTGGAATTCACAATAGCAATGGGAACTAAGTTTTAATTTGAAGGTAGATTCAGCGGAACGAGGAGGGGTCAAGTTGAGTCAAGTTTCAAGAAGTTTCCTTCTCGAAACTAGTTCACAAAATTAGCAGCCACGAAGATAGTAATGTAAAGAACATCATCTGAATGTTCCAAATTTGATCAAGAAATGTCTCGGAAGTCAAGAGATTTTTTCACTCGTAACTACTCTCGGTTGGAAGAATGGAAGAAAACATGTACGAAGTATTGAGATGACAGTGTTCTCAATCTTATTCCTTCACTTTATACATATACATCAGATCTTCATTTATTGTTTCCATTGATGTGCATACTCTTTCCTTATGAATGTTCTCATAGATGAACAGCCTTGATGGAATAAATCTTCAACCAAACATGTATAGTAATGCAAAAGAAGACTACATACTTGTGCATTTGCCCCCCATGATGAGTCTGAATTATGATCAAAGTTACATCTATTTTGGTAATATGGAGACACACCTCTCGAATCTCAATGATATTGGCTTTCACCTTTAGAATCTATGGTCTCTTAGACATAAACTCTTAGTCCATGTACCCATCGAGCCTTACATACCATACTCGTCGTCGAAATTCACTTTTGGCAAGAGAGAGATCACTAGCTTCCTTTTGAGACTTTTAAAAGGCTCCTGTGGATCTCGTTCTTCTGTCTGTCCTTCTTCCTCCTTGCACAATATCTCATTTGGTTATGTCTTTTATCTTTAGTCCTTTTCAAAATATTATCCATATACATAAGAACAAGTTTGCTTCGAACTCTTTACATGGTGCTTACTCCGATCCTAGTCACTAAAGACAGTTATGGCGTCTCTGCCAGGATTCGAGTTCCGCAGAAGATTTTCACAACTATTTGAAATCAATCCTAGCTTGACAAACAGTGAGTCCAATTACTGGCCAAGATAGATTCAACTCTCACTTAACATCTAATGTTCATACTAACATCATCTCAAAGACGAAGCTTACACCATCCTGGAAGCAAGCTCTTTCGACGTGCCCAAGACCTGTCTCGAAATAGCTAAAAAGAAGCAAGAATCGATTCAAGAGAGAGAGTTTTGGATCCCGAAAAGGGCTCTGGAACAGTTAGAAGTTAGTGAAAGACCGGAGAAGAAAATCAAATCAAGTCAGAAAACAGAACAGAGTCAGCTGAAAATCATTATCAATAACAAACTGCCAGATCAAGAGATTGAAAGTTCAAGGATCACGCAAGTGAAGATAAGAGAGATCATTGAGATTGATGATAGTGACGATGAGCAAGATGTTTTTCGAAATGACGCAGAGCCTTGTGCCATAGAATTGGACCAAGTTGCTACTGGCTCGAGAAGAGAATTCTTGAATATCGAGATATCTGATGAATCGGATGTTGACAAGGAAAGCTCTGAGGATGAATCTGACTCAGAGATTGACTATGGCAGCCAGAAATCAAGGTCTGGCTTCGATTCTCACATGAGGTCTGTAGAGAAACTCAAGTCAGCCGAATCAATCAAGTCAATCAAGCCAATCAAGCCAATCAAGCCAGACAAGTCGACGCTTGCAACTCCATTTGTTTCAAAGGTAGCTGGCAATGTGTTCGACAGAGAACTCAAGACTATCCAAATAAACAAGGATCAAACATCAGCTGAATCGGACGCCAAGGAATATCATGAGGAAGTTTCATCAGCCCACAGTGCCGCGCAGCAATTCCTTCGTGGAAGTCAGAAAAATTTGGCCGAGTGTCAAGCTGCGTGTCGAGCTGGAGACAGTATTTTGGTTCAAGATGGTAAATATCCATTTTTTTTTGGCTTGACTAAAGGCTGACCCCAAGCAGCTAAAATTGAGTCCAAAGTTCATTGTGCGTTCATTGTATACTTATACAAAGAAGTAAGTTGACTCTATTACTCAAGTTTTGAGTGACCTAACTTTGCAAGAATGAGGAACCGATGGCCCACATACGATATTTCGAAAGGGGCTGTGATACTATAATTGGTGAAATGGCCAGTCCAAGAGTGCTTTTCATGACTTCTAGATGTGCGAATATCTCGAAAGCCGAAATAAGAGCCAAAATCAGAGTCGATTTCCGTGGAAAGGTCGATGATGCCAATGACTCAACAATCGATCTCACCGAAGAAGAGTATCACAGAAGCCCAGACAGATATTTGTATAGACTGGGCTACGATAGTTTGCTTCAAAGCTTTTCTGAAGCCAAAGAGATGGTGACTGGAGCACGAGAATCCGGTTTCGAGAAATGCGAGTGCTGCTCCCTCGAAAGGGTCAATGATCATCAACCACTGAGGATATTGAACTGGAATAAAACACAACAATGTGCTACTGGGTTTATTTACAAAGGTACGAAATATCAACTCAAAGATTTCATTTATTTCATTTCGAAACCTACTTCCGGTTCAAAAGGCCCGCAACCGTACAGTATTGGTCAAATACAGAAGATCAAGGTCATCTGCTTGAAAGGTCAGCCCAGTGTCAACTTGACCGTGGATAGTTATGAACGTTACGACGATCACTTTCGGCTTAAGAGATCGGAAGAGACTGACGAGAGAATTCCCTTCGCAATCCATGATAATCGAAGAGTATTCCGGTGGAAATCTAAATCATTGAATCCGAAGGATGTTGACGGACACTGCTTTGTAAGGCACATAGAACAAATTGAAGATCTAGACATTTATAAGGACCTCAATGACACATTCTGGGTTCAGGAATATATCCCTAACGACTTGAAAAAGGATTCAATTACAGTCGGGAACTTAAAGTTTATGCCTAAAGAACATTTGACGTTTTCAAAAGGAAATGAACAGAGGCTCGAGAGAGAAAGAAAGCAAGAAATGACTAAGATGGATGGTCTAAAATTGAACACTCTGGTGGGCTCATACAAATTCTCTTTTGACGTTCTTGAGAAACATACTGATCAAATGACAAGGAGATTTACAGTGGCGCAGGTGGATTAAAGAAAGGTTTCCATGAAAGCGGAGTGATAGGGACTAGCTATGCCGTTGAGTTTGATACTACGGCTTGTGAGACGTTCAAATTGAACTTTCCAGATGCTGATGTATACAATGATGATGCAGGCAAGTTCTTAGAACGAGCGATGAAGATTGAAGCTGGACTCCTTCGAAACATGGCACATGATATAGATGGGGAAAAAATCCTGAAGATGCCTAAAAAAGGAGATATCGATATGATTGTTGGAGGACCTCCTTGCCAAGGATGGAGCAAAGTGAACCGTAAAAATAATCCCGAAAAGCTACTGAAGAACCCTATATGTCCTATGAGGGAGTCAATCGCAACATTCCTTTCTTACGTCGACTTTTATAGACCCAAATATTGCTTATTGGAGAATGTCACTGGTCTAAAACACCACCCGGTAGGTTTTTTTACTTAGAATGTATTTACATTTTCAATCTTACTAAAAAAAACAATATAGCTTAACGGTACTGATATTCCAGATTGTACCTCTGACAACGGTCTTTTGACAGACGGCGCGATAAAGTGAGGATATACTCCAAGAAATCCTCAAGGTAGGATGCAACTAACTAAATTTACAGATTCATCTTCCGAGTTTTTACATCTTTAGGTTATCAATGCCAACATACAACTCTACAGGTAGGTGCCTACGGTGTACCTTCGTCAAGAAAACGTGTGATATTCTGGGCCTCTCTACCAGGGTACAAGCTTCCGAAATTTCCTGAGCCGACAAATGTTTTTAGCCGTATCCCCAAAGATTCCCCTTATATCAGAAGATCAGCTCCGCATCGACCACTTACTATACAGCATTGTATTTCAGACTTACCTCAATGGGAGTTGGAAAATCCTCATACAGAAATCCAGCAAACGCCAGAACAAAAGTCTAGCCAAACAAACCGTGGTAAGAGTATTGCTCAATACTCGATCTTGAAGAATCAGAAATTTGTCGGTTTAGAAAAGCAAGACTATGCCTCCCCGCATTTATGTGAGTTCCAGAGGTAATAGCGAAAATCTGTTCCCGATCAGCTTCTACATAACCATGTAACGGGCAGGATCTCGGTGAAACAGGCTGAGCGAATGTGCAACATTCCACTCGAAGCTGGTGCCGATTACAGAAGAATGAACGAGGCATTGTTGCCCAACCACCTGAGGAAAGAATCAGAGAGATTTCGGAAAAATTCTAATTATCGGAATCGAAAGTTTGAGGGAAAATATGGAAGATTATTTGAAGATGAGATTTTCAAGATAATAACTACTGCGAATGATCAATATTCAACGAACAGCTGGGTACGTTCTCCGCGGTTTTTCCCAAGAGCCGATGATAGTTTGCAATGCTGACGTGAATGATACCAGATGCTCAATCCAAAGTTACATAGGCCATACACAATAAGGGAACTAGCTAGAGCTATGGGCTTCCCAGATAGCTTCATATGGGATTTAGAAACCATGAAAGTGTCCGATGCTCTCAAACAAATCGGTAATGCTGTGCCACCTCCATTTGCACGAGCACTCGGAAACGAACTGCGGAAAGTTTTACAAGATCGAAACACCAGCACCAGCAGAGAGAGCAACGATGACGAAGATATTGCAATTGATGACCATGCCGACCATGCCGACCAAACTATGAACTTATTTGAGGAGATGTTGGCTGGGAGTGAGACGGATTCTGATGAAGAAATCGACCATCTTGTAATCGCACAACTGGAAAAAGAATTCAACCGAAACACGGACAAACAAACAGACGCTGGAAGAGAGGATAAAAATGAAGAAAATTCAGACACAGAAGAGGAAGTGTCGGACGATAGTGACGTAGGTGTTGACGCAGACATGAAAGATCACGAAGATCAAGAAGATCCTGAATCCGAGAATGAAGATAAGCAGAATTGGAGCGTAGACGAAGAGATATTTGGTAAGAGTGATGACAGTCCTGAGTCAGAGGATGAGAACGAGCAGAATCTGGGTACAGATGAGGAAATTCCAAGCGACAGTGAAGTGGAAGTTGATGAAGACATGGAGGGCCAAGCAGGCCAAGAAAATCTTGAATCTGAGGACGAGAGTGGGCGACACCTAGATGCAGATGAGAAAGCGACAGAAGAAAGTGACGTCGATTCCGACGAAGATATGGACGATCTAGACGATCTAGAATCCGCGGACGAGAACGAAACGAATGAGAATATTGATTCGGAAGAAGAATCTTGGGTCAACAAAAAGGTACAGAGGGAGGAAAGAATCAATACTGGAGGAAGCAGAGATAACGCAATTGTGATTGATGATTCAGAATGATGGTTTACTACTGAATCTTGAAAATTACTAAGGAACATTTTGCGATACTTTTCAGAATTTTTAGCCGGGCATTTGAATTTTATTCTTAACAACATAGATCTCTTGAACTTATTTATTTACAAGAAATTGAATCTTTAAGCACAAAAAGAAAATCATCGTAGCAGAAATGGTGAAAGGGATTGATCAGCGTTCATGCATCTCATTCTCCAGTTATCAGACGTCGTATACCAACTTCTTTTCGCCGATTGGCATGTAGGTTCTGAACCACATTACTGCTTGAGAAAAAGCAGCTCGCTTTGCGTAGGTTTCGTCTCTACTCAGTCGACCTTTGCTCGGCAATCTAACAGCAAACGCGTATTCAACACCCGAGAATAAATTCATTTGCCAAGGAACTTTTGGTGGCAACTTGCCCGACTTGATGGCATCTTTCTCTTCGCTGATCGATATAACCATGTCGATGAGTTCCTTCTCTTGCTCGTGACGAGTTCGTGCGTCAACCGATCGATCGTCCCATGTCTGAGCAAGCGATAGTGGCACTTGAACTAGAATTATTCAAAGATATTAGATGCTGAATAGATGAAAGGGAGCTGAAAGCTACAGGAATATATGGAATATTCATTCTTACTTGTTCCATATTCTGATGTTTTCAAACGCCCAGGATGAGCCATGAACGCGGCTTCGATACGACAAGGACGCTCTTGGATTAGATTCATGACTAGAAAAGTTAGCATGTGTCTTGGGACTGCTCCAAGTCTCAATGAAGAATTGAACTGACGTGGAAGTGCACCACCGCTGTATCCCACGCCACCGACTTGGGTACAGTTTCGATTATTGCGAAGATAGTCCAAGGCGTTCTTGATCATAGAGGCTCGTTTTCTCTCACTTGGCTCACTGCTAGGATCCCTCATCTCCCATGGGCCGGAGTCTACTAATAATATTAGCTCTTACCAGACACGAAGAAATATTTTTTACTTAGAACCTTCTATTTTTTCATATATCTTCTGATGCTTGCCCCAATAGTTAATAATTACAGTGATATAATCAGCCTAAAACTTGTTAGATTATTTGATCAAACAAGAGCATTGAAGTGTACCTTGGCAAATTCGTCTGCACTTGACTCAATGTTAGAATTTAGTCTCGCTGTCAAATTATGTGTACAGGGGAACTCACAGAGCGCGATTGCTCGGTGCTATACCTGAGCTACCAGAAAAACAAATAAGACCCTGGCGTTTCTTGATGTTGTCAGAAGTAGGCTCTGCAATATAGACGACATCCCCTTTCAGTACAGCATCTTCAGATCTCGGTCTCACGCTACAGAAAAGGTTAGCTGATGTTATTGGTTGAATGAGGCCTGCTATGTACAATAAGGGTGCCTACATTTCAGAATTACCTGTAAAAACGTCTGCGGTTCTAAGAATTATATTTGCGGAATTTCTGCGAAGCTCGGTGACCCTTGACGATAGACGATTGGAAATCTGATCAAAGAACGGGGAAGCAACGGTCCAGACTATGTATACTGCTGCCACTACTGTACTCCAAAATAAAATACTTCGGATCCCAAATTTATTCTCACTAGCCTCGACAGCCTCAAGACTAGGCAACTCGTAGAGATCTAAGCCGCTCATACTTATATCAAATCGAAGTATCAGCTACAATATTGAGGGGAACAGATTTATGTGAAGTGGTAAAATCTGGTGTCGTTCGTCGTTTAGATTATGACCATAATCTGAGAAGAAATTAGGGATAAAAGCGTAATTAGTAAGAGAATACATGGCGTATGGAATGAGCTGCAATTTTACTAGATAATAGAATACAATGAATAGGAAATAAGGAACAAGGAATCATAGTATTCCGTTTTCGTCAAATGAAGCTTGTATGCCTTGATACTAAGGGATGAGTTTGAACTTCCGCTAGTACAGAAAGAGCATAGCATTTCAATCACGTGATATACAAACCCTATCTTCACACCAGCTTATGTCGCTCGGAATGCTTCATCGCAAAATCAAGATTCAATCAAATATATGGTTCCTTGGTATGTTGAAGTGATTCGGAAGAGACATTTCGTAAGAACGAGATTTGACTATTGATTGGTACTCGCACGGGATACGATATGATTGAGGTTACCGTAGCCTCTGATTAGCGAACACCTTTATCTCAAATCACTCCACATCAACACCCAATTTTGAGACGTGTGAACGAAATCATCGGAGATTCGTTACTAATGATCTATCCGAAATACATCGATGAAACTCGATGGCGGTAGAGAATGTAACATATTCTCAAGGGGCGGGATCTCGGGCGGCGGGAAACCAGGAGCAACTTGTGAGATCACCCGAACAAGATGATCTCAAGCAGCTTACAGCCCAAAACGCAGACGAGCTCCCCAAATCTGTCCCAGCAATGAAGGATTCAAAACAACTACGAACGCCTTCACCAAGTCCGCCTCCACTGCGTTCATCACCATCCCAGGTACCTGTGAATGAGTCGCCCTCTGGGAATGCAGATGAAACTCCACTTGTGCAAACTGGCAATAACAGTTCTGGATCTTTCCACAGATTGGAGAACTTTCCCTCTTTTGCCGAGCATAATAGAACAGGTGAATTGACTTCACCGCCTCCCACATCGAAATTCCTACCGCCTTCTGATCAATTGGATGATATCGCGGAGGAAAAAGTTGAGAATCACCGGAAATTGTCCTTGAAGGGTTTTGGTGAAGAAAAGGTTCTTAAACTATCGGCTGCTGAGATGACGGAACTAGCGTCGGCTCCCGAATCATTACCAATGATTTCGCCCAACAAGTTGTTTACTCCTGATCCGAGCCAAGGCAATGCAGAAGAACACGGGCGTAAAAGATCCGGCTCTGACGTATCTCGCATGGAGCTTGACGACCGACCACCGGAATCAATAGATCGTCGTAATATTATTACACCGGAATCTGTAAAGTTTTCCGCGGACATTAATGGTGAGCAGCGAGGCCATCAAGGGGTAATCCATGCCAATGCTAGCACCAGAAGGCCCACGATTTTACCCTCTTCCCGAGCCTTTAGTGCTCAGCCGCCACCAACTCAATGGCCATCGTACTCCAAGCCAAATGCCGTTCCGACATCCCCTAAGAAAAAGCCATTTTATATTGGTCGCGGCTCTGAACCATTAAACCTCAACCTCGAAGGGTTGACGACCCCCATTGCGACTAATGGAGCGAGCAAATCTTCACAGTTGCCGGACATTCCACCACCATCGCCAATACCCCAATCGATTCCTCTGCCCCCGATGTCAATTCCGACTTATCTACAGCTGGAGCTTTCCGCTACAAGGCCATCGCCTTTGTATATATATCGTTCAGCCTCGACAGAATTTCCTTATGAATCATCAAAAGTTAAATTTGAGCGTTTATTGAATTTTTTGTTATTACCGCCACAACTTGAACAGGTCCTATTTTTTGGATCTTTCGCATGTCTTGATGCCTGGCTCTATACCTTTACCATTTTACCATTGCGATTTTTTAAGGCTTTAGGCATTCTTATTGCATGGTGGGGTCATGTTCTAGCCAAGGAATGTCGCTTCATTAGTGGTTTTATTTATCATGGTATAAGCCGGATGTGGCATCGACGAAATGAACGTCGCAGTGCCGATTCTCTTTCACCCACGAGGAGTATGTCACGTCCTAGTAGACCTTCGGTGTCAACAACCACCTCATTTCAGTCTCAAGCTGGAAGGCCGTCTGAAACCTTCAGACGTACCGGTACTACTGAGACTACTCCAAGACTAAACGGTGAGCGTAGACCAAGACAAGGTTGGGCCCGTAGACATCGACGCATGAAATCTCAACCGTCTTCATTATCTTCATACAACAAAGCAGATCTTTTGCAGGGGGCTGTAATAATTTTCAGTTCATTCTTCTTAATGAAGTTAGACGCAAGCAGGATGTATCATAGTATTAGAGCGCAGTCAGCAATTAGACTTTATGTTATATATAATCTTTTAGAGGTATGTTAGTCCGTCCAGCTTGGAAGGCTTGGTAGCTCATTTTTCTATAGGTTTTTGATCGCCTTGCCGCGGCGCTTGGCCAAGACATTTTTGAATGCTTATTTTCCGATGAAACGCTAGAAAGAAATAGTGATGGTAGAAGCAAGGTTTTGCGACCGCTTGGCATGTTCATACTTGCTCTCATATATAATGTTGTTCATGCAGCAGCATTGTTCACCCAGGTCGTCACCTTGAATGTTGCTGTAAACTCATACTCCAACGCCCTCATCACTCTGTTATTATCGAATCAATTCGTGGAAGTAAAAGGTACTGTGTTCAAGAAGTTTGAAAAGGACAACCTCTTCCAGCTTACATGTGCCGATGTTGTGGAAAGATTCCAACTGTGGCTTATGCTCATGATCATTGCGTTACGAAATATTGTTGAGATGGGTGGCTTCAGCAGCATGGCATCATCTGCATCAGAAGCGACTAGTCCCTTACGTACAAGCTCAATGCTTCCAAACAGTTTTACCATTCTTCCGGTATGGTCAGGCGAAGTTCTTTCACCATTTTTCATAGTGATAGGCAGTGAGATGTTGGTAGATTGGATCAAACATGCATACATCAGCAAGTTCAATGGAGTCAAACCAGCAATCTATCAACGATTTCTCGATGTTCTGGCCAAGGATTACTATACAAATGTAGGTCTTAAATCCCGAATTGCTTGTTCTAGCTAACTGTTCTAGGCCTTTGTCAACCAAAATCTCATCAAACGTCTTGGTCTTCCAGTTATACCACTCTCTTGTCTGTTTATCAGGGCTGCATTTCAAACATATCATATGTTTCTCGCTACTCATCTTCCTCCACCACTCCCATCAACAGCAACATCCTTATCAGTCGAATCATCTCCAGCAACAACAGCAGCTCTCGAGCATTTCGACACCATCGTCCGCAAAGCGCTCGGTCGATCGACGTTCGGGCTACCAAACCCGGACTCTATTACACCATGGTATCTACCCAGCACCGATGATGTGATTGCATCTCTGACTATGATCGTCTTCTTCTTGGGTGCATTCTTTGTTCTTCTCGCCTGCAAACTTGTTCTCGGAATGCTCTTACTAAAATTTGCACGTAATCGTTATTCTACTATGAAAATGCGTGAGCATCGAAGGTACGAGACTGGTGGAAAGAGAGTAGGTGGCTGGGGTATGGTAGAAGTCGATGATGATAAGAAACGATGGATCTATGATGATGACCCTGAAACATTAAAGAAGTTGAGAGAAAAGGAAAGGCTAGCGAGAGATAAGGAGAAGGTGGGCGCCGTACATGACTTTTCTAAAATTAGTAGATATGAGATGGCGGCGAAGAGAATATGGTGAAATTAGAGGTATATTGCTTTACATAAAATGAGGATCCTGAGTACGCAATTCCTTCCCGCAACTATATGACACATTTTGTGGGATGCGTAGTGACATCGGCTCCCACATCAGTCGTTTAACCAACAGATTTTCATCCAACAATTGATCCTGCTTGTAGTTCCTTACCGTTATGCATCCCTAAGGAAACTTAAAAGCTAGTTATTACTCTGATGTGCCATCCTTCAGCCATGGGATGTAAGTCAAATTGCCAATCTGGCCATTGCCTTTTACACTGCATGCTGCATGCCAAATTCAATACATTTCTTTCGTGATATGCCCAATCTTAAAGCGTCGGCGCCATTGTCTCCACGTGAACTATAGAGACGATCACTATACAAACTACAGGTTAATTTTTGGATACTTTCGAGCACACATACCGTTCAACCAAGAGTGATGTATATTCAATCTCGGGGTTGAAAAATGGTGAAATTTAGATGTACCAGACTGAATTTGATGAAATAAAAGCAGATAAGGTAACAGGTGCTCGAGAAATTCTCGATGAAGATAAAGAACTCGATTACTGAGAATCGAAAATTTCGCAGTAGATTTTCAGGGTATCATAGTCTGTGGGTGGACCCTCTAAATATGAATGCCGTCGGCAACCGGTGCGGGACAAGTAGAGTGGAACACTATCACAGTGTATCACGCTGCTTTTCAGGCGTGTGGAGTACCACGACCCCTAATGAAGTTAATACCAAATGTGGGCCATTCCCACAACACTCTTTGTGGCCAGCTGCAGAAGATGAACAGAACATCATAAAAAAATCGCCAAACGCGCAGATAAGTGATATCCAGCTCTTTTCACCCCCTTGATACACAAATCCTCTGTCAAATCCACTACCCCCCGCTGTGTGTAGACATAAGCTACCATGAGAACGAAAGCGCTTGTCGTCAATAGTCCCGGCGGTGAGTTTGTTTATCGCGATGTGGAAGTTAACGACGATATTCGTGATACCGAGGTACTGGTCCGAATTGTAGCAACGGGAATTTGTCATACCGATATCAATTTTAGTCAACATGATATTGATGGAATGTTTCCAGCTATTTTGGGTCATGAAGGTCAGTGATACATAAACACATTCCTGGTATCACATGATAGACTGACGTGTATCACAGGAGCTGGAATCATCTCTAAGGTGGGATTAAAAGTCACCAATGTTGAGGTTGGAGATTATGTCATTCTCAGTTACACGAGTTGTGGAGAATGCAGGTACTGTATGAGAAATCAGACGAGCTTTTGCGGTGATTGGGAGCTGGACAATTTCGGAATAGGTAGAGGTGAGGATGGGAGCAAAGCTTATGAAATCCCATCTGAAGAGGAAGGAGGCGGGTCGGAAATCACAAGTCATTTTTTCGGCCAGAGTTGTAAGTCATCTTAGTTGTCTTAGTCTAGCAAACCAAGTTAATCTTCAACAGGCCTCTCTAACTTTGCCGTGGCCAATGCCAGATGTTGTATTAGAGTTGGAGGGCCTGGAAGTGACTTGGATCTTTCGTCTCTGGCACCACTAGGTTGTGGTATCATGACAGGTGCTGGTGGTAAGTTTCTCTAACTGATCCAACCTTTCTCCCAGAAGAAATAGTACTAAAAAAAGAATATAGCAATACTCAACGTTCTCAAACCATCCTCGGAAGATATCGTATGCGTTGTTGGAGCAGGTGCCGTTGGCTTAGCAGCTATCATGGCGCTGAATCTTCTAGAAAGAAAGCCCAGACAGATAATCGCAGTTGATTTGCTAGATGAAAGGTTAAAATTGGCTAAACAATATGGAGCAACACATGTCATCCAACCAACCAAAGAAAGAGGCTTGCAGAGTGCACTGAAACGAATAACGAACTTCGAGGGGATTGATGCTTCAATTGATACCACTGGTAAACCAGAAGTTGTTGCAGACTTATTGGAGGCAACAGCAAAATTGGGGACAGTATGCAGTGTAGGGGTTGGAAAGGTATGTATCGCTAAATCCCATTCAATCCTTGCCCACAAGTCTGATAGATTATATATATAGCTTGATGCCGCTGTGTCGATAAACATATTTAATGCGGTCAATACTGGGCGAAAATTTGTAGGCTGCTGTATGGGAAATTCATACCCTCCCGAATTTCTTCCCAAACTTATTCAAGCCTGGAAGGACGGAATGTTTCCTTTTACGGACTTAATCACGAGGTACGACGCGGAAGATATGGAGAAGGCTAAAGAAGATGTTTTGAGTGGAAAAGCTGTCAAAGCAGTCCTGACCTGGGGAGCCTCTGATAGTTAAAGAGGAAGGCACAGATTTAATGCTTGTTATAATGATGCTTGAATACCTCCGTTCAATTGTATTTGTGAATCTTAAAATGTTATGTAAATGTATGCTTCTTAACGAAGAATGAACCCACACATCGGTAGTAGCATCCTCTCAATGGAGCTAAAGAATTGTATGCTTGAAACCCCCTCTCCCCCAAACAAACTGTTGCCGTTACAATATGCGGCAACAACCTCGAATGATTACTTAGGACGCTAGTCAAGGTACAATTTTGTGGAATTTGCCATCTGATGTTTTGACTGTACAATTTTCTTGCGTATGCATCTATGACAAGCTATTACTTCGCGATACCGACACACAAACATGACTTGTCCCCGAAGATATCGGCAAGTCTAGCACATGTGATTTCCATGTATGTAAGTCCATCTGTTCTCACCAGCAGGATTATTCCGAAGAGCCTGTGCAGCCACCGCAACTTGAGCTCTAGCTGCAAATCCCTGTCCAACTGCCTGATGAGGACGTTCAAGTAGGCGATGCTCAAGTCTGCGATCGAAAGCTTCAGTTGCACGAGCTCCCAAGCGGGTCTCGTGCCAGTGCGGGCATCTGCAGCTGTTCCATCTCAAGCCGCAGATATAACAGAACTCAGCTCCGCATCGACATCTACATATCTGAGTATCAGTGTGTGTTTGTAATCGTGATAATAGGTGGAAAAGGGAAACTCACTTCACATGGTTGCATCCTCTTTCAAGCTCCACAATACTCCAGCATGAATAACATCTTTGCCAACCTTCATTTCTTGCTAGTTCCAAAACCTCCTTTAAGACCGTATCTTCTGAACAATCTCCGGTATGCGCCTCTAGTTTGCACACAGTGTGAGTTTGTGTGCCGCATTCATCGCAAAATGCTACTTCATTCCGAATACTAGTCGGATCAATAAAAGCTGAGCAAGGCGTGAAACTGCAATAGATTCTGTTCGGTGTCTCAAACTCTAGCTCCTTCTTTGCAAAAGCGCTTATGGTATCAGTTTTAAGAAAAGAATGTACACTGACGACAGTAATGCGCTCGTTACAACAGCGGGGCGGAAAGAATGATTCATCTCTCATTGACAATTGGAATAGGGTCTCAAGACAGTTGGGACAATACTCGTGACGGCACGAACCGGGAACCCTGGCTGCGTCCAAGGAGTTAATTTTGTTCTGGCAGCTAACGCACGTAGATTCCTCATTGGTTTGCGTCAGAGGTGAAGAAGGGGATTGGGACTCTGGTGTAGTTTTGGTTTGAGGGGAGCCTTGATATGATTGTAACAGAGCCATCGTATGATCTCTGGCAAAATCTAAAATGCGTGATGCCGTTCGAGTCAAGATATTTTCATTGGCTTGAACGGCCGATGCCATTATTCATGCCATACGTCGATTCGACGAGACTAAAGCGATGTTTTCCAGTTCTGTTCTTTGAAGTTCAAATGCGACTGAGATGTCAGAGGCATCATTGGCGCGGCCATTGCCTTCGGGAGGAGAATCCTCGATATCTCCAAGCAGAAGCTGGATAATTAAGTTTGAAGACTCATTATCGATTCCTTCAAGGTGATGGTTGGTGACAGCTGCGTAGTCCATACTGATAGTATATCTGCAATTACTGAATGCACAATGGAAAATATGTGTTTGATATCGACTACGAGGAGTTGAATCATATACTCAAGACCGGGTTGAGTTGCGTATGTAAAGACTTGCTGAACGATCAATTGAGCTAGCTTTATTGGCTACAGTATATAGATTAACCACTAGCGCACATTATGAAGCCGAATGAGGAAAAACAAGTCAAGAGGCTATCGATATGCCGTAAGAATATCCCAACCAATGGAGGGCCCATCGTATGTGTTGAAAACAGTGAATACATTCTATACGCACTTCAAAGGTTATGTTAGATATGGGGAATCGATGATTTTAGTAACTGTCATTGGTCTGAATACAGCTTCATATTTCTCAGATGTAGGTATTGATGATCATCCCAGCAGGTAATGTATTCAGGAATCAAGTATATATTTGAAAGAGAGAGAGAGTGTGTAACATGTATTGAACGATGAATACTATGGCATTCGGTATTCCAAGAGGGATATGCATAGTTTAAAAAAACTATCAGAAAATCGCGTAGTAAAGATTATTCAACAATCAAAACCCAAAACTCTACTCCCTATTTATCAACTCCACAAAGAAAGCATCACCTAAATCCCTCCAGCATCAATAATTCCCCATCCCAACTTCGCCTTCTCCTCCACCTCTCCCTTCAAATTGACTTCCCGCCCTCTGCTCCTATCCTTCCAATCCACATAGCCAATCGCATCATCCGTCGCCCTCCATTCCTGCCAACCCTGTTCGATTCTCCCCTCCAACTGAGCCGTCGTAGGTCTATCGCTACTTTTCGTCTTCAGCATCCCTGCTACCAAGTTCTTTAGTCCACTCGTAAATGGCTTATCGCTCATTCTTGACATTGCCCATTGATATTCGAATTGTTGGGGTGGGGGAATCCCCGTCATCATCGTGAAGACCGTTGCGCCTAGCGACCAAATCTCCGAGGCTGGCCCCCAGGTTTCGGTCCCGGCTAATTGTTCCTATATCGCTATTAGTAAAGATGTTTTTATCGAATTTCCTAAGTCAAGACGTACAGGAGGTTGAAAAAACCAATTCAATCCCTCTTTCTTCTCACTCTTTGCCACATTCCCGCCTGGAAACCCCGTCACAACCGCCTTCCCAAACCCGCCCAGTTTACACTGCCCATACGTCGCTCCACCACCTGTTCTCTTAAACCAAATCTGTTTAGGACTAACATCCCTTATCAGAATAGGTTGCCAATCATCATCATGTTTTTGCCAATCGTCTTTTGTGTCTGTCTGTTTCACACCCGTATGCAACCATAAGAGCGCCTTGTTAATACTGGATAAAACATGCCAGCACAAACTTTCAGGCAGGGAGAAGCGATTAGGATTAGGAGTAGCAAGGGCGCGCCAAGCGGTTATATCAGTAATCTTAGGGTAATTCTCTGAATCTGGAAGAATGAGATCAAGTGAGCCTTGATTCATGTCTTCGTAGACCGCTATGTTGGCAGTTATACCAGCACGTTTTGTGGACCCTGCAAGGGAGTCTGTGTGAATTATATCAACGAGGCCAACAATGTTCGGGTGGTTCAAAATGCGGGATAGAGGGACACCGGCTGTAGGGAGTATGGCGGAGGCAAGACTTATTTTCCATTCTGGATTTTTGTCGGACGAGACCTTTTTGTCGGGGATGGGAAAACCAAGAAAGGACTCATTGTCTTTAATCCTGATTAGTTGAATGCTCTTTGCGTTTTCACCAACTTCCAAAGGATTGCGAAGAACATATTTGGGTTGAATGGGAGTGGAATGAACGTTGTTGGCTGCCATTGTGTTGGTTCAGGGTTTGAAATAGTAATGAGATTTATTTGAAGCTGACGGTTTGAACTTCTTAAGGGGTTAGATAAAGCTACTACAAATCACAAAGGAAAATGTAGCGAGCTATGCAAACTTATGAATTTAACTGGTACGTTTTAGTAACGGGTCATCACAGACAAAGAATCAAAAGGAACACAAAGAAAGGCATATTCATTTGCAAACAATTGTTTAATTGAATAGACTGATATCACACTCTTAGTAATTAAAATCTTCATAGTTGACGTTTTTGTCCTGAAGCCACTCAACCAAGGTATTACGCAGAATAGTTCCTGTGCATAGGTACCATTGATTAGCAGAATCTTCGGAAACATCACCCTTTTCGATTCTTCTTTCTTTCAACGTAGCGCCAGATTCCCGTAATTTACTGAAGGCAGTCGATTCGTTCATACCATCACAGCTTCCCATTTCACCCGTAATAAACAATGTTGCTTGAGAACTAAGATTGGGATACTTTTCGAAGGTATCCAAGACCAACCCCAGGTCAACCAAACGAACAGTCCAATAAAGTTGCAATCGTGATAAATCCAATTCGGAAACTTGAGCAATGAGTGGAGTAATCCCAACACCGCCAGCAACAAAAGAAACTTTTCCTGTAGAGCCTTGGTTGATGAAAAATTCTCCTCCAAATCCTTTAAGAGGTACTTCCAACTCTGATCTGATGTTATGGCGAAACAGGAAGTCAGTGACAATTCCAACCTTGCGAATTGTAATCTCGAATGTATCGTATGTATTTGTGGGATCTTTTGACGAAGAAACAGTGAAAGTTCGTATGTAATCGTCGTTCAAGCTTTTTGGATCATCATCACGCATGTGGCTATAGCCAATATCAAGTTCATCTTTGAAATCCAAGGCGACATATTGGCCAGGTTTCCAAGGGTTGATTTTATCTTGACTCGAAATTTTGAATCGAAACCTTGCTACAGTTGGTGACAAGATTTTTCGCTTAATGAGTTTAGCATGTATCTTGCTGCGCTCATCTTTGACCCCAACGGCAGCCTCAGAAGCTAGACATCGAACGGATGGATTATAGGGTGAACGTTCACCTTCTTCGCCTCGGAAACTCAATCCATCAGTAACATATCGAATATCTTCCACGAATATCTTAACTGCGAGATTGGTATGTGCAATTAAATTAGTAGCCTTTTCCCCAGCAAGTATTTCGGTTCTCCCGGTCAGGTACACGACATCGCCGGTATTGAAATCTGGGAACACTAGTCCTGCCTGAGGTGTAGTCGTGAGATTTCCGAGTGTTTGATAAAGGCGATTACCAGAATACTCTGGATAAACGATTGTTAGTCCGTTAGTATCGTTAGACAGGATTCGGACAAAGCCCGGTGGGCCACCTCTGTGATTTGTATCCATATCAGAATCATGATTCGAGGAAGAAATGAAGAACAGGTCAGATCGTGTTATCAAATCAGCTGCTTCTATAGGAAGAGGTAATGTCGTGGAAACCAGTGTAGGCTTCGGCAATCGAGGAGTAATGTGTTTCTTGTTCAGGTATTTGGGACAATTACCTGCAATTGCGTTAGTATATAACAATAGCTGCTAGGGCACTGAGAAGCTCACCTAGACTTTGCTCTATTTTTACGACTAACGAGGCTTCCGCAAGTGAATTCCCAGAAGTCTCTTTCAATGCGCCTGCAGCCATCCGACCATATAGTTTGACTCGTCTCCTGGATTCGAGGTCGATCGCAAGACCACCGACCATTCTCCCCGGTAATTCTTCTCGTTTGACTTGCCCATCTACATTCTTTCCCAGCAAAATTTCGGAAACAGGATCATATTGGAGGTCAATTGTAGCTTTCACAGCAATGACAGACTGCGTGACCTGCGAGGCAAAACCAGCCTCTCCGCCCCACAATGTAGTCCATGGTCTGCTGGAAGAATCGAGTGTGCCGAGGGCGAGTAATGGTGATCGGGCCAATAGGTTCGCAGCGAATGGTGAAAGGTATGGTGAGGTTGGATTCTCGTTCTGAGGTACTCGTAGACGTTTGTGCATTTCCTCCTCTCCAGCATGCCATTCTGTAGCCATCTGGAACGCCATTGCGATTTCTTTGAAATGTCTTCTAATTGTTATGCCTATATAACTTTCGTTCGATGAGGTTGTCAAAGCTAATCAAGGTGGAATTGAACGAAAAGTAAGCTCAACATATGAGGAGCAGTAAGCGTAAGTCGTCATTCTTGGTGACATTCCATAAGCCGTAATTCTTGTCCTGTTCGTTGTTTTGTAGGATTTTGTCGGATTCGAGAACAAAGCGAGGTAGGTATGCTATCGAGCCTATCAAGTGGGGGTACTGTATGAGCTACAAAGTGATTAGTAATCTGGAATCTGGGACCTGGTGGACCACCAGGTGAACCACCACCGCGACTCCAGGATTTTGAACTAACTATCTCCCGATAAGGTCTCCAAAGGCCACTTCTGGATGAGTACATGCAATCTGACCTGCTAAGATGCTTCCTGCCCAGATGTTTGAATACAACAGTCCTGAATGCGATGCCTTTGATCGTAGACACATTCGAGATCTGTTCAGGTACAGTTTCTTGGTAGCTAGTTTAATTGTAAGTTTATATTCTATTACCTTGTTACTTCAGCTGAGACTGCTCAATTTTCCAACATATTTTGAGCGTTGAAATCATGTGTATCTGATGTACTTTGTAAAGACCTTGGACCTTTACTCTTAACGTTGAGTTTGTCTATCATCTTCAATGGTCAGCTTACAATCTCTTAGTATTTAGCTCAGATTTAGGAGTAGCACCATAGTCAACCATACAATGTAGCATTTATCTGATAGTCCACAAAAGGCTCAACATTGACTTCGGCCAGTTGCATTGAACCACAATATTGTTCAGCTTGAATTCATTAGTAAAAATCTTATGTTAACAAATCCATCTTATTTGATAAATGTTCAAATTAAATCCAAAGAACCAATCTACCATGACACCATTCCTTCATTCAATCCATACACTTTCGACTCCTAGCTCAATTTCGATCATTGAATTGCTAATACAAGCGGCGATATCAAGCTACACCTCCATGCTTCTTTGCTTCTTCAATAAGTTTTGCCATCTTCTGTAGATGTTCCACCCTATGGTCAATGCCACCCGCACTGAAATGGAGTATCAAACCTTGATACGTCTTCTCCATATTCTTTTTAGCAATTTCGAACATTTGCTCCTCATATTCCTCAATAGCCTGCTTCAAACTACCCTTCAGATCAACTTCAAAATTATCCTTCTGCTTGAGAAGAGCATGCGTAAGCAGCATGGCATCATTCAAAGCAACATTGACGCCAACTCCCGCAAATGGTGTCATCAAATGAGCTGCATCTCCGAGAAGTGTGACACCAGAACGGCTTTGCCATTTGAAGCCAACCGGAAGCATATACAATGATCGAACGATAAGGCTATCAGTTGCTTCGGATAGAAGTCTCTTCAAGTCTTCATGTACATCTCCAAAGTACTGCTCTGTGAGTTGTTTGCGGGCCTCGATGGGATTTTCCCAGTCGATACCGCAATCCTTGATCCACTTCTCGGGCTTGCGTACCCCTGCGTAGACTCGAATGCCATCATATCCATTCCTTTGGCATATTATACCCCGACCTTCATCAAACATGAAGAAGCTACCTTTGCCGACATAATCAGATAGCCATTGCTTGTTTTCCGAAACGTTGCGAGCAGTCAATTCCACCATGCTAATTCCGGAGTACTCAGGCAACTGCACCGAGACAAGAGGCCGAACCTTTGACCAGGCGCCATCAGCTCCAATAACAAGATCAAATCCCTCTTCAACGTGGTTTGCAAAGTGAAGATCAAATTGGGCGGGATTACTCTCGCTTGTTTTGACGCTAACAATCTTACTGTTCCAGCGAATGGAGTCTGCCTCGACGGAGTCCAGAAGAATGTCACGAAGTCTAGCACGATCAATCTCTGGGCGATCTCTAGCTTGACGGATTGAATCACTCTCGTCGTCATTATTATTTTCATCCCAAGCAACAGTACCATCAGCCTTTACCAGCTTCATGGAGTCTGCATCGGGCAAAGAGTGTTTCTGAAATTCTTCCATGAGACCGGCTTCGCGAAGAGCGCGTTGACCCATATCAGCGTGGAGGTCGATTATGCCACCTTGTGAACGAGCATCTCGGTTGGCGTCTAGCTCGAAGATTGTGCAACTGATCCCGTTGTGTTGGAGCAGACGAGCTAACGTTAGACCACCAGGTCCGGCACCGGCTATGGCAATTCTGGGGGCTGGCATGATGATTTCTTGCTTTCTGGTCTGATTGAGAAAGCTTTGTGGAGATTCGTTAAGAGGGTTTAAAAGAATTCAGTTGAGATCTGATGATGATGAATGTTTGTAGGATATCCATGAGAGGTACATTAACTCCTTATATATCAATACATCCTCCACCGACAGCCATGTAGTTCTTCAAAATTCCATCCCGAAATGGGAGGAACGGAGAACACGCAAATTACATTATTAACTCCGTGTCTCTAAGGTCAAGATATTTCTTCTCCTAAAGAGGCTTTATCCTGCGATACTGATGGAAGATGGCCATCTTGCAGATTGGATTTTTTTGGCGACGGGTAGGTGTACACCTTGCGATTAAAAACTCCGACCCACAATGAAGACTTCTGATTTGCTACCGCGCAAGATACGACTGTTGTCAAAAACTGCGGCTGGAACTAGATACGCTAATCAATTTAAGGTGGACCTCGGGAGTAGATTGTGTTGCGCCACAACATGAAGCCACTAATGTCGGACTCTCCGTGGATTCATGCCGACTCCATCCACGACGTCGATGTTTGCAGAACCTGAGAAATGATAAAGTATTGATCAATCTTTGGCTAATTGCGAAAACAAACTGGTATCTGAAACTCTCCGATAAACACGCAGCAAACGACCATGGTCGGTGTACCAACAAGTAACAGGTGTGATAATTGTCGGATAAGGAAGAAGAAGGTTGATACGTATTCCTACACGAATTGTGTTATCTCAAGCTGTAATTAAACTGACACGTGAAATACAAAGTGTGGAGAGCAGCGCCCATCTTGCGCAGAATGCATTCGCAGTGGTTGGGACTGTCCGGGATATCCACCCCGTTGGAAGTTCGTGAACGAAAGGCCGAGACTAAAGAAATTGTATTCGCGGAGGAAATATGTCTTCGATTCCCATACTACAAGCCCAGATGTTGTGACACCAGAGGAGGTCAGCCTTAGTTTCGTAGAATCTGGTTCGGACCTGTTTCTTTTGGGGAACTTTGAAGTAGTCTCTCTGGATATTCCCCGATTTCTTGGCAATAATCCACTGGCTACTAAATTGATGTACTGTCTTGGATGCAAAGTGAAGGGGGATCTATTACCCCTTTGGTTGATTGGATCATTTTTCCAATATATACCTGGTCGTTTGGGCTACAACATTGCTCTCGATGACGCCATGACTTGCGTTTGCAATTTGTATTGCGATGGATCTTCGAATGAATATACCAAATCGAAAGCCATCTACAGCAGTTATATTCGAGCCTTATCTTCGTTACAAAAGTGTTTAATCGACGAACGTCTCCGTTTTCAATCGGAGACACTGTGTGCTTCTCTTTTATTGCAAATGTGTGAAGTGAGTATCAACATTGCACAGCTATATTTGATATGGGTGACTAATGTGCAAACAGCTTGTTGTGAATGTCGACAAAGCCAAATGGATTGATCTCGCTCGTGGAACTTCTCAGCTCATCAAAGCACGGGGGGTTGGTCGATACAAAGATCCATTTGATCTCGGAATGCTTGAATCCCAGCTGAGTTACATTGTATGCCATCAATATACCGACTTGATAGGAAAGTGAAGGGCGTCGTTGACAATAGATTCAAACAAAGGTTATTCAATCTGTCAAATTCAAGGAAGACTGCTACCTCCGCCAACCAGAATGGCGGGCACTTCTTGCAACTACGTCTACGTGGCCTATCAACGCAATCACCATGAAAGAGCTCAAATCTCTGGAATTACGGATCCAACTTTGTGTTCAGCTATTCGAAATTCCTAGTATTCTTATGGAAGCGTCGTCATTTCTACAGAATTTCGATGGACTTTCGGCAGGCTCTCATCCTGTTTTCTTGAACAATATTGTTGAAATTTGTTCTAGGATGAAGGCATGGCTGAATTCCGGAGTAGAGCCTCATATTCTTTCCAATCCATGGGATACGGCTGGAGCTACAGTTCAGTATTCAGACCCGATTGCAGGTGTTGTAGATTGCGTGGCTAATACAGCACTGCTGACACTCGACAAAGTCATCTGTTCATTATACCACGGAAGCATAGCAACACACGCAGTTGATACATTCGATGACCCGGAAGTCGTAGAGAGGTGGTATCGCCGTGCAATAAAGGCGTACGATTTCGTACAAGGCGAATCAATAATTGCCGCCAAACCTTTAGGAATTGGATTGCAACAATTTCAATCGTCTAGCCCGAAGCCAATTGCCGAGACAAAATTAATGAAACTCGGGCACTATTATGGCCTCTCTTATGCATATTGTGCTCCAATACATCTCGCCTGCTGGTATTCTTCAACTCCATAATACATGGCATTTCACAACGCTTTAATGGCGAGACTTATCTTTAAATGACCAATGAGATTGGATATCAGTATTATGTTGCTTTAAAGGCATTAAATACAGACGTTTGTCGTCTCTGTTTGGTACATTCGTTCGAAGGGAAGATTGTACCGTTTCCTAAGCCATACTGCACCTCATGGGAACATATCTCTACGGTGCAAGAAGCGGGTAGTTACCGAGGCGAGGTCTATGGTACACGTATTGGATGCACATCGAATCCTCGACATGTCCTCGCTCTCAACACGCTTTCTGGACCGCTAGAACTTCGAGCATCGCTAAAGTCTGGCGATGAGATACTAAGAGTACACTTCTAGATTATCAGACTGCTTGACTTGCCCAACGGGGCACAAGTTGATGCCAGATCGTGCATGGGTCGATATAAATCTAAGCACCACTTGGTAAATACGAAACAGAATAGACTTGGCTCCCTAAAGCTTACCTCGATGTTATTCACAGCTCAGTACAATATTTGGGTGTTTATTGGAAATAGGATAGGCAGCAGACAACATAAAGTCGCCAAAGAAAAAAAAGAAAAGACCATTGATCGAGATAGTAAAGCATAGAATGAAATAATAAACCGCCCATCCCGCTGTCACCTCGTGAATCATGTCAGAAAAGTATAAAGCGACACAACTCCCTTCCTCCCCTCCCCAAGTCAAACCCCTGAGTTAGAAATGTAATCAATCATTCTTGCAAAAGTTCCGATGCACTAAATTGAAACAAAACCCTCAGCTTTGTATCAAAAGCCAAACTTAAATTTGACCCGTCCAGAGAAAGCACCACTAAAGGAAACTCCGGCGGATTCGCAATTTTTCTGAAGAAGAATTGTATTTACGTCTGGGGTGTTGTCCAAAGAAGCGATTTGGAACATTACGAGAGTTTGTAAAACAAAACCATTGAATAAAACCATTGAATAGACCAAAGCCTGCCGCAAAAATAGCAATCGAGGGATGAGGTGGTCGGGATATGCAGCGACTGAAGCAAGTGTAAAGCACAATTAGCCGAATTCCCAAAATCATGACCGCAGGTATCTCATTTGAATTCATATCGTCTGATCTGAAGCAATCGCAACTTGCATGGTATTTAAACATTGAAAGAAATGAGACAATGAATAAAGATTGGGCCACAAAGCGTATCGAGTCCGTCACTAAAACGGTCTCCAGTCTACTCGGACTGAAACTTGTGAAATAAAATCAGTGCATAGGTGTTGAGACACGAAAATTTCAATTCGTCGTAGTGATAGCATGGCGGGACCTGTTGAATCTTCCATGCTTTCAAAGAAAGTTATTAAATGAGAGAAGTTGTTACAATTGATGCCATCTAGGATCAATCGATGTGGATTATCCAAGGCCATGAGAAAATCGGGACTTATTTTGGGCAAGTGACTAATACGTCCTCGAAAACCCAGCGCAGTTTTCGTGAGATTGTCCGGAGCATCACTGAATGACATCAGTCAAAATTCGTACCATAGTAATATAGTTGGTAATGGTGTCATGAAGAGTCGAACGTGCAATCAAAAAAAGATTCAGTCGTGGAATCTTGGAAATATATATATTCCAATTCCTTCGATAAGTTGATGCAAAGAGTACATCTCGCCTCTTGACTTGGAAGAGCTTGACACGAGGCATAAGTTGTGTGTTTTCCGAGCTCTGATGTCCATAATTTGGCCTGTAAAAACTCTTTCACCGAATTTTGTCTTTTGGTTCTATTGATTAATGGCCTAGAATATGTTCAGATTCATTTTGCCATGTTGATCAAGCTCAGGTTCGTTTGAGAGCTTGCGACATCTTGGTGTCGGAAGTAGTTCTCCGAGTGAAGTGAAAGTCATCATAGAAACATCTAACAAAGAAGAGCAGGAGCAATCGTCATGAGAAAGAAAAGCAAGCGCAGACTCCCCCATACTCGAGGATACAATGAGAATAATCTTCGAGTGCTGTGTCATATTTTCAGTGGAGAATTGATATTCGAATGAATCATGTACTAGGTAATTCTATTTGGATGTGGACCCAGTATTTAAGTTGGTGACTAAGCAAGAAGCACCTACAGTACTCAGGATCTCCTCTCTCAAGTAACAAGACAAGCAGAATGTCTCGGGTTTCCGGCGTTTACAATACTAATTGCAGACTCGAATATGTTCTCTTCAGTACAGAGTAAGGAAACCCTGTATTTCACATGTTTGAAATTCTGACCAGCAATCAAAACTTCTACATATCCACGACGACAAGCTTTAAGTACCCCTTATCTCTATCAGCAGTGAAATACTCCGATGCTCGGCCTTTCTCTAGTCACTTTTAAATTAGAGAATGAAAGTTCAAACCATATTCGCGCAGTCTTGAAATCGAATACCAAAGATGCCCCAGTTTCCCAAGCCTTCTCGGACTACAGAAGATTCGACGAACAAAGTTTAATCCCGTACAAGAATGTGGCATCGGGGATACATACAGATAAGGAGGAAAATCGGAACATACATGGAGTCCGAGATGTGCCGCTCCGAGTATCACTTTAGCATATTCTATCAAACGCCTCGAGTCCAGGATTGATGATGTTCTTACCCCGGTGGTCATTGAACCCTAATTATTGAACGACGTTCTGCCCAATGACTTTGGCACTTCGACCGATTGTTCGAAGCTTAATATCTCAGGCAAGTGCCTGTTTCAAGTAGTCAAGGAGTGAGTGATGTTAGCGATTCTGAAAGACACCACATGCTATTCGCCGGCAAGCATTTCCAGTACGCTGTCATTCCTTGCATTGCTTTCGATGCCAAAGTAAACGGGGTGGTTTAATTTCGATCAGAATTTGGACGGTTGCTCGAAATAAAACACCACATACAAAAGTTAGTATGTACATGGTCACAATCGTTTCGCCATGATATGCCAATATCTGGGCGCCTTTGAAGTTTTCCAGTCGTGAAGTCGTCCTCTGGATTTGTCATTAACTCCCACACGAATGATTGTGTTTTCCCTGTCAAATTCTAGCTCGCTGTTATTAAATTGCGGTTTCCGTGCTATCTAGCTCCTTCGGTGTGATGTCGACCAGAGATACCGCGAAATGCATTGATTATGTCCACAAACTCGACGATTCATAACTGCCGTGTGTGATCTGTCACTCTATTTACAATCATTATGCTTTGAAGGATTCCCAACAAGACTGAAAACGAACACGAAACAAGAGGAAGTGATTTCAATGGGCAAAGCTAAAAGCCCATAATTACATTGCCTCGTAATTGTGGTGGACATTTCGGCAAGTGTGTTTCTTCCAACTACCGAGACCTTGCTTTTGTGTAGAAAAATGTCCCGTGACACAATACTTTTCTAATCTTCCCCACACAACTTTTTCCTCCACCTCGTCCTCCACTTCACCCAGATTTCCTCACCCCATACATGCATAAATTTGACCCATGTTCGGAATCGATTACCCGTCTTACATACGATTGCATTTTCGGCAGCTCATGTTCGCATCGAGTATCGAGCTCAATCTTTGAAAGGATTCGCAGGTGCTTTACGATCAAATTTGTTGATTTACGAGGAAGATGTTTTGCTTATGCCGCACATCCACGTGTACGAATGAGGGGGTCTTCATTGCCGCACATACGATTGTTTTGGTCTTACAATCATGTGGAAACCGGTGCATCAATGAATGATGTATTCATCAATTTTCTTTTTTCTTTAGTGAAGACCATTCCCGTTGCTATTTGCCGATAGCGTTAAGTCCTACTCAAATGACTAAGCTGACAGCGGCCGTTAAGGAATGATCCGAGCATTGGGACAGCTGCTAGTGAATGAAGTCACTCAACATCATGATTTCAAGCAATTTCTAACCACTAGATCCATGAATGTCATTTATCTTTGGTTATTTGTTCTTACATGAAACGGAAAAAAGATTCGGCAATTGCATCTGAGGTTGACGTCTCTCATGGTTCGACGCCTCCAACGTTCACTAGTCCGGCTTTGGCGATAAAGTTATATGACAGAATCAAGAATTTTGCGTTTCTCTAGTTGCCTAGAAGTTTGAAAACGGTAAGCGGATCGAGTACGGCATGATATTGTGGCAGATGATTGTTCACCGTCGCTTATCATCACATCTCATATATCGCTCCCTCCCTCGAACAACGGATAGTTTAAATTCTATGTTTTGCTTCGTTGTTGCCCTTTCATATTGTCCTACCATCATACTCTGCATCGAATATAGTGGATTTCCATACAGCAGTACTACCTCCTTCCATTATCTCCGTCTTACACCTTCAACGTTGGATCCGAATCTTTGATAGCATTGAAGTGCTCCACAATATTGACTTCCAACTTCGTGCTTGATATATTACTACCAAGGGTCTCTTTGGTTAGAAACGCTCGATTGTAAGTCGAAATTTATCGCCAGAGCTTACCTTACTGTACTTTACCTGCATACCATACCACACTACGAATAAAATGATCACGGATACGCTTTTGGATCTGACCATTCGGCATTGGCCTTCAATATTGATTGTTGCAATTGCCATCTATCTCACTACAAACCGTTTCAATCGTGGTTTGAACAAATATCCAGGGCCGACTCTCGCTTCCTTCACAGATTGGTGGAGATTCTACGACGTGTATAAGCGTCGCCCGGAAGTTACCCATCAAAAGCTACATGCAAAGCATGGAGATATCGTCCGCCTTGGGCCCAATACTCTTTCTTTTGCAGACCCAAAAGCTTTGAAAACCATCTATGGATTGAACAAAGGTTTTGTGAAGGTATTGAGGGGTGTTGATCCACCAGGTCAGATCGTACGCTAACGCATCACAGTCTGCATTCTACCCGGTCCAACAATCTGTGTCTAACGGCCATGCACTCCCATCACTGTTTAGCACTACCTCTGAGCCTTTCCATGCCCAACTCCGACGTTCAGTCAATGCTGCATTTAGTATGTCATCTCTTGTACAATACGAGCCACTTGTCACTCGTACGACGGAAATCTTCCTCTCTCGTACTGCCGATCTCTTTACTTCACCGACTAGCCATTCCTCCTGTGATTTTGCAAAATGGCTACAGTTCTACGCGTTTGATGTCATTGGCGAAATGACGTACTCAAAGCGTCATGGCTTTCTTGAAGAAAACCGAGATGTCGATGGTATAATATCTTACTTAGGGAAGCTCTTCGACTACGTTGCACCCATCGGTCAAATGCCGATTCTCGATAAACTCTTCCTCAAGAACCCCCTTTATCTCCTGGCTGCCAAATATGGTCTTGTAGATGCTACCTTTCCTGTCGCCAAATTCGCAGCACAACGTGTGCGAGAACGATATCCAAAAACAGACGCAAATGGAATATTACCTACCGTTGACGCAGAAGTCAAAACGGATAAATCACAACCAGATTTATTGTCGAAATTCATACAGGCAAAACACGACAGACCTGAGTTCATGACAGATCAACTCGTTATGACGATGGCTGTTTCGATGGCATTTGCGGGATCGGAAACCACGGCAATTTCCCTTAGTGCTGTGTTCTACTACTTGTTAAAGAACGAACACTGTATGCAAAAGCTGATGCGCGAAATTGATCAGAAAGCTAGGGAAGGATATTTTGCAGATGGAGAAACAGGACTAGTCAGTTGGGCGGAAAGTCAAGGACTACCCTATCTGGATGCTTGTATTAAAGAAGCTTTTCGCTTACATCCAGCACCGGGCCTACCGCTCGAGAGAGTGGTACCAGATAAGGGAATAGAGATTGCCGGGGAGTGGGTGAAAGGTGGTACCATTGTAGGGTGTAGTGCTTGGGTCATTCACCAGAGAAAAGAGATTTTTGGAGACGATGTAGAGATTTTCAAGCCGGAAAGATGGTTGATAGGAGAAGGATTGAATAGGGAATCAGAGGAGAAAAGAATTAAGGAGATGAATGGAGCGATGTTGATGTTTGGAATGGGCGCCAGGTCTTGCATTGGAAGAAATATCAGTCTTTTGGAAATTTATAAATTGGTGCCGAGTTTCTTGAGGAGGTTTGAGGTGAGTTCTTACCCACTTTTCTTCTCGCAGATCATGGAGATATGGAGAAAACAGGCGCGAAAAGAGGCGCGAAAAAGGACATGGATAGGAAACCTACTGACATCATATCTCATCCTTCAGATCGCACTTGAACATCCTGAGCAAGAATGGACCTTACACAATTCCTGGTTCGTACGTCAACTAGATTTCCGAACAACGTTCCGCAATCGAGAACTCGTGCAACCTCGCGCGTAGCCTTTTGATAATACATTGTACGTAATTCGCACACACACTTGGCATTTGAATATAGACGTTTGAGCGATATGATATACTTTTGGGCGTTCCGTATCCGGAAAGTGTCAGGTACGGTACCTGCATACATGAATTATTTGGAATTTTTAATTAAAAGGTTGAATGAAATAACAAGTCGGGACCGCCGGAAATTAAATTTAGTACATCACAAGATGAAGTCGGAAAGAAGTAGGAAATTAGAAAGGAAAAAGTCTTCAATTGACTTTTGGTCATTCTCAGGTTCACCGACCTATCAGCCTACCACAATGACCACCCGATTGCCACTAGCCAATCACATCCACATAGAAACGAAAACCTTAAAGAAAGATTGATTTCTCATCAGTATTCATCGACCCGAGACATTTGCGTTACATCCAAATGAATCAGATCAAGTAGATAGCAAACACGTGATTGCGGCACAGCTGCAGGTACCCCGCCAATCCTTCCCAGCCCATTTGTCAATATGGTATTGGCGTAAGCCCAACCTCGTCTTACATTTCGTGTGTGCAACACCGTAGTTTTGTTGGTATGACAGACACGGTGTGGTGGTGTACTAGGTATTGCGAGAGGGCGTGGTTATGATGGATTGGCTATGTGATGTGTTGTTGTTGGAGATGGAGATGGGAATATTTACCTGGTAGTTATTCATAGCTACCTGCAGGTGCCCAGGTGCGTCTAAGTAGAAAGGTGGGAGGCGTCTTTTTTGTGGCTGTGCATGTGATTTTAGTTTTTCTTTTGCATCTCGGAAAATAGAAATTGTTTACTGGCTGATGTATGCAGGTTTATCCATGGACATCCATCATTCATACATACGAGTATTCAAAAGAATCAATATTTACTGCGGAAAATCTAGGCGCAGTATCAATATATATTGAAAGCTTACTTAGATTAAGCAATTGAGCTAAAAGTGCTTGTTGTGGTCTCAGTGGCTCGGCGGCACGGTACATGAATGTATGGGGAATTAAGCACTCAGATTATCCGACAGGGGTTATATACGGGCGAAGTCACGCATCAACTGGTTGGGCGAGAGTGAATGGGCATGTAATTTGTTTTGGGAAACAACTATTTGTAAGGCTGAGTACGGAGTCCCATCATTCCGGGACTTCTGGGGAAGTGTGCGATTCAAGGAAGGAAAAAGTTTTATATAAAGTTTGTGGAATTCCTCGATTTACGATTCTTATTCTCTCATACAACATCCACTTCTTTGATATCAATCTTTCTTTACTACTACCACTTCAATCACTAGTTTCTTTTCAAACTTTGAAATATCAAAACGATATATCTCTTCAGTTACCTGTCAATAATTCAATCAAATCACTCCGCAAAATGCAGAAATCTTTGATCTCCCTCGTCGCTCTTGTCTCCTCTGCTATGGCAGTTGAGAGATCCGTCGTCGTTGGTGGCAGTGGACTTTCTTTCGTTCCTAACGCCTTGACTGTTCAAGTTGGTGATACGTATGTTATCCTGTACACACATTCCTTATTGAATTTACTAATATTGCAATAGTGTCAAGTTCCAATTCCTTGGCAGCCACAGCGTCGCACAGAGCACTTACGATAGCCCATGTGTTCCTTCCGATCATGCTCCAATCTTCTCTGGTGTTATCTCTGGCCCAGATCCATCTTCCAATGATCCTGTATGTATTCTTCTTTCTATCTCATAAATCAATGCTAACCATACTTTTCTCCTCCCAGGCTCCTACTTTTATCATGGACACCCACGTCAACGGTACCTTGTGGCTCTACTGCTCCGTTGCCAGCCACTGTCAAAAGGGCATGTCTATGCAAATCATCGTAGGCAACAACCCCGACGCGTCCCAAACTCTCGATGGCTACCAAGCCGCAGCCGCCAAAGTCGCCAAAGCCATCGCACCAGATACTGTTGAAGGTGGAACCGTCGGTCCTCAATCTGGCCCAACTACCGATACCGATGGAAGTTCTTCCGCTTCTGCTTCATCTACCGGTACTGCCACTGCTGTCTCTGGCAATTCCACTGCGACCACCACCGCTTCGTCTACCATAACTACAAGCAAAGCTTCCACAATCACTGCTACCAAATCCGGAGCGAGCGGTTCCGCTTCGACTACCGGTACCGCAGCTACTGTTACTTCGACCGGTGCTGCTAGCAAACAAGCTGTTGCGCTTGGTTTTGCAGGTATCGCTGGTGGTTTGGCTTTGATGATCTAAACGATAATCAATGATAGAGATCCTTGATATCTTCATCGGATATTCAACGATATTTTGGGGAGTTTATGATGACTCAAAAGTTCATTCATTCATCGATAGAGATGATTTGTAATAGGATCATGAATTACATGGTGGATGCATAGTTTAATGATACATGGTAATGGGAGTTTTTAGGCGCTGATGGTACATACATTGCATTAGAAGATAATAGGTGATGGGATGTAGTTAATGCGAAGCAAATTCATGATAATTTATGATATTGGTGTTTGGGATGAATGTGAATGTTTGTATTGATTTTATTAAATCGTGTGTAAAGGCTATACTGCCAGCTTCATCTTCATCATGCTATTTGTGGCATTCAATCAATATTTGTACATAGCTAACTCACATTCAATCGACTTAGATCTCCATCCCATCTCAGAATTTTTATAAAAATAAAATAGACATAAACTCCAATTCCCCAAGAATCCGGATTGCTTTTCAGAATCGGCCGAAGAGCTAAGTAATAAATTACTTTCAGTTACATAATTCGAAGGATTGTAGGTATAATATACGAATACCCATTGGAGGGCCTGGACGGAAGAGATTCTGATTGATTGGGGAGTTTTGGAGGAGAATGTTTGCTTTGAAGATGGGGTTTTGTCGGTTATGTGGATGGATGGGATTGGATGTTGGGAGAGGATTGGGTGGACGAGATGAGATGGTTGGGTGATATGGCGTGGTGTGCCAAATGTATGTATTTGTACGAAAAGAATGGGATGTTTATAGAGAGATTCACATCGAGATATGTGTATTCTGTTCTGTTGGTATTATTCGGGTGTCAGATTTGGGGAGGGAGGCTATTAGTTTAGAGAGGAATGGTATGCTTAATGTGTCTATTCAAAATAGAGCTGTAGAGTTTTTATGAAGATGATTGAAGATGAGATTGTTAGCGAAGATAGCTGGAAGGAGGAATGGATGTATTCGTAATTAATGACAAACTTGACCGCACCGTTTCCAGCGTTCGGTTCTTGACAGTAGAGTATCGAATTTACTGTGAGAGGTATTAATTGATATATTATATCGTCCCGGGTGTAAGAATTGATCAAACGTGTCTTTCCCATCTATGTATGACTTTTCCTTTAATACCAATTTAAAATATCTCCAAGTATGAAACTTTCAATCTATCTTCCCAAGATTTGAATCGAATCCATACAACCAAACCTCAGCCACAAAATTCATCAGAAAGAGAATTTTTTGAAGTAATCTGCGACAGCTTATCTCTTCAATATGAATGGGGACGCCTCGATGCAGAGGTATTAGCCACTTCAGCACCCACCGTTGAGTTTTTGTGAGGGGATGTTGTGTTTGTGTTTGTGTATTGCGGGGGTTTTTTGAGGAGATTCGCCGTATGACGTTGTTGAGCTGTTGTTCTGAGGAATGAGGAGGAGAAGGGGAAGTACGATTAGTTGAGTTGGAATAGTGTAAGAAGTGAAGAGCTATGATTCTATAGGACTTTGATGCCATCAGTCAGTGTTAACTTTTCCACTCTATGAAACTATAAAAACGAAAATAACTAGGAACCTTCGTTTAGATCTATTAGATCTATGTCATGATCTTAACGAGGAAGAAAACATCTCCTGTGGGGTGGATTTGTAATTGGTGACCTGGTATAGATGTGCAATAGAACAAAGTTCGAATTGCTAGAGATGAAATATTTCGAAAGTTTTTTAAATCGTGACGTTACAAACTGGTGGTATCGCGGGTAGCCAATGAACGTGGCTTCTAGGATAGCTAGAACAGCAGCCGCTGGTTGGAAAAGAAAAAAGTGAAAGTTGTAAGGATAAAGAGACCCAGAGTACAATTTATAGGATTATGAGAAGGGAGCTTGCAGTGTGCTACTTGCAGACGCGCAACATGATATCCTGAAGACTTTTTAGGGTGAGTGTAATCAAACTAGTTTTAGTTACCTGTACTTACGTAGTAGGTCGGTCTGAAATCTGAGCAAATAGAATGAATTTTATTTAGATATCTGACTGGCTTTTCGGGATGGAAACTGTATTTTGGATCTTACGGATATGCAAGAAGAAGTTGGAAAGTCAGGCTAGGATACAGCTTCACGTGAGTCATTTATCATATCAAGATAGCTGAAGAATACTTTCTAGGCCGTGCATACGCTTTTATAAGTCGCCTACCCGCTTAGTAGAGGGAATGAATCATATGCTAGTAACTTGCGTTACGGATTATGGGTTTGGCTGGCTTGTCTGTACAAGATTGTCTGATATGTTCACCAGGATAATAGGCTCATACTGATGGATCTCCTACAGCCGACCGAGGTGTAGATTGTGGTAAATATTTGGAACATAAATTCCTCGCATAAGAGAGGTCGACTTGAATTGAGTGTATGGTCAGATCTTATATAAGAAAGGCCGGTGAACATGGATCTCTACTCGTCTACGTCGATTGACTTTCTGATTTAATCTTGGTAATAACCCATAGCAAGAAGCGGAAAGCTATTCCGGCTACACATCTATAACGGAACATTCAAAACTTAGATCGCTATGATGCGTATTAATTCTGAGAGTCACAGCTAGCAAGATGAAAGATAAAGATCGCACAAATTCATCGTGAGGATATCTAGTGGTGATGTCTGGCATGACATCTTCTTAATCCGCGAAGATGCCCAAGCTATAACATAAAAGCAATGGAGCGTTTTCATGAACTTGCCTCGGTAGAATATGATTATCCGATATGAGAAAGGCTAAGGAAATTTTGCGATGAAAAGAGCCAAAAAAGGAATAATATGTGCGAAAGAAATTGTGAGAAACTCCAAAAGTAACCTCGACGCAGAGGGAATGAAGCATAAAAGTATTTTCAATGACATTCTTCTCGACCACAAGCGGAAAGGTGCGTGACAATGAAAAAGAAATGGAGCATTTCTTACTCATCATGATGATATCAATATTCTAGAACATCACCCGCCTTCAAGCGCCACCCCTTGAGTGCCGAGTTAACACGAATGTTCTCCATAGAAGGATTGCTATGGAATCATCTTAGACCACAATAGCCATGCGGAAGAGTCAAGCCTACAGGATAGCTTTGAGCTTGTATCCCGAAATAAACGATACAGAGAAGGCCCCGCGATCTGGTCGTCGAATGATAAGCTGTCCCTCGGATAAGCTAGCCTATAACCGTTAGATTTGACTAAAAGTATTAGTTTCGAGCTAGCACTGACACAGAGTACCTAGTCATTGGCGGCTCAGGACTACTCCTCACATATACAACAACACTCTAAGAATTCTGTGGATTTTGATAAAATTGTCATCTAAATCAGTCAACAGCAACCCCTTCTCGAATGGCATCGATTGAATGGCTTGGTTGGTAATTACGATGCAAGACATTTTTCAATGCAAATCGCTATCACATTCAGATTCAGACTTCTACTGCAAACATATTCACGGTACTGCCTCTTTCAGACCCGCATACTTCGTGTAATCTGGTGAGATGGACATCGTTTTGCTAACCTCACCTCAGCGCAACTTCTTTATGATGGTGGAGTGAGTATTCGATACTCGCAAAAGCATCTACACTCAGTGGCTCCTAATTCATGATTTTTGAAGGAGATGCGATGAACCAATAATTTTCGCCTTAAGTATGAGTAGCTCTTAAAAACACTCAAAGGCTCTGTTTATCGAAATCAAATGCATCGCTAACTTGACGGATATACGTTACATCACTGGTTTAAAGTTTATCATCCCTGCAATTTCTATATCCGATACACAATTATGTCTCATTTCAGTACCGCTCATGCTTTGTGGCCTATGAAGGATTGATGTGGTTCTCACAATCAGCTAGTGCTGACTTCCATCTACGTAGGTCTTTTGATCTGAGCCTCTAGAATCTGGATACCGGCCTGCATCAAAAGATCTTATTCATATATTCCCTGACCAATTTAATTATTGTTGACAGCATCTCCTTGAACGATCATCAGGTGTGCCAGGGATTCTTACATACATCTCCTGCAAAACTGACCAAGAAAGAGCCGCACGCACCAATTTATTTTCATTGCGTCGTTGGAGGTGTAGAAAGTGGTAAAGTGTAACGAGAAACCCTGGCATTCCATGTGCCAAAGTGCCAATACAATCATTCTCCTTGTTGACCCGCTCACGCTAAGCCCCGTAAAGTAGAGGCAGTGGATATGTAACACCCGTTCTGGCAGGGTCAAGAGTGGAGGGATTAGAGCTGAATATATTACTAACAAAACGAACGATACTACCGCCGTAATTTTCGTGGACGATTTCCAACAATTGCTTTTCAACTTTTTGAGCCCATCATAGCTTCGAGCAAGATGTCGACAATCACGAGCGCCGCAACTGCATCAGCATCAAGTCATTTGATAGGCCCATTGACTACAACTTATACACCCACAGGCTCTGATTGTAATCAAATTTTCTGGTCTCAAAATCTGAAGAATTCTTGGCTTGCTCATGGTGCCATTGGTAGCGGAAGTACGACTTGTATGCCTAGTGGATTCAATCGTGAAACAGCATGTAAGAATAAACGTCTATTTTACCTTCTTATTTTCTGCCATGTCGGCCGTCGGTGAACATCTTTCTTGAAATCTCGTGTTCAACGTTCTGAGTTCATTCAAATATCTTCTGATTATCTTCATTCGATCATCTGGAAAATTTCATGCCGGTGAATGGTTCTCGCTAATACCCAATAGACTATTATTCTCCGGGTGTCTGTCCAACAGGTTATAGTGCCGCCTGCTCGTCATATTCCACAGACTCGAGTGCTACAAAAACAATAGCTACTTGTTGTCCAACGTATGTATTATCCTAAGAGAGAAATTCAGGTTTGAATGATAACTGGTGACTAACAAAGAGCACAGAGGCTATACGTGTTTCGCAAATAGAGCATCAGACCAAATTATGGATGTGCGTCCTTTTTTACAGAAGATCAAACATTATCGATCAATAGCGCATTATTCAATACTGTAACTGCGGCAAGCACAACCTCATACCCTGTCATATACGCCAGCACGACGATAACTGTCACATCGGGGGTTGACAAAGTGGCAGCCTATGGTGTAATCATACAGAGAGCTTCGGACGATCCTTCTTGGGTATCAAGCACAGCTTCATCTTCTACATCTTCCTCAATGGCATCACCAATTGGAAGTGGTTCAGCCGCTGTCGCATCCGCAACTTCGTCTTCAAGCAATGTATCATCAGCAACAGATTCAGCATCTTCGTCATCTGCATCATCGAGTACAGGAATGTCCACTGGTGCCAAAGCTGGTGTAGCCATAGGAGTAGCTCTTGGTATTCTACTCATTATAGCAGGAACTTTTCTGCTATTTAGGAGACTCAGAAGACAACCTCGTGGATTGCAACCTATCCCTATAAGTGAGCTTGATGGACCAACGCAATATTACGAGAAACCTAATAGCGATGAATCCTATAATAATCCTCCCTATGTCACGGAAGCTCCAGATACGACGGTATATCAACGAGGAGGAGAATTACATGGCAACGATATATCTTACGAGTTATCCGGAAGTACGGCCACAGGGAGATAAAAAGAGAGCGAAGACGAGAGTTTCAAAATTTGGAATGTGGACTGTATCTTTTTGGTGCAGCATTGTTTGACACAACACATTCAGTAGTCCGAGATTTGACGACAAAATAAAATACCCACGTCGTCAAAAATATGGAATGATGAATAAGAGGCAAATCCACCTCGAGGGGAAGGCGAATGCGTGATTGTATAGGAAAAGCATACCTGCTTTTCGTTGAGACAAGCGACCCCGGAAACTTAGAAGCTTCAGTTATGTTCTAATGTTTATATACACCAGTCATTTGTTATAATGATCAAGAATAGAATTAATAGAATATAGCGACAGGCGCTTGAGGTTGTGAGAAAGAATTAAACGTACACTGATATTATAATACACATGCAAGTATAGACTCGACAAAACCTCTATCATAGAGGAAATAAACAGTACAAAACCTGAAACAAAAGCCCCTGAAACTAGACGAGGAATTCTGTATGGAAACAGACAAATAGACATGATGAAAAGGGAAGAGGCTGATTTTTGGGGCATTTCGCAAATGAATGTCGACATGAATCTTGATAGAATTTGGTCAACTTGGAAAACAAAAAAACTCACGCACTTTATTGTAGTATGCAATGTCATGTGTTTATTGGAATCAAATGATTGACCAGACTTTTTCGTACCGCTCTCAAAATGGTGTGTTGAAGTTTTTGACTTGAATCATGAACCGAGTTATAATTTCTTCTTCACCGCCTTTGGTTAATTTTGTCACCGGAACTACTATAATCCGAAGTCCTCACTCATCGATATGTCCTTACCTACCTTGGTAGATCTCAAACATATCATCTCCATTTCCTCAATTCTTTTCAATGCGACGGCAGACTCTTCTTCCTACTGCGGCAAGGTTGTGGCCAAAACCTTTGTATGGCTACAGAACACCAATACATACTACACGATGTTCTCCTTCTCACACTTTTCGACGCCACTTTTTTTATCCTTGGCGTGAGCCTCCAAAAAATCCTCTCATGACGTTTGGAAGAGCACCGCCACCCAAGGAACCTCAATATTTCGGTGTCTTTTGTCCTCTTATAATTCCCATTCCACGAACAGAAGTGTTGTATTGGGTAAAAAGCGTAAAGAAAGAGAAACTGTTGAGAGCTTTAATACTCATTACTGAAATAGTTTTCTTGGGTTCATTAATACTTGGGGCAGTAATTGAGTTCAAATCCACGGATTCAAGTCCATTTGATTCTCCTAGATTCACCAAGTTTTCTATTGTTTCAGAGGAAACTGTATCATCAACAGGTAAACTCTTGACTATTAGACCGAAAAAATCCACAAAATTAGATCCTTATGCCGCATACTGGGAGAAAGGTCTCTGGTCGGTAGAGTTTAAGCAACCACTGTTGCAAATCGCACGATCATATACGCCATTACCGCCCAATGAAAATGCCACAAATAGTGAACTTCGTTTCTTGATCCGAAAGGAACCAAATGGAGAGATGTCGAACTATTTATTTAGGCTACAAGCCAATTCCGAGATTGAGCTCAGAGGCCCTCACGTTGAATTCGACTTGCCAGAGATCATAGACGAGGTCATTTTCTTGGCTGGTGGGACGGGAGTTGCTCCTGCTATGCAGGTTGCTCATACATTACTGGAAGCGCGAAAGTCAGATGGCAAACTACCACGAATTTGTATAGTTTGGGCAAATAGAAGAAGAGAGGATTGTGTTGGGGGCGAAACGTACAGATCTCGCTCAAAGTCAGATATACCTACAGCAAAAGGGTCTATGGTTCAGCAATTGCAAAGGATGCAGCAGAAATACCCAGAAAACTTTCAAGTATATTATGTCGTGGATGAAGAGGGAACTTTCATCAATCAGAAGATGATATTACAAGCCATGCAGCCCAGTTCAGCGGTAGTCTCTGGATCAGTCACAAAGAATAATGATTCAAAACTACTCTTTGTATCAGGACCTGAGGGTTTCATAAACCACTTTGCTGGACCAAAAAGATGGCGGAATGGCAAACAAGAGCAAGGCGAAGTTGGAGGCGTCCTTGGCTATATGGGCATCAAGGACTGGAAGGTATTCAAGCTTTGAATATAACAAATGTACTTTTATGAAGATCTCACTACTCCAACAAAACTTGCAACATACTCTTTTGCAGCACGAAGATGCCCGTGGTAGATCGCCGTGGTCTCATCCAAGTCGGGTTTGATCAGGGATATCTACGTGAGAATTACTCGAAAGGGAGCTCTGCCATTTCATGAAAAGAAACATTTCCATTTCTTCAAGCATAGCGGTGCCGATACAAACAATAGAAAACAATTGGTAACATATTTTGATTTTTAGAAGACATATCAGCAAAATGTCCACAGTTAGACTGTCCAGCCCGACCGGGTAAGCATGAAGCTAACCAAGATTTCTATCTCAAAGATCAACCATTTCATGAAAAATCCCTTCAGCTCCGTCTCACAATCCTCCTCACAGCCCACAACCCCACATTCCTCAACAAAACCCCCACAATTTTCACCGCCCTCATCAGTACTGGACTCGTCAGTCTCCCCAAAAACTTCATCATGCCCCCCAAAACCCTCACGGTATCAAAATTTCCCCGCACAGACCAACTCCCCAAATTGGCTAACCATCCATATAATCCCTTGATAGCTAGAAATCCAAATTTGGGTGTTCCTGTGTAGTAGCATGCTAGCAGACCGAGGGAATAGAGACACAGTTTTCCCCAGGGTTGGGTGCCAATGAAGAGGATGGCTTTGAGGAGGGGGTGGGGGAAGCGGGAGAGGGGGTTTGAGAGGAGGGTTAGGGCTTTTTTGAGGTCGAGAGGGGGAGTATGGCGGAGGTTTTTCAGTTGGAAGCGTCTATGCGAGGGCTCGATTTCCGTATTTGTAAGCCTCTTCGGGTCACTTGGGGCCAGCTGTGGGGCTGGAAGTAGGAGTCTAGATGGATCGACTTGAGGAGGTAACGTGAATGCAAGGTGTAGATGATAATGCCCGTTGCTATTCCGCTCGACCATTGATTGCCAGAATGGCAATATGGAGATGGATGTAGACAGTGAGTTCAAAGCCCAAGGAATCGTGTCATTTTGGAGACTCGATAAATTGAAACCCGTTTGAGCGTTTGGCCGAGCATGAATTGTCAAAGCTTGAGAAGACTCGCTGGATAATGCAACGTCAGACGATTCGCGATCAGGAAGTGGTGTTCCCAGCTGCACACTGCTGGAACCATTCAGTGATGGTCCGGAATACTCCCTGCGAATCGTGGCTCCAAAGTGAATCACGGAACTCGTACTTTCGTACACACTCGCCTTCAGATCGAGTTCCTGCATCAAGTGATAATAACTCTCTTTCGAGATTCTGTTACAAAACGACTGACTCCCCACTCTGGTTAGTCTTAGGAGTGAGCAAGAAATCTGATAAGCGTGTTGTACACAAATGTAAGATTGCTTAGGCATAGACCCTTTTTCGAGGTAAACTTGGTCCAGTGAAAAGTTTGGTTGTCCTGATGAGGGTCCTTTGATCAAGATTCGTTTTTCGAGATGTTTGCGTCTCCAAGGAACTTTCTTGGAAGTTAACTATTAGATTGTTAGTGGGATGAAATATCGTTTGTTTGTTTATTCATCAGGAATCTTACCTGGCAGATATAACATTTGACTTCTCCGTTGTGTTGTTGAAAACATCAAGGATCACGAAATAGTGTTCGTATGCCATATCATTTAACTCGGGCCTCCTGCATGTATTGTGAGGTAGGATACATCTCAAAGATCGGATACCTCTGGAAATTTTTGGGAGGAACACAATTCTTCTGACGCAAAAATCTCTGATCATCAAAGAATTATTTAGTGGTGGTTGGAAAGCGTTGTTCCCATTTGGTACGTGTCGGTTTCGAGGAATCACAAACTCACTCTTGTTGTGGTTGTATTGAAGACATTGTTATGTTATGGTACGTTATTTGAAAAGGTGTTTTGTGATGAACTATAGTTATGATGAATTATTGTCGAGAAGGGACAGCTCTCGATATATAAAACAGAAAAAGACATAGTACTGCAGCTTTTTTGATTGTTCATTCTCTATGCTAGCGATCAGTCCTATATGGTTTGAACGAACAGGTATGGCAGTCTCGGAACAGTGATAGCGAATAGAATCTCTATGTGACCATAGATCGAGTGCATTGAGATACAGCACCTTGAGATCCAGTGAAATATAATCATTCAAATTAAGAAGAACCATTACCATGATGAATTTACTATGACATGTAGAATACACAGATGGTTCCTTACCAAATCCGGTTGCATTCGACCAAATGACTACCAATTTGTGAATTAAAACAAGAAGAGGCGAAAGAGAGGTGAGTCAATAGTGCCCAGAGCATCAGATCAACTGGAAAATTACCCGAGAAGTGAAATATCCCCTAACTAGCTTCCTCTGCATTATACCATTAATCAGGATAGCGATGAAATCAAAGACATACAGTGTAATCATTGAGCTCCACTTCTCTCATTCTTAAACAATTCTTCTTGTCACATCTTGTGATGAGAAATCGAAGATATAAGGGAAAAGACGAAAGAGAAAGATGGTAACGATTTTGATAGGGGATAATCCTTGAATTTCCCACACCACATGCTAGACCCATCATTAGTCCTAACTGTTGGTCTATCGATTAGACAACTAGATAAGCTCACTTGTATCTGAAATCAAAAACTCTCTCCATCAATCATCTATAATTCCCACACAAACAAACAGCTTCTCTCAACAGTCCAATTCCTTTCCTATGAGCTCAAAGATGTATACACCAGGTCCTCCAACTAAACCGTTCAAGTGGATTGAGGGACTTCTACTACGTTGGGAGATTGTATCTGGTCGTGGGGTTGTTATTAGAATATGGCGTTGATCCACGAATGGAGGGCATGGGGGGAACTAGAGGATCGCCATTGGAAGATGTGAAGACGATAGTGAAGACCAATTGTCCAAAACTTGGAGAGAGGGATATGGGGTTTTTAAAGCCGCATCAATAGTGATGAATGAGACAGCGGGAGAGTTAGAAAGTGAGGTTCTGGATTTCAATACGTTACATAAGACTAATTTTGCTCTATAGGGAAAGAGGCAAAGAAAGTGTGAGTTACGCTGGGCTCAAATTCGTGTTGCCCGGAAGCTAAAGAATGTATTTTTTGCAGGGCGTCGTAGAAGACCTCGTGTCAAGTTAATCGAGGAGAAGCCGTCTCCTCACGTCGAATTGAATCTTCCAAAGAGGCGGCAGCGAAGATGAATCGTGAGTACTGACAATCCACATATTTGTTCACATCTAAAGATGCATCTGCATTTGAAAATCGGCGCGGAATACTCGCCTACATGCCACTGGATAACATTCTTCGAAAGCTTATATATCATCTAGTGAGGAACTCACTGTTTCAATAAGTATGAGGGCTAATAAAGTCTCCCCAGTACCTACTCAAGAGAGTGATCTAACCGAAAATTTCTCTAGAAAAAAGCGACATCTACAATCTACAAGGCCATTCAAAATTTACCCCATGACTAGCAAGGCCCCAGCCATATTTTCCAACATCTAATTTTCGGCTCTATATATACACCTTTGTTCTTTCGTTTTGTGCATGAAAAAAACGCAATTATATAATCTATCTACATAACAAATAAGAACAAACGGTAGCAAACCCTAGCAAACCCTAGCAAACCCTAGCAAACCCTAGCAAACCCAGACAAACCTAAAAATTCAGCTAACCTTACAAGATCCCTCTTTCTGTCCTCTCGTGTGATGTTCTCTTCCTATATTGTTTGTCTATGTACCCTCTAATCTAGACTCAAGAATTTGATATGAAAAAATATATTCTGCTTGGATAGTCGCGCGGGTTAGACACATAGGTATCTAGTAGATACTGGTTACATCATATGTGTGTAGTGCAAACTTGAGTGAGTGGTTTATACTGATTCAGCTGTCTTGTTAAACGCTAGCAAATATGCCTACAAACATCCATATAAACATCTATACAAAAATCCCCCAAACATCCAGAAAAACACCCTCAACCCTCAACCCACTATTCAACAAAGCCTCATTCATCCCATCCCATCTCCATCTCCATCCCCTCACACCTTACCCAGCTCTCTTACCCAACTCCCATAATCCTACACATCGCACTATATCAAAAATCTAATGAGAAATCCTTACTCAACTCAAGACTTGTGACTTTTGCATTGAGTAATGATTCGAGTATTCGAAGTTTGCCTGCAGAGTAGATAGAAACGGATTGTGAAAGATTAACTAGAGATGATTGCCTGCGGATTATACAGATGCATGGTACTCTTCGGTGGCACGAAAATGACTACATCATCAGCGCTTTGCACTGACGAGAAGACGATTCGGTAGAAGGCACATCTGGAAACAGACACAGACTATTCAAAATCAAACTATCGTACTATACTGAGATTAATTCAGATATCAAACACGCTATATAACTCCCTCCCCATAAATGCTTATTCCATTCCATGCACCCCAGACCATCCATCCGTACCCATATACCCTGTGCGTTACCAAAAGCGTATCATATCATATCATCCCCATTCCCATTATCTTATTTACAAAACCTTCACCCTCGTCCACTCACTAACCGATCCCCCCAGATTCAATCCCATCTTCGCCCACCATCTTCTAACCTCCAATTCCTCTCCTTCATTTCCTACACTATCTTCAAGCGCTTCCTCTATATCACATGTTTTATATTCGACTCTTCCTCCTGGTCTTCCATCCGAACCATGACTCAAATTTGCCCACCATTCCAGAACTTCTACGTGGCCATTCTTCGTAGGACCTACTAAAACCTGATTATCAAATGCTAATTTCTCGCCCTTGAGTTCACGCCATGTATCTAAACATGCGACATGTCCATGAGCCGATGCAACTTTAGCTACGGATTCCGAATGCGCGATAGGGATACCAGAATTATCCCACCATCGAAGAACAAGAGCTTTGTTGTTTTGCGCTGCGGCTAAGAGAGCTTTACCAGGTTTAAGTTGTAAAACTGGAAGAACATCAGAGGTGTTGGTTGTAGCTTCTGCATGTCGAGTTCGTCTTTCGGCTTCATTATGGGGAAGACTTGCTTGTTTCCACCATTCAAGGACTAGCATGTGACCCTTAGAAGATGCCTGTTCCAGTGCCAATTCTGTGTATTTCAAAGCGAGTCCAGATTTTCTCCACCAATCAAGAACATGGACATATCCAGATTTCGAGGCTCCATCAATTGCTTCCGCAGTATAATCCTTGGACAAGAAGGAAGGAGATGTGCGCCACCACTCTAGAATTTCGGTACGTCCATAAACAGCAGATGCTTTTGTGGGTAACAATTTCTGACCAAAAGTTGCCCAAAACACGTCCTTTAGTTTTGTTTCCAGATATGAGAGAACTTCCGTAAGGCAGAATTTGATGATGAGTTTAACGCATAGTGGAGAGAGCTCTCGCATGTTTTCGGGGGCTCTATTTAGTTTGTCGATTATTTTGTAGACGGGAGATGTAAGAATAATCCATTCGAGTGATCGCATGTAAGCTTGTAATTCATCTTTTGTATCGTCAGACTTTCGCTGCCATTCAATTGGCCTCGGTATTTTGGCGTATACGTTGAGCGCTCTCGAAACCTCCCAATCTCCTACGTATTCGAAAATGAGGGACCAGATTTCTGGTGGAAGGAGCGCATCCGTTTTCATATTATATCTTGCGAGACTTGCGGCACCAGATGCTGCGATATCCACATCATGTCCAATTGTCAAAAGTTCTGCTTGATTTTTGATAACGTCGACAAGTTCGCTGAATCCATCCCACCCGACGAAACATTTACCTGGCCCCTTCGCATCATAGTGCCACAGTATTGGTTGCATCACTCGGACCCATTGCCACTTTCTCCGTACTTTATTCAATTGTTTCTTCGTGATCGGGTTCTCCCACATAGATGTTGTCATTCCTGGTACAAGTAATATCTTTTTGGAAACGTCCCACCCACGGAGAATTTCGAGCAATAGACAATCAGTTATGCCGTGCAACATTTTCGCAAACGTGTCGGCATCGATAGGTGCTAGTACTAGTATATCTGCCCAGTCACACAATTCAAAGGCCTCTTGTCGAAAATACTCGATTTGATCTCGTTCTATGCCCTTTCTTGCCTCATCTGTCTCCCTCGTCAAGAACCTCTTATTTTGGTATGCCAGTGTCTCTTGGGATAATCGATATGATGGCCACGTTTCTTCGTCAATAATCGCTCGAGTTTCGATTTTAGGATTCTTGGATAACCTCACGATGAGGGCGAGAGCTTGTGCGACATCTTTACTTCCATTTGCGGCCACCAGGACTTTCAACTTTTGAGATTCGGTTATTCTCATATCTGCAATTGATGAAGATGAAGAGATCTTGGGGAGTCCTGTAATAAATTCCCTCCTGAGCGCAAATGCGTGGCCTGCCATTTTGAGTCACAAACACCTCGCTGGCGTTTCAATGCACAGCCGTGAAAAGGAAAGGAAAGAAGCGGTGGGTGTTGATGTAGATGTGGATGGTGATGGTGATGTACTGACTGACGTCGAATAGATTAATTTGGGTTGTTGAAGTCTAATCGGTGAGGAAAAACTGGAGACGAAGTAAGTGTAGGGAGTATTATGTATATCGTATGCAGGATATTTTCCGGTTGATAACAAGTCGAATGATTCAGTCAGTCGGTAAGTTGTGTAATGGTATGAATGTTGATAGAAAATGAAGTCGATGTATCGTATCACTATGACCGTATCGTCTCGTATTGCACCAATCCGATATTCTTTGATGGAACATTATTATTCATTTATTATTCATTCAACCCTCGAAATGATGTGTGGGCTGTCTGAAACTCCTGTAGCCCCTGTAGCCCCTGTAGCCCCTGTATTCTCTCCCTGTAAGAGACGTCACTTTAGTGAATTGTGAACCACGCCAGGCCACTAAACTTTCAACCTTCGGAGCATGTGTCCCTACCGAGAACCTGAGTAAATGCTGAATTCTCATTGGATAATTTCAATCACGTCATTGATGATGTAATCGATTCTGACCGATGTCAGTCTGTTCACGTGATACTACTATGACTAATACATAACCACGGACAAACGTCCAATGGCTATCGTAAGTAATACTGCTTACCTTCTCATTATCAGTATGGTATTTCAAACTTGTATTTCAGAATTGATTACCTACCTATGTAGGAACATTACAGAAATCCACGAGGCTATTGTATACCACATAACCAAACATCAATCCGAGGAAGGGTTTTGTTAACAGATTTCATTGCATATTTCATGGTCTTAACGCAATCAAGATACTCGCAGAAAAAGCTGCTTTATAATCAATCATCTTCTCGTTTATATAGATTCTTAACAACGCAATCAGAAGAGAGGGGGGGGGAAGCGCTACAGTTATACACAATTCTCAAAGCTGACTGCCAGGGTTGCTCATAATAAGGCTCTCAGTCTAGGAAGTGTCAGTCCACCCCTTCCTAGCTGCCGATAATACGGAGGTGGAAGGAGACTGCGTGAGCACTTCTTACAGCCCCGCAAACATTGGTAGACCGAAGGCAGCATTACAACCCCATTTTAAAACTGTGGGGTTAAATATATGCGGGTATAGCTCTTCCATCTTTGCTTGGAGCTCGTCAGAACTCTTACAAGTTGGGAGAAGCTTTTCGAATTGCTGAATGTATAGCTTTGTTGCAGCCAAGTGGAATACCCCGTCTACCTCCCCACTCATCCGGTGCCCCCCTATCACAATTTCAGGGCCTAAAGCTTCAACCTTCTCGATGGCCGAGATCCATTCATTACGTAGCTCTGTCGTGTTTGCCTCACCTAACATCTGGTGAACATCTCCATACACAACATCTCCACAAGCGGCGAGTTTGAGGCTCGGGACCCAGAGAATGGTTGAATCCCTTGTATCAGAATGGCCCACTTCAATTGCGTGACACTCATGGCCTTCGATATCGAATCTCCCGGTAGCAGGAAGCGCCTCTGAAAATACAAAATCGGTATCGATCTGCCCATTGGGGTACATAGCTCCCCAACCGTTTTCAAAGATACCTGGGCGGACATTGTACTTCATATGCTCCAAAGTGGCTGCCGTGGATAGTATGCGTATGTGCGGATATTTCTTTTTCAAAGTCGAGAGGCCAAGCCAGTGGTCCGGATGGCCATGGGTGATATAGACAGTTGTCAGGCGCTTTCCTGGGACTGTCTTCTCGAGCCACTCAATGAACTTTTCTGTCTGAGGGATAGTGATTGGAGTGTCCACAAGAAGCGCCTCCTTTTCGCCATGGATTAAAGTGAGAGATGTTGGCGACCAGATTCCTCCTTGCCTTCCGCCCGTGTTCGGCAATTCCCACGGAATTGGCGGGACGACGTAGACATTGGCACGGAGAGGCATGGCTGTTTTGAATGGTGGGATAGATGAGCCGGATTTTCTGGGTTTGCAACAGTTGAAAGTTGGTCCGGTATAGCGAACAGAACTGTTTGAGTGATCTTACCGGAGCTTTAAAGACTAGAAGTAGCTTTATAGAAAAAGTCGTCAACGTTAAGCCAAATGCACGCAGTCTAGATGCGTTTGTCTCCTTCAATTATCTAACAGCAAACTATCGAGAACTTTTGAATTTGGGTTGATGGCTTAATAAATATGGGACAGGTAAAGTAGGAAGCGGACAACGCATAAGCCGTCGGCAGTTACTTCAGTGATCTCCCATGGAATCTTACAGTCCTGTACAAGAGTTGGAATCATTCCCTGAGAGACATTACCGATTCCGGAGGGTTTCTAAGCCTCGGCTGGACTATCTTCATCAGGTGTGATTACTGATCAGAACTCAAACAATACGCATACACGAGGTATCCACGATAATTGTTGATTCATAAATCATGCTACTCGGTGTAATAGGCACATTGTCCTTCGATATGAATCTATGAATAAATTATCTTGCTAGAATAAAATCAGTCTATCCTCTAGTGCGGCGATGTCTCACTAGAACAATGAATAGTAATCATAAAACGATGAATAGTAATCACAGAAAGGCTCCGATCTGCCGCTTAATCCTTCAATATTTACCCCGCATTCATCAGTTTAACTCGGTATCCTTTCCGGGACGGCAGTTGGATATTCCCATTCAGTTAAGACGAATCTAATAATAAGACTGGTAAAGGCAGTCATTTTGATATCATCTGACTGAGGTTATCAGCGCATATAAATTAAAGGAGATGGGCGAGAGCTTGTAGCAAAAGTTTTCTCAACACGCATCTCAATACTCTCGTTCTCGAAAGCATCACGTCCACAATCACTCAAATATATTTTTCAAAGAAACGAACAATGCCTTTTTGGAATATCTACCACCCAAAAGGTGTATTTGACGATGAAAAGTCCAAAAAGTCATTATCACAGGACATCACCAAACTCTACACTAATATCGGTCTACCCGCTTTCTACGTCGTTATCGTTTTCACAGAGTTCCCCGGTGAAAACATGTATGTTGGCGGGGAGCAGACGACCACACCTTTCATTCGGATGGTAGTGGACCATATCGCGGTTCACATGGACGACCCAAATCAGTATGCGAATTGGACTTCGAAAGTTGATAACGCGCTTAAACCTCACCTTGGGGATAAAGGATACAACTGGGAATATCACTTTTACGAGACGGAGCGTCGGCTCTGGAAGGTTAATGGGATGTATGCACCGCCGTTTGGTAGCCAGGAGGAGAAGAAGTGGGTTGCTGAGAATAAGCCGCTGCACTGGGAGGAAACGGAATGAAGGAACCGTCCGAGGCCGAGATTGGGGTCTATGTAGTGGAAGGAGGTTTGTTGTTGTGATTACAGTCACCCGAGTACTAAGGGGCTTAGGCTCAGAAAGAAGACACCTATATTCGGGGAGCTTACCTGTTGTACCTAGATAATATATCTTAGTACGACAGTTCAGAATACTCAGAAAAGTGACTTTGATTACAATTTCAAAATACTTCAACCGCTGACTCAATCACTCAATCTTGAAGTACTTATCCTCTTATAATCCTATAAACTCATGCAAATAAATAGAGATAACAACAAACAAAATACCTTGTTATATTATATAGACATAGACTAACCGAAATACACATTTCCTAATCTCCACTTAAGGACTTTACAACGATGAAACCAAATCAATCGCATAGAATACAATATACACTAAAGAACTTTTTAATTTCAATCTTATCTTTCTCTAACTCGATTTACTCAACTGTCCCCAACGTGAGTACTTTGCTAGAAGGAAGAGTTGAATGAGTGGTTTGATTAAAAGACTCTATCAAATAGAGAATCATCTAAACCTCATAATTTTCATAAAAGCGACACTTGGCCATCGGATAGATCGCCATCAAAAATAAACTTGAGATTTTGAATGCAGCTCTGCACGTCAAAATTACGTCCATTGAACAAAATTTCACCATCCAAGTAATTCACACGACTCAGTTCATATTTTCTGCTTTCAATTTCGTACCTGTTACGCTCACCATGGCGAATACCATCCAATTCAGGAGGTTTGGTAACACCTTTAGGAGTCACAATTAGTCTTCCCAGGCATAAGAAAAGACCAACGTGTTTTGAAACATCTTTGAGCTGATTCATCGCCAACGAATCATCATATATCAAGTTGTTTTCTGAACATCTGTTCCCATAATCTTTGTTCAGTACATGTGTTAATATGCTATCTGCGACACTAGTGTTATCAGTCCATTGACGTAGAGTGGATCGTAAATTGATCAAAGGCTTAGCATAGTTCATGGATGCAGACATCTTTAGATTTAATAACAATTTTCTCTTCCGCCCGCGTCGATGATAAGATGATATCCAAAGTTGCGATATTATAAGCCAAAAACTCTGGGCTATAGACGGAACTTGTTACTTAAGAAGAGAGCTCCGAGTTGAGATGAACTTACACATTGGTTTCGCAACTGGCACCGTCTTCAGATAGTATCAGATTGGTCAAAGTAGCATCGAACTTTCTTGATCCTAACCGCAATTTCTGTCTCACTTTCTAAAGGATCAACTGTATTATCTTGTTCCATGATGGATTTGTCACTTCGAAATTATTTGATGAGATAGACCAGTATTTCCGGTCGTGTGCTGTGGCATTGTTGCACGTTTGCCTGCTTGCCATGACGATTTGTCAATATCATGACGGGACAACGGAAATCGAATTGCTTCTCTATTAGCGATCAATATCCCTGGATTCGGTGCGTCAGGTACATCATCATGGCAGGAAGCCTATGAAGCACCCTCAATATAATCCAACTTGCTTCCGATATGCGTCCTGATGTCATCTGGTCCACGCACAAAATCTTCATCGTTTCTTTCTGAATTTTTGTCTTCGAAATCACCACCGTAGAGACAAGAATTGAGGTTCCTCACATCCCCATCAAGTCCCGATTCATGCTGTGAACTAAAGTCGGGGCAGAGGCTCAAGTGTGGCATGTCTATTTAATCGTCGCAGTTCCAATTCCAGGTATCCAAGCGGTGAAAGCTCCAATTATCAATTGGCAGGATGATTCTCGAGAAATTGGCGTGGTTGATATGTAACTCAACTCATAGATGAAGAAGCACACGATAGATCTTACATACATAGTCACCAAATATAAATGAAATTAGTAAAAAATCGTACCCCGCAAATTTACCACTTTTGTGATAGTCTTTACCAGGCCGCAATGATGAAACTTTATCAACAACCGAAGTTGACGTATATGATACACCATTCAACAAAAAGCCAAGTTCGGCCAATGCACGCTACCGATGATGCTGATGGGATTCCGGCAACAAGAGTTGTTCCGGAGAACACGATTGACTAGCTGCCTCTCTTCGTGAGTATCATGTGGAATGAGCTACCTTTGGAAGGCTGGCTAGAGTGCGTGGGAAGGGTGTTAGGAGATTTGGATCAGTAGTGAGGTACTTCAGTCTTCACACTAATAATTTCTACACCACCCGTGATACTCACAAGGATTGTATCTGAGTGACATGGAAATCATAACAAGATCGGTCCATCGCCGGCTCAAATATGTGGAAAGTATTGGGAACTCGAGCTCCAGGTCCATATTTGACTAAAGCGAAGAGTATGGAAAGACACAGACGTAGAGTTAGAGTAAATGTATGATAGCTTGATCGACGTTGGAAGCGGACCAAACCATATCACGTTACTAGACTCTCCAGGGAATTAGTCTCGGGCTAGTGGAGATGAAATACATCCGTGCGCAAAATGATCGGTGTCGTGTGGCATAAACAAATATCTACACAGACAAGGAGGACCACAAACTATAATTTGTTGAACCATATCAAGTACGAATATCAAACAGCCCGTCATTATTACTGTGTTGGTATCTTTGAAATTTTATGTTCCAGTTGAATAAGCAATTGCGATCTGATAGTCATTATTGAGGCTTCATGCTAACCTTATACCGGTAGGACATTCCTACAATTCCTCAATACCCCGAATCAATCGATGTCTTTCATCAAAGCGAACACGCCCCTTCCATTTCAAATTGATTCCATTCAACCCATTCAGAATGACTTCCCCAGGATTCAGCAACTTAATCTTCCATTGTGTAAAGGGAGTAGGCTCGGCATGATCTTTAGTCTCGAATATAGGCTCATCACGTGTCGCGCCTCTCGTGCCATTTGAATAAAGATCATATGAGCACCTTCTTACCTGGGGGATACTGGAGAAATGGAATACTTGGTTATTGTAGATATCTGAATAGATACCCGATGTTGTAATTTGCAGTCTCACAACAACAATACCACCTTGCATTGCTTCGGGTCTAGGAAGAATCCCATTTAGAGTAGGGTCCATACCGTTCAATCGGTAATGAGACCCCTCAACAAATTGACTCGCAAGATGTTTCTCGGTAAGAAGAGTAAAACTAGCAGTGTTATCATTACTTTTGATGCCATTGATCATCGATTGACCTTGGTTGGAAGGGAGCTATGACATCAGGTCAGTTATTTAATCTTTCTTGTTGTAAGTACGCTGCAAAAACGAGCAGGATATCAATTTGGCAAACAGGATTATCCTACCGTGTTCGATAGAATGTCATAATTAAAAGCTAACATAAAATTAGTAAATTTTCACGAAAGGACAGAAACACAATCAAGTACTTACGTTGGTGATCACTAGCCCATCTTGAGTCGGCGCGTTCCAACTCCATGATGACAGTAGAGAGATCTTGTTGGTACTCAACCAAAGGCTTTTGTCCATCGAGATTGATTGAACTATCGGAAAGCGCCCAATAACGATATGCCCAAGTCATATTTCGAAGTGAGAGGACGACATTGGTTCGCAAAGCCATAGCCCGGTCATAGAACATTGATTTGGCTTCAAGATAAACAGCTTCTTGACCAACAAACCCAGCCTTTAATGCTTGAAGATCTGCGATATTTTGAGAACACCGAATGACTTCCATCTGCGTCTGAACATATTCATACCCAGATTTCACTGCTTCTGCTTGTGCTTGAGCCAATTGTTTCCCATTGATAGCGTGCTTTCGTAGGCCTAGTTGGTACGCACTTGCACCTGCAACACCCTGTGAAACCGCGAATAACATTTGATCATCGGCTTCTAGAAGCCATCTGTCCCATGCAGCCATGGTTACGATAGCGGCAGCATCAGCATCCCCTCGACTTGTGCCGGAGATATCCCCCGTGGTAGGAATATTGATGTTTGGATTATTTTCAAACTGTATCAGTGTTCTCACTATAGTATCGACCGAAGGATACAAAGTACCAAGGGCCTCGATGCAGTCTAGAAGAGTTTGTAATGTGCCAGAGGACAAAATTTTGTTCACCTGGCCAGCGATCCTCTCTGCTGCGACAACAGCTCCAATTGCCTGTCTTCCAGCTATCGCGCCTTGGGCAACTCCGCCAGGACTACCAAGACAGAGCTGGCCAACTGCAATTGCAAATGCTAAAAGCTTCTTAGCTATCATCAAAGGATCATTTTGTTGTGAAGTAACTCACTGACGGTTGCTTGCAGAATCTCGAACACAGCTCTCAATTTTTGCTCGAAAGCCCAGTTACTCAAACCCAATTGGAAAGCTATTCGTAGAGATTCCAAAGCAAAAACGTCGTTATCAAATTGTTGAAAACAGCTAGTAGCTGTTCTTACAGAAGATTCGTATTTTTCGAGTGCTAAGTTGCGCATGCTGATTCGCATGTTATACTCATTGATAGCTTGCGATAACATGATATTCCATGCTTGCATGTGAACATCCAAGGACTGTGCCTTATCCTGAAAGCGTTCGAATTGTTGTTCAAATGCTGCCGCAGCGTTTAATGCGGCTTGGGTCGTCTCTTTATATCGACTGAGAACCAACACTGGAGCATAGCTCATATTTTTTCCAGCCATTGCTTGGCCAGCCAGTTGCTGACCAAGTGCTCTTGCTTGCGTATTGATAAGGGCATAGGCTTGTTGCCTCGTACTGATCTTTGCAACATGAGAGCATATTGAAATCGCTATGGAACTATTTCGCCAGAATTGAATAAGACCAATTTGAAGCTGCGTGTTCAAACTTGCTTGAAGCTCTTTGCTGGTAGTAGAAGGATAGTATCTCTGGTATTCGACTTGTAGACCATTTGGACTAAAGACTACAATTACTCCAGCATTGACCTTTCCGGTTCCTATCTGATCGAGGGCAATACGCCTGGTATTATCACCTGTGGCTACTGTGATTGGCTGATTGATTACTGATGTGTAGATTGAGACTACACATGTTGTCGTAAGACCTCTTGGAACTGTGAGGGTCACTGGACTGTTTGAGGTGAGAACCCGGGAGACAATAAGTATTGTTCCGTTGTCGTTGGGCGCAACAATGGTGGTTTGGTCTAGGGCAAGAACATCGGCATAGGTGTTTACTCGGCTCATAGAGTGTGGAAGAACCGCGGAAGCATTAAGGAAAATCCCACGAAATGTTGCGATGCTCTGAATGGCAGAGATCAAAGTTAACAACTGTACATCGAACTCAATGACCAAGGTCACCTACCGACGTCTGGTTAACATCTTGAGCTGCTTGTAGTGGAATACTGGCCACGGCTTTCTCACTCGCATAAGCCTGCCACCCAGATGGTGAGTTGGGTTGTGGAATGATGATATTCTTCATGATGCTTCGTTTCAATGATCCAGATTGTTAAAGTAATGGTTTATTTGCCCGAAATTGTTTTGATGTGATTTTTTCATTTTTTCATCATTGATAATCACTTAGCTTTACTTGAACTATGTGAGGAGAATTGATCCAAAACACTGCTGGATCATAAAATCACGTTATATGCAAAGTAGCAAGCGGGAGGAGTTAATGGGGAATCATAGAGCAGATTGGGAGGTCAAAAAAGCCTGAATTGATCGATTTATGCATTATGAGTAGCACTACAAGCTCAGCTGCCGAGTAGTTAAATTTACGGGTGCTTGTGCTGGTGGCTACCTGGAGAAAATTTGATTGAGGTAACGGAAACACTGACGTGCAAGTGGACAATAACCAACGTCGTTTCCATGACAAACAAGGTCGCGATGAGTGGGCCACCCCCTCATCTATGAGTCTATTTTCAAGCCGTATTGATGCAAATAGCTTGATCCATCAGTTCTATTATTCAACGACTGCACAATATACATCATTTCATTTGTTTGACTGGGGGTCAAGATATCATTGTGCGGCAAAAAAATTCCCGCCGCTTCCGTCACACGATAATAACAATAAACTAAAATGAGGGGTTCCCACCTTCCAGTGCAATTGTCGAAAGCAGATACGAGAAGCTATTAGGTCTCAACGAGTTAATCTGCTGTCTAAATACACTGTTGTTCTACTTGTGAACTCAGAACTTGGATGACATGCTCGAGAGTATCGATTGGATCCAAATGAAGAATACTTCCCCCGCACAAATGATAGCCAGTGAGAAATTTTGCGGCTGCTGCGCTTAATTACCGAGTGGCTTGCGGCAGAGATGCGGGGAAGTTTTATTTGCAACTTCCGCCTCTGTTATGTGTGAGCTGTGATTTTCAGTACACCCTCGGATTAAATGAAGAGCAACACATCCGCAATCGATTGTGGGCTGATTTCTAAGGCTTCGCAACGCAGGAAGTGCCACGAAAGCGCAACGAATTGCCCAACAACGTATATAATCGGCGTACATTATATTTCACTAATCTTCTGCTACTGGCACATAGTGGGGGAAGTAACACTCGCAAGCCATTACACCTCATCGTCATAAATTGTGTTGCATTTCATCCCATCAATGCTCACCTCGATGTTACCCCGCAAGCCAAACTTTCCCATCTCGACCTTCACATGTCTGTACCTCAAAATTTGAACGTCGCCAAGAAGCTGACAACGTTTTCTGGATACGCAAATTTTTTGCTAGCTATCGCCAAGTGATATGCTCCAGCTGGCATGTTAAAAGAGAAAATTTTAATCAATAACCCTGCGATTTTTCTTTATGTGTGAGCTGTGTCACTCATTTTCTTCACTGAACATACCCCAAATATCCACTTATAGCTACGTGCGTCAAGTGATAGTGAATATATGGCCAAGACTTCAATCACTGGAATTTTTGAGATGTTGATTTTTGAATTCATATCACACGTTAGGCGGCGTCACAACTTCCCAGCTATTCTTGAATTTCTCATGCAATTATCACCCCATGCCGGGAACTATGAGCAGCCGCTGTTTCACCGCTTGTAATGCAAGAGAACATAAACATGTTTCCATAACGTGGGAGTTTCAAAACCATGGAGATTCATAGCCAACCACAATATTTGAGAATTGAGTCTTGATGAACGATTGTGCGACAACCAGTGTAGATTGGTACGTAAATCTTGTTGGAGGATGTCTAAAAGAGGGAAGGATTCATAGTTTTTATCTTCGACATAAAATTCATTGATATCATCATATTTTCCAAAAAATAATCGATACTTTCACCTTCTTCCAGTATTTTTTAAACTCATCAGTAAAGATGTCGTTCGATCCTTCAAGACCAATTGATGACGAGAAGGTCTGGTTCCCCAAGGGGATGTTCGTCGATAATCGTGCAAATTCCAAGTTTGGCTTTGATGCCGGTGATGATGAGAGAGCTTTCATCTTCAACTCTTCTGATATGAAAGCACTGAACCGCTTTCTGGGGACGGGCAGATTGCTTCCTACCACCCGCAATGATTATCTACGATCCTTGGGTATTTTGACGACCGATCCCCTCAGTACTGATCTAGCAAACGAAGTTGACAGTCTTGTGTCGACTTATACTAAGGTGCGTATCTTAATTGGGCCAGGATTTCTCCCAAGACACTGCCATTCAAATTGTGCACTTGAGGAGAAATTTATACAGTAGGAAGTTGACTAATGAGTACCTTGCCTTCGATATAGATCAAATCAGACAGTGTTTACTTTAGAGAGCATACATGGCGCAGCATCGTCGATATGGCAGCGCAAATCAGAATTTACGCCACAATGTCAGGTGGAACCGAGGAAACTTCCTACACAGTTCTTATGCTAAAGTGGATTGGTGACTTCCATAACGAAAATAACAAGCCCAATCCTGATCAAGCAAAATTGAAGGAACTAAAAGAAGGAATACAATGGGTAGTCAACGAAGAACTTAGGGTGATCAAACAATTACAGGCTGGCGCAGAGCAAGCACTAGCCGGATTGGAAGGTTTCCACGGCCAATGCGAACAACATGAATCTAGAATAAGAGTCAATGCTACTTCCCTTGAAGCGCAACTGGTCAAAGAGGGTAATGATATTGCGAGTATGCAAAAGAAGATCGATGCGGCTCAAGCCGAGTTGGAAGAATACCAGGCCAGGATTGACGGAAGTAAGAAACTTTGAGCTTTTCATTCTCTGTTGTGGATGCCTTGCTGACTCTATCCCGCTACGTCACAGAAAATAAAGTGTTAACTGATGCTCCCAAATATATGTGGGTGTAAGTCAATCACATCAAATTCTTTTCCTTCGACTCAACTAACCATGTACAGTTGGCCAATTGGAACATTCATCGGAGTAGGACTCGTTCAAGCAGCCAAGAATGAAATCAAGGGTATGACAGAAGCCATGGAACAAATACAAGCTGTGATGGATGAGTATGAAGCTAAGCAGAAAACTGCTTCTCGCTTGGAACTCAACATCAGGTTTGTCAACGTAAGTGATCAAACCATCGGTGTGATTACACACATTTTTAATCTGAATGCCCTCTAGAGCCAAGTAAACAATCTCACTGGCGAAATCAGACCAGCAATGCGCACACTCGAATTACTTCAGGGGGCATGGAAATCCATGGTTACGGATCTCGAGACGATCAAACAGTTGATCGATAATGATACTGAGAATATTCCTCCTATGATACTTGCGAGACCACAAATGCAGAAAATTGTTAATGAATGGAATGAATTGAGAGATTTTGGTATGTTAAGTTTTTTTTTTGAGGACTTTCGCTATGTTTGTATCTCAAGTGCTGACGTGAAATTCTGCAGCGAGCAATTATATCCAAAACTCCTACCTTAGCGAGTCTCCGGAAAATGTCAGTGTGCAGCAGTATATTCATCAGCTGGAGACGAGGGTCTTTGTCGCGTCGAGATGTTAGGAGTGAAATACGAACATGTATTTTGCTCGGGGTGTGGGATGAAGAGATGGAAATGAAGATGGAGATGAGGATTGATGAGATCAGAATGTTGTCATGGGATTTTCTTTTGAATTTGGGCCATTTGGATGTCGTGTTCTCTTATGTCTTGATCAGTTGATAGTTTCGAATTGAATTAAATTTAAATATCATTGGTGCATTCCCTGTGAAAAAGAAATGGTTCGTATGTGACAGGTCTACCTCCGCTGGCTGATCTTTCATATCCTATCAACATGGAATATGGTTATCGTATAACAAGAATTCGTGTGAGCAACGTGATCAACCTCCATGGTCTAGATATCTCGATACATGTTTTAGAGTAATTCATAGAAATAGATATGATGACCTCGAAACTAGCAATTCATCCGATGACCTAGCACCGGAACATATATTCTTGACTGAATAGGTAGGTACAGCTATCCAAACTTTCAAAGACAATCTGAAACGACGTATTATGACATCGAGTTAAGTGCATTTTGCTTGGCTTCATGCTTTATAACTACCTTTCTTTCATCCTTGACGAGCAATGTTGTGATAAACTTCATTTACTCTCCCAGCACACCCATTGGTAGGTGATCAGAGGAAGGTAGGGAATATAGTATGGAGTAACAATTTCACCACGTATTAGATGAGGATAGTCCTCTGACAGTGTGAACGGTATAGTATCTTGATTTAGCTACCTACCTAATCTAATGTTGTGCCAAGGTTTGCTGGCGGTTTATCAGAGCTATGTCTTCAAATTTTCCCATGAACAGCACTCCCGTCTATCCCTTACGAAAGGAATAACGCGACACTGAATCTTCCATCGTATTGTATCCGTGGAAGAAGTGCAGCTTCGGGGATGGGTATTTCTCACGTGTCGACTGCCCGATACCACGTGACTTTGTTCCTCCTTGCCGCATCTATTGTGAATATCGGCATACATCAGGACCAGCCGTTTTTATATCCTAGCCACGAGTATTTTTGTATCCGGCTCAGAACTTTTTTCTATTGTTTGTTTTTTCAATCACTCATCAATCTTTCAAACACTACTCCCCTGCGCGACCAATCTCCACATTCCAAAACTTCCACCCCAGCCTGCCGCTTTCTTATCCTGTCCCATGGAAGAAGGGAATTCCTTCAAATTTAATCTTTCCACCACACTATACCCCAAATCCAAAAACTTGCACAATCTCAACCATTTCTCGCCTCTATAGTTCTCTTGCTCATCGAGGACAATTTCTAATAACCTTCCTTCCTTCTTGAGCGAGCTGGTGAAGGAATCTAAACTCTCGGGCTGAGCAATTTTGACGTCCTCGACTGCATGGACGTTTGAGGTATATTGCGATAATTTACTCCACGTAGCCAAATGATTGAGCCAGCTATTGGCGCAGGGTCTTCTCTCCACATCACTTTCTCCGCCTCCGTATTTCTGCGATGATGAGACAGGGACGATAAATTTTGTGTTTGGGTATTGGATCATGAGCTCGTTTGACGCGCCGTCCATAGAAATTTCGGT